CATCTTTATTCCAAAAAGTATCAGCAAATGTTTGTGTTGAAACGTGTATGATCTTTGACTACTTTACATAACTAAAGTCAAATACTGCTTGATATTTTGTTTCACCAACAGATTCTACTTCTAATTACGAGGCACATCATTTGTAAGATACGTGGGCTTATTCACATCACTTACATATTGTCTCGACCAAATCTCCAACATCAAGTTACAGTTTTAGATAGTTTGTCGTTCAGACAGGGTTCTCGTTAACTTATGCACATCATGCCTTGCCTGATACGAGACATATGTGTTGTAACTACTCAGTTAACAGCTGCCAGAGCTTGTTTGTCACCTCATAAATTCAAAGATACTACCATCTGCACAACCAATGTATGTTATCAGCTATTATGGCTGCTTTAGGTCACAGACTACCATTTATCGTTTTATAAGGGAATGACGTTTGTCTGACCACTTCCAATACCTAAGATTTATGTAACTCCTTCCTATACTGATAACAATACATGCTCAAACAAGCAACCACAAATATCTATATTACCCATAAAATTTCAGCCACTCATTCAAGGCACACTTTATAAACATAAAACAAACATTACAATCTCTATCAAGATTTTCCTCCATATGTCTCATGTTTTAATTCATTCGATTATGTTATTTCATGTTCAAAAACCTCCTTTTTCTTTGTGATGTTGCAGCAATCTTTTATCAGTGATAAACCATTGCTGCAACATCACACAACATTTTGGGTGATGAATTATCACCAAATTAGTATGCTGGCTAGATTGAACAAGTTAATCTAGCCAATTGTATCCAACATCAACGGATTTGTCATGCAAGAGATAATTCTCATCATCTAACGTTTTCCACTCATCATTCTTGTTTTTCATTAACATTATAGAGCAATACGTAGCACATAACATTTCTACATCCTATCTCTTTCAGTGAACGCCATCGAGAGTTTACAACATCAATGAAATGCTCCTGTCATATTCTTCCCTTTTCTAAACACAGATTAAAGATGTGAAAATGACATCCACGGAAGTAGGAAGTGGACCTTAGACAACAAACAAATCCTGGATGTGGACAATTAGCTGAATTCTCCAAGAAATATTCTCAAGATTCCAACTTCTTTTACAGAAAAAGTGTCTTACTAAACAAAGATCAGTTATGCAAGCTATGGTAAGCCCCACGCATACACATGATGCAATGGTTACAAATTTGGACATGACACAAGTATTCCAATCCGAATCACAATATTGACAGTCCAACAACTAGTACAAACAAATTTACAAAACAACAGGTCCAACATGAACATGCTGAACATGAATATGCTCGACTCAACAATCTAATTACTATACAAGTCACATTTGCCAAACTCGTTCACATATAGAGTGACACTTTTTCTCGTTTACAATACTGTTTTGGCTCATCTACGAAGGACCATTTTGCTTCTGGCCACCCCGAAAAGATTACAAACACAAACAGAAACAACCATTAAAAAAATCAACTGACACCACTTCGATTCTATATGGTATATAATTGATTCGGCTCGCTCACTACTGATCATGCTTCCTTCTATCGCCCGACAAACATTAGAAGATATTTATTGACAAAAATAACCAAAAAATACCTTTGTAAATACATAGATATCGCTTGTGGCTATGTACGCTACAAATTATTCTGGTGAAACATGACACCATCTCTTATCTACCCGATTTATGGGCTCACTTGGTTCGAAAATAATAATATATATTAGAATAAAGAAAACGTTTATTCTTTCTCCATACATCAATGACTGGTATATAGGTCAATTCAACACATACTCCGTGTGATATCAATTCTTAAACTCACAGGAGACTGGTTCTACACCATCAACCCTCATTCAGGAGCTTCAAGATAATCTCTGTAGACCATTCCAAAGTCTTTGACCAACAACTTTTTTGATTATATGCGAAAAGAATTATATTTAAGGTAAACAAAGAACTTAGAATTTGACTGTTTTATTCAATCTCAGTATGATAAGTTGCAACATTGGAAGGCGGTATACAATTATAATGGCGAAAATGAATTATTTAAACAGTCGAAAGCTACTGGAAAGGTTGAAACAAAACAGGAATCACATGTTTACTTTGAACAAATACAAACCGTTCTAAACAAGAACTTAATATCATTACACTTCCCCAGCCCAGAGGAGAATGAATCCAATAAGTAATTTAGCTACAAATTAAAGAATAAAATAATCTTTCATTGTATCCCTAATCTAAATATCTATTTTTTGAATCCAAGAATTCAAATTGCCCGGTCTAAGTGAACCGACAACTTCCGATTATCCTGCACTGAAAGTCCCTCGATTTTATGTAAGTGAGGAAAAATCGTTTTTTACTTTGCCAAGATTCTCTAATCTCTTCAATTGCTTGTTCATATCTAAATAATTTCTGCAACACAACTCAATTTCAGGGTTTTGGTTGCAACTGATTGTTGTTGGAATATTTTACAAATACTAACTTTGAAAGAAGATCTGAAAAGTATAGCTCATAAGCGGGCATGCGTGATATAGGCCACCGAATGGCGTAGTGCCTAAATTAACTAAATGTCTTCTCACTTTGGCGACTAAATCAATGTGGCTATCAACATCAACTGTCTTTCTCTCGAACATTTTAGTGCTTATTTCACGAATGGGCAATGATTTTTCTCTCCTACGACGGAGCAGATTCTAGCCGCAATTACTCAACCTCACATTTGAGTCAGATCCTTCCTAGATAGAGTGTCCCAAATGTGAGGTCAAAAGACTTCTGTAGTCACAGGGCTGTTAGACACTTTCAAGGTATGATTTGTAGTTTGTGAGCTTGCATACACTTAGACGTGCAAACACGGTGAATATATATGACTTAGAATTGATTGGTTCTTGATGTTCATTACCAATCGCATGGCATGGACTGAACAGCTGGGACCCTGTGCTTGGGTAGGATTTATAGTGGTCGTGGAGAACCATTTGACAGTTCGTTGTATTTGCGAGCAATATTGATTACTTGAAAATCGCCGGAGAGTTTCCTCATGCAAATTTACTTGTTTGACATCCATAAGAGCAATAATAAACCGGTGTAGTGTAGGCGACAGTGTTCATCTCAAACTCTCGCTGTATGGATCTTGAATAAAGTTGATCGCCGCATCTCTTCAAGCCTGGCTGCTTTCAAGAACAATACATCATGCCAAGCAGCAAACGTTTCTTCCTGCGCTGTAGAGGAGAGAATGGAAGATGCTGGTGAGTCCATAGTCAATCATGGTGCTGAGACACAGTGGACCTTATAAGACAATCAATCACAGTGCTGAGACACTCAGAATGTACCTTATATTACTTCTGGAATGAAAAGCTGACCTTTTAAGAAGATGAATGGGAGTGTCTCTCAGATATATGACAGAGTTATATGATAAGCACAATAAACAATATTTGCAAAACAGAATTCGCTCTCCCATTCTTCTTCAAATATTGTTTATTGTGCTTATCATGTAACTCTGTCATATATATGAGAGACAATTGATAAACTCAGATCTAACCGGCATCAAGAATAAAGTGCTTTTTTGAGTAAATCGCAAAATTAACAAAAATAAGAAAAAGAAATCCATATTTTAAACTAGTCATAGTTATATAATAACTAATTAGTTTATAGCTAATTATAATTATAATTATAGGAATTCCCAAACCTGGCCTAAATTGAAGGATAACTAGCCGCTACTCTAAACTTGGCTAATCTTGTTAATTTTGTCTACTCATTTACCTTGAACATGGCTATTGAAACGAACCTATCTACCCATCATCCTTGTCCCATACCAAATTTTGTATCCCAAAGTCTCGGACCTGCAAACACGGATTTTCAGAGTCCAATCTTGATATGAAGGAGATATGAGAGGATTGGCACAAAAGACTTTTAAAAATTGTTTTTCTTCCAATGAAGAGGATTTTTTTTCTGCATATATTTCCGCAAGAATATATGAAATGAATTTTTATATAGGCTAGCATTAGAACTCCCTGATATACACTTGGTGCATCACATATCAGACGTCTTCACAACGTCCGCAGATGTTTGTACATTCAAATCTAGTGACGATCATATGCAAGTTCCCTTCAACTGCGAAATGTTCACTATAAGGCGGGCACGTTCAGCTTTTTCTTAAATTTCTGGATACTGCTAGCATTGATATTGATGACATTTCCAACAGCACTTACCTTTCTTTGATAATTCCAGTTATTATTTTCTTTACATACTGCTTCAAAAATCACTATTTAGAAACTCCAAGGTTTGAGATTCATCTATATGGTACTGTGAGAACTTCACGACACATGATAAATTTTGACAAGATCTAATGTTTTTAACCTACTGTTACTTGGTTTGAGATATAGCTTAAACATTGCAAATCTAATTTCAATCCAAACCCCAATTTCCGAATGCTTCAAAAACCAGTTGATACTGGGCTGAGAGCTGAAATTCCGACTTCACCCATTACACATTACATGTGGACTACTTGCAGTGAGGCGATTTTTGCAACACAAGGGAACCAAGTACAAGTTAGATTACATGGGTTATAGGTAAATTTCCCAGGATGCGAAAGCAATATATTTTGGAAGAAAGACGGAAACTAGGGCCGACCTGAATACCTTGCCATGAGAAACAAAGGGTACAGCTTTCAGATCTGAAAACCAATTCGACTGGACGAAACACAAAATATCCAGCTTGACCGTTGGCACCTACTCACCAGTCATGCAAGTTCTTGATCAGCAAAACTTTCTGAAATACCAGCTATGGGAAACATAAGACCTTGAGTGCACTACATTACCACCTTCGTCCACCTAATCGCAGTGACACAGGACATTTCTTGTAAGAGGTAAAGATGGTCAGACCTGGAATCCAACTTCAATATGAAGACTCGGCTGACTCAGATGTTATAAGGAGTAAGACAAAAATATCAAGCAGTGACATAAACTTCGAACGACGAGAAACACTGGACATACTCGGCATATGCACATTCAGTATATTTACCTCAAGAAGAACTCAGAACACGTCTCCAGTTTTCAAAATTTTGAGTTTTGTGAGACAGGAGGATATAGATTATGTTACAACCTCCAATCTAAGCACAGAAAGCTGTCTGATCTAAAGAATTAAGTCGACAAATACTTCTTGAACCATGTATCAAATCTAGACCATGCAAGGTCTACAGCATCTTTGTTGAACTCTTCAAAACCTGTATTCTTGCCACGTTTGATAGCCTCCTCAGAAGCGTTCATAAATGCGTGGCCAACGTTCGAGTAGATGTGTACTTCAGAAGGAGCCCCAGAAGTTTTTAATTTTTCTTCCAAGGCCTTGGCTGCCTGCACAATTATAGAGCACAAGACATGTTGGTCAAAGCATAACAAAGTCTTCCATGAGATTAAGCCTAGGAGGCCTGAACTTAATCCGCCGGTACATGACTCAATCCATGCTGAGTTACTGTGTTATGAACCAAGTCTTGTGGCAAAAAAGGGTGAGTTACGACGTAGAATTGGATACAGTGCCACACTTGATGAAACCTCATACAACTTCTAGGATACGACATAGAGAATTTCAGCTGAAGGTTTCAAAGAGCGAAAAATCCAGTCTCCTTATTAAAGAGCGAGAAACACAGGCTTAAACAACCGATATGCGAGACTCACCCCGACATCGGAGAAACCTGCAAACTTGTCCAACTCTCCAAAATGAGCCTGAACAGGAATTTTAACTTTACTGACATCGGCGAGCCCCGCATCTGGGACTCCATAAAACGCGACAGCCGCATCCAGTTGAGGGATCAGGACTGCGCTAGCCAAAGTAAGAGCTCCACCCATACAGAACCCAGTTACACCAACCTGTGGCAAAAACATAAAAGCTTGTCATTTGATTGGACTTTGAATGAAAGAATACGACGTGCGTTAAAAACCGGTTATGGCATAGGAAAAGAATTGAGACTCAGAAGTTAGAACCACCTTTGAGGAACCATTCTCCTTCAACCATTTGACGGATGCTTCAACATCCTTCACCGCTCCTTGCCAGTCCAAGCCTTCCATCAGATGTTGGGCTTCGGCAGCATCCAAGCCTACCTTTCCTCGATATAGACTGCGCAGCGAGTTAAGTAACAAAAAAATGTAATCTCGAACCGATCAGACCTCACCGAGAGCATGGCACATTTCAATTGAACATCGTCACAGCGTTAATTTCATCAGCCAGACACACAGTTCGCTTGTACCAACCTCGCAGATCAGTAACGAGCGATCTACAGCAAGACATTCAATTGATATACTCATCAACTATGATCACCACTTACTGGACGTTAAATGCTGATATCATAGTGGGCACAGTGTTTTGTAGTCTACGAACTGCAAGTTAATGTGCATGTCAGTGAATGTGCACAGTTTATGGGAAATAAGAGGTAGGATATAGCATACTCAGGAATTAAAGTACGGAACCCATTGCTTGCAATGGTTGCAGCATGGTTCTTGATTTCAAAGTCGACTCCCCACCATTCTTGCAGGACTACGATCCCGGGGGCGCCTTCATCGCCCAGAACGTAAGCATCAAATTCCTACATTACAAACACACAACAAATTTTATAGCTCACATCAAGTTTCCTGATGCCTCCACAGCTCTTCCAGGTAGTTTCGGTAACGAGGGAGAGAAGATGTGGTAACTTGTATCTTTCCATACGAAAACACTGTCAAGCAGGGTACCTCCGCTGAACTGGTCAGGCTTTCAAAAGCAGATACTGAAGTTGAGTTCATCGAACAAAAGAACGTTCTCTTAAATTCGTGGGCAGATATAAAGTAAACAGTTGACATATGAGGTATCATGATAGGTCACTGATTCCTCTTCTCATAGTCCAAGCCACCTGAATCTCTCAGCTATTCAGGTTGCTATAAGTATCAGAAGACAAAAGGTTCCTTGACACGCTCGTCTCGGAACTTCTACGATCCAGGTCCACCAAGCATGCCCGACTTCTGTTATGCAGCATTTGTAGAAGCTGGATTCATCAAAAGTCAGAACAATGATTTACGTTGTGGAACTATTCGGAGTCAAATAACAAGAATCCTTACTCACAGTGTCTAGGATTTCGTGTCACAACTTACTCCTCAATGGCTAATAAGGTGGCTTCGAATATAAAAATAGCAACTCTCCGTTAACATGTTCGGTAAGATGACATGAACCGGCGAGCTGCACCAAACTTGTCCGGCTTCTATGATAGAGCTGAAAAATACCACAGATGAATTCATCTGTAGACAGAACGATGATTTCCGTGGGATACAAATTGTCAAATATACGAAAACCTTGTTCTTCAAAATAAAGCATTCCAAAGTAAAGGCTTGACATTCACGCAAGCTCGTCATTTCTCGTCACAGGAAATGTTTATAAGAGGTGCCTGACAAAGATCTGACCAGAAAGAGCACAATCCCTACCACCTTCAGTTGAAAATCTAGGTCCCGCATTCAGCTTCACGAACCATGTGAAAAAATATCAAATTCGCAGACGTCGACGAATAGGAGATAATTGAGATTCCATCGAGACAAACAGAGCCACGACAAAACGTGGAGACGGACGAGAAAGAAGGGAAGGGAGTAAACAAGGGCTACAGAGAAGGACTCTCATCGATATCGAGAGAGGCGAAGTCCACCGATCGATCGATGGATCTGATCGGATCCCCGAGCTCAGTCTTCACCGACAATCAACCGTACGCGCAAAGCGAACAGCGTGGAACTAAACCAGAATCACAGGCATCAAGAGCACTTCTTACTCACAGTGGCTCCATCGCCATTTCGCTTGATGGTAATCTTGCGGGGAGAAGCCGAAGCGGCCATGGCTCGGACGCCAAATTTCGTGCGGGAGGGCAAAATGTGGGCAGCGACTCGGTGGAGTCGAGACGACCCGGCGCAGAAGGACGGGGCAAGGATCGAGGCGCTGAACTGCGGACGAAGCGAGGGCAGCGGCAGGCGCAGCGCGGAAGCCATTTATGTTCGTGCGCTCGACGACTCCCCCTCCCTCCTCTCCTCTCGGGCCTTCGACCCTCAGCGTGTCACCCGGCGGGTCCACGTCTGACGGCGTCGCGTGCTCCCATTGGCGGATCTCTGGGACGCTGCCGCGTGTCATGTCACCTCCGCTATATATGAACGCCAGTTGGAAGTGTTGAAAAGTGTCCCTCGTCTATATCTTCTTCATTCGGCGTCATTGTTCGTATAGTTACGTATGGCTGGTGGGATTAGGGGCTGTGACTGAGGGTGCTAGTTTGTATTTGGTTAGAAATATCTATATTTATTAGAGATATTTACTTTCACACCTTACATATTATTACATAGGGCGATGCCCCAAAGATTTTGTAATTGGCAATCTTGGCGATATTTTAAAATACATTCACTTGTACTCTCTATTTAGTTAGAAATATTTATATTTATTACAAATATTTACTTTCACACCTTACATATTATTATATAAGGCGATACCCCAAAGATTTTGTAATTGGCAATCTTGGTGATATTTCAAAATACATTCACTTGTACTCTCTATATCACACATAGTTCGTTGCAATTCCATAGGTAACTCTTGTCATTTTAGCCCCCTGATTGTCAAATTTTTGCAATCTTCACACCACAAGTTACGTGATTGTGTTATGTATGTTGTGCAAACTACTTCAAATCTTCTTTGACTCCACCCAAATTCAGAGTAAAAAACATTATTACTTAGATTTAAACCTTAGATTGATTATGTTGATTATAGAGCATGATGATTCTATGCTTCTCTACAGAACCATGGGCACAACTTAGAACTCTACCCTTCACACATAGGTCTCCTGATGGCGTACCCTAATAGTATGCCCGTCCAGTTCGATTGGCACGAAGTTCACTACTGAGTCTAATTATTGCGTCTGATCAGTCTAAGGTAGACTATGTTGATACGGTTGCCGCTTTGTATTTACTGAACTGTCACAGAGTTGTGAAGTCTTTACTCGAACACAGATCGTTTTCATATTTTGTCTTCTAAACCTAAACGGGTTTGTTTCAACTGTGTACGTGGACTTAACGTGCAAGTCGAAGAGCTGACATCTTCCATTTACTTCTGATTAGGCAGTAACCTCGAATTCAGTGGTCTAAATTTGGGCTTGAAAGCTCTAGATTTGGTTTTGTTAGCAACCCATTCTTTAATTCTGACTTTGAAGTGATGGACGAGATGATCGGTGAACAAACTTGGATGCTTTTATCTGTGGAGATGGGCGTAGCCAGTCAAGTGTATAACTCACTTTCGATCCGAATTCACGGAAAATTAAGTGCATGGTGACAGCTGATTTCTTTTTGGATTGTGATTTGGTGACATTCGTTTTGATAAGTGATATTGGGCTGATGCGAACACTTCCACACATCTATTATTTCTTGCACTCGACAAGTAACTCTTATTCCCTATCCAAACGGATGAGAAGAAAGCAGTGTTGAGAAATGCGTACATTCCCCATGGCTCTGTGTTATAAAACATCCTCGTCCACATATATATACATGTGGGCCTCATCGTCGAGGCCTGAATGCAAGGCTGTCAGGTGGTTACAATTATTCTTATATGTCCAAAAGAAGAAAACCGACTGATGTACTTGATGAAGACATTGAGAGTGACCGACAAAGATGCGTCAGTTTGCACACACATCGGATGAATTGACCAAGCTCTCGATTGCAGTAACAATTTCAAGATAACAGAGAAAGGAGTACCATACACATCTACCCACTTCTGAATCTCTTCAGTGGCCCTGGCCAATCTTCCCCGTCTGATTGTTCACTTCTACTCCGACTTCCGGCGCTGTCATCGCTGTCTCGATCTGAGTCAAGATCATCCATTGAGTCCTTGTTCTCTTCCTCGTCGTCCTCTTCATTCATTCCCTCTTCCTCGTCTCCGTCCTCATCTTCGTCGGAATCCTCCTCGGCATCTACGGTCTCTTTGTTTACTACAATATTACTTGTCTTTGTGTCCTCAATAGCCTTCATGGGGGTGACATCCACGTCACCAAAAGTCCAACCCTCAAAACAATTTTCGGCGAAAAGTGTGCTTGGAACAGTATGATAAAATGCAAGAGGAACTGCTTTCAACCTCCGCCCAACCTGCCACCGAATATATGAGGAGTAACCAACATCAGCATATGCCTTCCAACCGTGTTGCTTGGTATGCATAGTAGAGTAACAAGTTGGAGGTGGGTTCACAGCATTCGTTATAACCACATCAGCACCTGCCAAGGTAGCTACTCTACGAATGACTGACGGCTACAACAGATAAAAACAGCAGAAAATGTCTCAAATCTAGATTACCTCTTCGTTAAATATAGTCGCATAGGAAGTGGAGCTGAAGTCAGATATTGACATCTCCGTAGTTTTAGCTCGCACCGTTAGATCTGTTTCCAGGGACTCCACAAATCTGCAGAAGTAGTAGTTCCACCCACATCAACTTCAGATCTCTGCTATTAGGACTCAGATGATAGCGAACGGGGTAGATGATAAAAGTTGTACAGAAACAGCGTGTGAAAATTACCTTGAAACTGCTGGACAATAATGTCGACGTAAGGTGTCTATCTCCCACAGAGAACTCTCTGTGAAACAAGAGCAGAGAAAAGTCAGTCAATATCCATTTCCTTGCAGAAGCAAAACACCCTTCCCAAATGAAAACTATCAAGAACTTACGAAGGGCGTCGCATTTTGCAGTATCGCTTTCGTCTGCTCGGAATGGATCGGCCCCGAGTTTTCCATCTACAGCTTTATCACTCTTTTCCTCTGCTGTGATTCCTTCTACGTTTGCTCCATCTTTCACCGCTGCAATGGTAGTGGCTTGACTACTATCCTGAAATAACGGTACAATCATCGCAGTAACGAGATTCAGCAATAAAGCAGTTTCGTAGCTGTTCTACGTTCCACAAAAATAAAACCACCAGATTACGATCTGGCAGCATGAAGAGGGTAACGTACCCGGTGGACTAGGCAGTTTACAGAAGGATGCCGCCGAAGAATATTGTGAATCAACGCAATAACGACGATAGAACCTGATGGTGGTGCAGAGAGCACTAGACGCCCAAGCCTTTTCGCAAAAGCAGCAGCAAGGTATGCCGGTAAATGAGAAGATTTGAGGCATGAGTCCAACAACTGTCAACGAACAAAAAAGAAGTGTTAAGGAAATGGATCTACGAAGCTCTTGAAGCCAAAGTAACATACGAAAGCATATGTAAACTTTCAGAACTCAATTTCAGTCTTTATGACCAGATGGACTCTGGTGACTTGCTTGACGGTTCAACTTGGTGAGGTCCCAGTAATTTACAGCCATAAACTCGACACAAGAAGCTGTAACATTATTCGCCGCGCCAACTAATGAAATTCGTTGTATGACGGTTCGTGAAAAAGGTTAACGTATACCTCAAAGAAGCGGGATCGATGTTTGGCAACGAAAATAGAAGGCTCGAGTAGCGCATATAGCTTATTATAGAAGTCAGGATATTCCAGCCCATGTCCAGTAATTAAGATAAAAAGGCTGCTGAGAGCCATCACGCTTATAAGCCCTCCCACGTCGTAAGATTGCGTGAGAAAATCGCTGCACTACAAAAAAAGTGTGAAGGAACATGAGGAGCAAGCCAAACCGACAGAAGCTAATAACTGAACCTCTTTTCCAGTCTGAAATTTCAAACACAAAACCACCCAAAACAAACTAAAGAATGACTTTGCCTGCCCAAAGCTGTGTTGTCTTCATGCAGATAAAGTGTCTGCTTCCAACGTAGATAACTCTACCATCACTACCTCATCAGGTGCATATACACTTGCCACTACTGGAAGGTATAAAACAGAAGAACTACGTACAATCAGGTTAATCAGTCAATTCGTCAAGTACTGGAAAAAGAGAGCCTGACATCGAAAAAGAATTTTTCATAGGCGATGATTGAAAGCTACACGACAGGTGAGAGATTACCTAAGAAGAATAGGATTATTCATGTGTGGAATGACCTGTCGATGTAACCTCCCTAGAACCTGAACACATACATAGTTAACATATTCAGCGTATTTCCACTCGTCTCAAGTTCACATTTTGAGGTAGGGCTGGCTAAATGCTGACTAAATGCGAATGTAGACATCAGAAACAGGTAATACCAACCTTTTTGTAGGTATCTAACGGAAGAGCGAGTCGGAGAAATGCCAGCCAAGCTTTACTGAAAGCAGCCTTTTGCTTCTTCGGACTTGTAGGCTTGCTCTGCTTCTGCAATGCCATGGCCCCGAAGGTTGATAAGATAAGAAGTACAAAGCCGGATGCTTTACAAAACTTAACAAGGGTCCACGATATGCCCAACTAATGCAAGATGAATTTCCTCCATTATGATTATGAGCAAGATTATAGGAGTCATCTCCAGAGAGATCATGTGTAATACAGGGAAAGAGCAAGAAATGGGCAGGCTGAAAAAAGAGAGTCACTCGTAATGGTTTCATAACAGGTACTTGGGTCACAGGATACTATATAGTACAGGAGGGGGTGTCGTTGATCTAGTTTTAATGAAGGATAACACTAGACAAGTAGCCCTCAGAGAAAGAACTGACTTACGGTTTTGCTAGAACTCGCTCTGTTCTTTCGTTTACCACCGCTCTCTCTGTTTCTATCTTCATCTGAGTGACGACATGAAACATTGTCAGTACTGATCCATAAGACGTTACAAGGATTTTCAAAGTTCCACCACTGACGTATAGCTCAATGCGAAGAATGTTAGCTCGATTATCTGTTGATGCTGTACTGGAAGGTACACTAACAACATTTCACCACAGAAGAGTTTTCTAGAAACTCATTAAGGCGACGGGTTTAAGGATCGACGCAAAAGAGATAAGTTCTGACCTTGTGGGTGAGTCCAAAGCTCGTGGACGTCATCGCCACTTTTTTGCTCATCGTTGGAAAGAGTTGGGAGACTTGAAAGCAATTCATACGCATTCCGACTAAAAGCGTGCAATCTGTAACATAAGAAGTTCAGAAATAATGACTTCACAAAAAAAGCCCTAGATAAAAGCTATGACCATAAGCAGTATTGTAACACGAAGACAGCAGCAAAAGAAGACGATCTTATTTTTAGACAAGAATATATATACACCTCACGCGGAAAAGCCAATACGTGTTTCGAGTACTCATCGATGTCATCGATGAGCGAGTACCGTCTTAAATCTAGTGACGGTACAAGTACATAAACCTGCAGAGTTTTCCAACTATCCAAATTTATAAAACCCGGACTCTATATCCAGAACTCCAGAGTTATCATGCTGTGAGATATAAAAAGGCAATAGAAAATTACCAATAGAAACAGTACCTGACACCTGAGCGCTTCTCCTCGTCCTCGTCACTGGATACAGCCGTGTCCACTGCAGGATATAAAGAAAGAAGTTAAGAGAATCACGATTGGCGTGAAGACCTACTATCGTTGATCAAGAGAGTATGCACAAAATGCATAAACCATTGGTCCCGAGTGTGTGCTGTCGAGTCTGTTCGGACTAGTAGGAACAATTCAAGCATGACGACAATTCACCTACGTACTACCTTTCTCGTTCTTCCGTAAGCGCTTTGAAATTAACGTCTCAAGATTGGCGTATGTATAGTAACTGCAGCCAATCAAAAGCTCATACAAGTAAAAGTCTTGCATAATGTCAAACTGCAGTGGGTTTTTAAGTTAAACTATGCAAAAAATATCTGAACCTGAAATATAGAAACAAAATATTCTACAAAAAGATTCTTGATGTCATCAATATCTCCCGAAAAGATAAGAATATCAACACATGGATAAATACAATTCAAACATTACTAGTACGTACTCCAGAGTCCGCAGAATATCTCTATTAGGGAAAAGCAAAGCAACACGAAAACTCACCGGACATCGCAGTATTTGAAGTACTTCTTGATCAACAACTGCAGAATATCGTTAGTCGAACCTTTGCACCGTACCTGCAGAATATCCACACACACCAAATCTACAAAATTTAGCGAGATTGACTGCATGTACTCGAGATGATCAGGAAAAATAGTACAAAAATTTAAAAAAAAAACACTGAAGCTCTGTAGTGACCGGAAGAATGAGAATATTACTGGAAGTAATTGCACATTTGAAGCGGGATACTGTACCCTAACAGAATGATGGTTGAAGCAAGACATCCCAATGCAGTTCAGTCCAACTTAAGACTGAACTCAGGAGTCAGCAGCAGTGTACAGATCGTGTGTACAGTAATGAGGCCAAATCAAAATTAAAAAAAAAAACATTCTGGAAGAAAGATGTTACCTGGTCTCATTCGGGTAACATTCAGGGTTTTGCAATCTTAAATCCTACTAATGATGAGTGGGAAATTAGAGGGTAGAATATATGTTGTATATGATTACATATGTTGTAAGAGTGACACAAAACTTAAATTGCAGAACGACAATTATAGGCATAAAACCTCCAACTGCGCCTGTCTCAGGAACAATTACCGTTGCCTCACATAACTTGTAATAAAGAGTGTTGTTGAACTCCCCAAGCTTCTCGTCCCTGACTAAGTCCATCCAGGTATTGAGGGCTTCCACCTGCAAAAGCACTACAAAGGATGAGCTGCAGAGTAATTAACAAGGATTGCAAGAGAGGCAACTCAAGACCCTGGATTTGAGTAATACTGAGGGACATAAATTCTTAATGTGATCAAGTTCTTTCGTATCCTCAAAACTTCTTCACATCACTTCCAATATGCTACCTGAGAGCAATTCAGCAAAAAGGTAGAAAAAAAAACCCCCCACCAACATCACACAAGGCTAAAGGGCAAAAAAAAGCTATCTGCATAACCCAGATATATACGGGCGGATCAGCTGGCAGAATTTCCAATATTCAATTCTGCAAATGCTGGAAAATGTTGGAAAATTTCAAACAGCATATTGATTTCAGAGAATGTATTATCTTTAGACGAAGATATTGCTCTGCACCTGTAGAGCGCTGGCGGATTCTTCAGTAATCATCCGAAAAACAGTCTTTCTGAATTCTTGGTACTTGCTCCAGACCCACATCCGGTACACTGCTTCCGGCTCTTCTCCATCCTTGGCTGCTTCTACGCTCCGAGCACCTGATTCCAACTTTCCGGCGCGAAGTAGGGAGACGAAAAACGCTTGCAGCGAGCGAAGCGCTTCCGCCCGAGGAGGACTGGGGTGCTTAGCATTAGACAGGGTAGAAAGAAGAGCTGGAGCATTATTCACATGACTCCTAGAGGTGAGCAAATCGCTTCCGAGCTGCTTGGTTTCCTCCAGGAACGCAGACTTGCTCGCCTTCGACTCTTTTGCACGCATCTTAGCTTTCTAACAGCAACCAGACAAAGTCCGGAAGCAAATTACGCTTAGTCCACCAAACTTCTCGACCAGGCACACTCCGGATTATGTGATCCCGTGATATTTCCAATGCGGCTCTAAGCACACGACGACATGTCTGACGAAGAACATGAGAATTCCAAGCCGAGCAGCGATCGCAGATTCTCTGTGTCGTGTGTTTGAATCCTCAATCGCATGAATCTCCCCTTGACGCTAGAACCCTAAACCCTTTGCTGCCCTTAGCTGAAGGTTTTACCAACATCACGTTTGCAGGATTACAGGGCTTGCAATTCCCACTAGATCTTTTCACAGGAAGGGGCTGAGGCAGGTTCTTAACACCACCTACACTCCTCTAACAAGAACCGGTCTTTCTCTTCTATTCCAATCCCATTAATTACAGAGACCCTTCTCAAGGCTTTAATATTAGGATCCCAAGTTTTAAAACTTACTGGAACACCCTCTATCCATGAGTTTTAAGTGTTGAAACTCTATACAAAAGTATAGAAATATATATTGGAAGACCCATGGACAGCAAAACTCCTTTTACTGAACTACTTTCATCATCGGTCAAACTGAACTGATCATATATCATAAATTCTATCCAATTTTTATTTCTCTGGTTAGAGTATTACTTATCATACCAGAACGTCAAATTGTTCACTCAAAGTCAGACCAAATTGGATGTACGATGATGAAATGTGCATCTTTCAGGATGCATGTAAGGAATATTTAATAAAATTAGAAGAGATCTAGCTAGAATTTTTTATTTTTGTTATCTTTAACTTGAATCTCCTTTGCCTCGGATGAAGTTGGCTTTGTAATTTTCTTTCTTATGTTGGTTTTCTCATCATTCCTTTACTACATCCGTGTCTATTCAACGAAATTGAATATTGTATATTTGTGGCATTCTATATTTTATTGTATGTACGGTTATGAAAATAAAAGTATTCCGCGTTTCCGAAGACGTCGCCATTTCTACCACTTTCGGCGACACTGTAGAAATGGTGTTGTGTAGGTGATCTACTCAATCAAAATCATATGTAGATAAGAACCAATGGCAAAGGTCAAGCTTGTTATTAACAAAAATGGGAGAGAAAATAGTAGAGATTTGAGGCAAAGAGCTAGTTTAATTTTAAGAATAAAATTCTTCATTCTCAAAATTTTCATCAGAAAGTTGTTAGCATGTTCCGTTGAACTATCAAAATGCATAGTAGACTATGTAATGCTGTATAAACTCTAGAAATGTCAATTATTTTTTTTAACTATCAATTTTTCTTAAACGTCCAACCATAAGTTGTATTAATGGCAAAGTGAATAGATGCTCTGCTACAAATGCTCACCATCAATATCAATATATTTATACAATGTACATATCAATATTCTGTGAAAGAATATTTAGATTAAAGCTGAAATGGGATGTTTCCTCTTGACTTTTGATTTTAGCCATAAACTTGGTTATGATTGTTGAAAATGACTGTACGGAATAAAATTTCTGATGAAATCAACGCATCAATTACATTTTTTGAACTTTCAAAGTGATGATTAATTTTGGATCAGAATTAATCCTCACTTTGACAGTTGGCCAAGACTTTAGTCTAGAATAAATTTATAGCTTAATAGATGGAACAAAAATTGATTCTTTCTTATTTTTATGATAAGATCAATAAACAAACTTGTAGTTATTTTTTGACATAATTAAGATTTTCTATTTTTGGACTACTTACTGGTTTTGACCACATTCAACTAGATAAACAAATATAGTACAAAAGTGAATTATATATTAATTTTTTATTGTATTGGATTTCATTGCATCAACTAATTTTAGTAATTTAAGATGACATCTATAGAGGAAAAACCCTACTACTTCAAAAAATTCAAGAAAAGATGTCTCTGGATTTTAATCACAATTATATAACTGAAGTCAAAAAACATTTGAATTCATATTTTTGTAATAATTCTGAAATAATGATGATATGATAGCACAAGAATGTATATTATTTTATACATTAAGTTTGATTTTTGTTAGTTGTGAAATACATAAATAAATATATCAAATTTTGATTGATTATTATATCATAAATGTGACTTTTTTGCCATTATACACAATACTAAATTTTTATCATCAAATCTAGTAGTATCAATCATGTAGTATAATTAAATAAAATTATTATCAATTTACTTGACTGAATCACACGAATTTGATAAAAATATGATCTTAAAAATCTAGTAGATCAAAGTCACATTGACAAGTAATATTATTTTCTGTAGTAGTGATATGTTACAAACTAAATCTAAACAAATATATGCATTATGTAAATCATTATGATTAAATTTTTAAAAACTATAGATGAATAACTAAAAAACATCTAAAATAATTTGAAGTAACACGTGAAAATTTGATTCCTTCCTGAAGCGTTTGTTTTGCAAATCAAATCTAAATACGAATGAGAATAAGAAATGAAAATGCAAAAAATTATGTTAAAGAGTGTTCAAGATAAAATCTTAAAGCAAACATGACATTTAAAACTCATGATGAAAAACTAAACAATCATCATAGTTAAATATGAACAAGAATAAACTCAAAATTTGTATGTCAAAACTTTCAATTTCATCATCAATATCATACAAATTACGACATGTTCATTCATTCAAACTTTATTTGTTCAAGATAGTTCAATAATGATGATTCAAGGTTTTTCGCTCACAATACTTTGTAGTATGTATCTAGATGTTCTTTCTTCATTTGATTTTTGTAATTTTTCACATACCTTGTATCAAATCTAGTTCTATCCGTTTTTTAAATTTTTTCAAAGTATCTTGAATTAAAGTAGAAAATACAATCAAAAGTTAATAGATGTTTTAGTTTATTGTTAGTTTTTACAAGATCATTGATACAATCAAATCTTTATGTGTCAAGACTTTGGATTTTATTTTGATAATTTGCATGATGAGAATTGTGTAAAGTATATAGTCAAACATAATTTTTCTAAAATTTTGCATTAACCAACCGATATGCTCTTGAGCCATCACTGGATTTTAAATTTTTATCATCTTAGTTCCAAATTTGAATTGACATTAATCATTTTTGTTATCTTTTGAAAACATGATGCAGATTTTTCATATAAACACAAACTTGAATTATATTTGTTAATATATAATTATGATATTCAAATCTATAGTAACATTTGAAATATAATGTTTTGGCTGTATTTTGGATTTCACTTATTCATTCTTATGATCTTTCATTTTGTTCATCTATAATAAAAAAATATCAATTTGTTGTGATAATAAACAAAAAAAATTTGCTTGTTTTTTGTCACTCATAATAAAATCATGAACGTATGTCCATAAAGTTCATAATACAAAAAAATAATTTTCATATTTTTAAAAGTTCATGGTATCAAAATATGAAATCTTTGTCAAACAAGTTTGAAACTATAGCATAAGAATCTTATTTAACACTAATCATGTATAACAAATTGAATGTGCAAGCATATGCTAAAATTTAGTATTCATAAGTAAATTCATTGCAAAAATTCATTATATCATTCATCATAAACCGCATGTAAATTAATATTACACTGTCTTCTAAATTGGAAAAACAAAAATCTATCATAATATGATTGTTTAGTAACTTTTAGATATAATGTACTTTTGTATCGAAGATCAATAAATTTAAATATAATCTTGTTATAACAGATATTCAAATTTATTTAAGCATAATAATTTAACAAAATATTGACCTATAGTATATTGTAACATCGGGAACAAAGAGAGTAACTCACTTGAAAGTGGAACACAATTTTAAGAGCTACCAACAATGGTTATATGAAGTTTACCTACAATTACAAAGAGATAACATTTTAGCTTCCTCATACAATGATAATACTAACAAGCATATGGATTGCTAACATGGCACGGTCAACTAAAACAATTCTTATGTATCCACCAAGCACATGGATTGTTGAGGTAGCAACTATGAAGAGTGCATTATAATCTAATAATAATTTCATCTTGAGTAAATTTAATTTTAGTTTCACTTAATTGAAGATAGTTACATATATGTGATTTATTTTTTGATGAAAATATATTTTTGAAAAAAAACTACTTAAATTTTAATGAATAATATTTGACTAATTTTTCATCTACATTGAAAGCTTATTTAGTCCAATAATCCATAATAAAATCAGCTAGAATTGAAAAATATTGAAATTAGTCATAAAATATCCTTTTTCACTTACGATTGAATTTATATTTTTTATTATTAGTATTTTTATTTTTTTTAAAGAAAATAATAATAGTTTATTTTTAAATCAAAATAAAATCCTTTGAAACATAAAACTTGAATCATGTTAGATATCTAAATTGTTAATAAATTCTATTATCATTTTGACAAATTTGATCATTATATTAAATATAATCTACATATATAAAAATGGTAGCAACATGTTCATTATATTATTCACGTAGATAGATATAGAGTATTTTAACTATCATCTTCAAATTTTTAATGTTATAATTTAAAACATCTTTGGCACAAGTTATTGAGATCAAATGATAATTTTAATTTGTTTTAGTTTCATTACAAATTCAACTTTCAAAATAAACGTATCTAAGTTAGTTTTTTATATAAGTGTTTAACCTATGCATTTATCTTAAAGTGTAAAAACATATTCAATCCTAGACATACTTCCATCCAAATTCTTTAAAAAAAAAAAGAATATTTCATCCAAAATCAACTTTCAGATAATCAATTTAAAACTTGAAATCAAAAGATTTAGCATTTATGACAACATTAAAAATGTGAATCGATCTTGATTTATATGAAAACTCACTTCACAGCTTTCGAATGTATATTATTTTCATTTTAAATAAATTTTAAAGAATTTGTCAAAAAATAACAATCTCAAAATTTCAAATTTTCTAAAATGGTTTGTTATATAAGATATTGGACATTAAGCTTTTTGCATGTATAGTATTGGACACAAAGATATCGAAGCTTAAACTCAGGAGCTCAAATTCTTGCAATCCTTCACATTCAACCTTAAAACTAGCTCTTATGTATACTTGTCATGACTATATTATAACTTTTTATACTTTAAGATTTTTTTAATCATCATCTCATGAAACTATTTGCTATATCATGATCTCTAATGCTGAATTTAGAAATCAAGTACTTTTTACACTTGCAATTTCAATAAAAATTCTAGTTGCAATAATCATAAATTTATGCCAAAATAAAAATATTTTTAACAAAAATTGAAATATTTTGCACATTGCTGTCATAAATTTAAATTTATAATTTATTTTATTAATTTTTTAATTTATAATATTTACAACATTTGAGCAATTTTCAGATCATAATCTCTTGGAATTATTCACAATATTCATAAATTATTTTATGAAATTTTTTTTATAAATTTTATTGGAAAATAATTATTCAAAATAAACTTGAATAACAAGAAAATACAAGTATATTGAAGAATATATTTTATTATAATATACGGCCATTTTTGTGTGGATTTTTTTCATCAAACTTGACTTATAAATTTAATGTATTTTATCAAGATTTTTACTTAATTTGTAGATATATGTTGAGGTTAACTCCAATTAAGAAGTATAATTGGGTCCAAGCTAAATATAGCTACAAAGATAGACTGAACTCGGGGATAAATACCACTTCTGCATGTACATTAAAACCATGTTTCACAAACTTGGAATAAAGCATAGTGCGTATTTCCGTCGTGAACATATCCCCTTGGAAGAATTGATCCAAATTATTTCATGTCTCGTGTGCTTGGTTTGATTTCTCACTGATGATTCTCAGTTAAACCTTCAAAAATATAATCATTAGTGTTTAACAAATAGAATATTTCATACATGTGATAAATTAGGTTGGTTTAATATATTTGTTGTTGTTATTATAATATTCAAATAAATCACTAAGAAACATTTGGCACATGTGAAATGTATATTGTAATAAGATGAAAAATTATTTATACATGAAATATGAGATTTGAAATTTTAATTTTGATCCAAAAGCTATTTTTTTGTTGTTGTATGATATGCGATATTTGGGTTTGAAGATTACTTTGTGATATTTTTATTTTTGATGATTTATCAGAAAATTTAGACAGTTTTATAAACAAAATATACACTCATTAAAACTCTATTTTCAACATTTTATGAAATCTCCTATTAAATATAATATTTATTTTCAAAAAAATTCAAATTTTTCAAGATAGTCAAATTTGCTTTAGAAGGAGTTTAATCTTGCTTGTTTATACTATTTAAAATTTATTGTAACCGAGATCATAAAAAGCATACTGTAAGTAGAGAGTAAAATTAATACAGTAGAATCAAAAGCACTCAAATTCTCCTGCCTAGAGACACTGTGTTATCGCGGCTTAGTCTTTTTATGCGGTGCATGCAAATGTCCCTGTGATATCAAGTTATAGGATCTAACGTCAAAGGTAAGTTGATGATATTTTCTTAGCATATAATGCAAACAGAATTATAGATAACGATATTTTCTAGAGAGAAAAAAATCTTTAGGATAATATATATGATATTTTAAATAAAATGACCAATATTTGAATGCCACAATTGGTCATTCTTATTAGGAGATTTAAAACATCCGTTTCTTCACAAACAGTATTGCCCTCTACCGCACATAAATTTGTGATTTTATATATGTCAAAATGAACTTCCGAGCCAAATCTTTTCTTCAAGTAATAAGTAAATTCTCTTTAACAATGATATGAATCTAACATACTAGAAGACAAAAAAAGTTTTAGTCATTGCAATTTATACCTGAATGTGAAAAATTACGATCATATATATAAATCTTCACAAACCGAATTTTTCTATTGGGACACTGATGATCATGTGTGGTTACAATTGAAATAATTAATTTTATAAAAACTAAACAAACTTTCTTTGATATTATAATTAACTTCACATCCATAATATGAATTCTATTCATCTACATTTTGCTATTCTAAAGTGAAAATGTTTTAAAGTAAGCATCATAGAATTTAATTTTCATGGAACAATTACTCCTCATCTTTATTGTTGTTTGCTGAAGAGAGTTTACATGATTTGAGACTAGAGTTTTTTGTGATATGATGAATTCTACCAGACTTATAGCAAAACATGATAACTATCTATTAATCCAACACAATTATGATGTTCATGTACTTGAGTAGCCATCCAAACTCATAATAAAAAGATAGTGGTGAATATTTTAGATTCTAATTTCAAAGAAATATTGAATATATACATATTCAAAAGTTAGTTTTTAGTCTCTCATATGTACTTTTTTTGACGAGTATCTAGGTTTTGCGTGGATGTATCTTTTACATCCACATTCTGAGATTACTTCATTATCATAAAGTGAACAGTTTTATATATAGACATAACTAGCAACGTAGTAAGATTCATAGTTGTGTGATTCTTCTTGTTATAGAAATAGTCAAAAGATTCATTTTGATAATCTTAGTTACAGCTAATTTCAAAATTATTGTATTTTTAGACTAATTAAATATGATAACTTGTGGAATCTATGCAAGAACATCATTTTTTTATCATTTATCAAAAACAAATTCAAATCTATGAATATATTTAATGAAATTTTTATATATTATGTTTTATAAACTAAATGATAAGTTAAGGGTTCAAAATTAAAAGTACAAAATAATTTGAACACAAGGAAAAAAAAGCTTCTAGAATCTCTAGCTAGGGCAATAATGATTTGTAAATTTTTTTAAAATCAGAAATGAAATCTCACAAAGTGACATATAATAAAAATGAATTACGTGAACACAATAGCACATTGTCTAAGTACGTATTTTGATAAAGTACGCATTGCATTATCAAATAAATATTGGTCAAATTTATTTACTTCTAAATTTCCTGTATTGTCATTTGACGATTTTAAAGATTTTTGGGTTTGGATTTCAAATGACAGCCTGAACCTTACCTTACAAACCATACCTTTCTAAGAATGTTTTCAACCTCCTTCACTAACTTTGCACTAGCGCACTACAGCCTTTCTACTGAAAGCGTACGTCTTGCTCAGCTTTGTTATGAAGTCGTATTGCAGGGACTCATTGAGATGTTTTTCATTTGACTTTTTTACATTGCAACCATATCAATTAATGAGTAATTTATTTTTCTGAAGTTAGATACTATCAGCTAAATACGCACAACGATCCCAACTTCAAATTACGTATTTAGCTGAAAGGCTACCTTACCGCATGAACCTCGCCTTGAGTCCGCCTTCGGACCGTACTTGGTCACTTGGAGTTGAGATCACAAGGGTTGGGCCTTCTTGAGGTCATTAAATACAGCACAAATGTAATGACTTGTGCTGTATTGAATGCCTTATCCCGGATAAGGCATTCAATACATAAGTTATTCCCATGTGGGGATGTTTGACCCTTGGAAGTCTTCATTGTCGGTGGTGACAAATATTACCATGTCGGGCTTGTTTTGAACCACGGACAGCCTTTTTTTCACTATAAACAAACCTGTTTGCGGATTAAGCTTTTCGCAGTTCTATTATACGAAAATTAATAGATCTATGATGGATGAATACGATAGACTGACACTAACAAGAACTTGTTCCAACAGTCCTTATTTCCATAATATACTTGCATACTCTTAAAGATACTTGGACAGGTTTATGCATTTGAACCAATATGTGAATTTCTTCCAAAACATCCATGCTCGTCCCGTCCAGATTCGGAGTTCATTTGTCTTCTCGCTCTGATTTGTTGAATGAATCAAAGTAATCACGTAGATGATCTATTGCCTATGGCTGCTTTTCAACAAAACCCAAACATGCTAAATTCTCGACATAAAATTACAACTCAAACATTTTATCGTGATGTTTTAAATTGTGACCAGACTTCAGGTTTTGATTTAATAACATACGAGGTTTACTAAAGAAACAAGTGGATGTATGAAGTATGAATATGGATAGTACAAAGCAGCCTTGCACGAATTCGAGGCGTTGGATTCAACCGAGGGTGAGAGTATCCCATTCCAAGGTAACATGATTCAGAGATGAACGAAGCTGCAATTCAAAATCTGGATTTTTACATTGGGTACATAAATGTTGATGAAGAATCATAAGCCTCGACCCAGAAGCTGCAATTAGAAAGAAGACTCACGACACGCAAGTTGAACCAATAGACAGTGAAAGGTACAATAATACAGTTACTTCGACTGTTCACAACCATGCATATAGCTTTAGGCTATAATCTTATTGAGATGCTCTACCATACTCTCCGACAAGAAGCAGAAACAGTAGCACTGATAAATGGTGTCCTATATCTACACAGTAATAACAAGAATATTCAAGCACCGCTATGGAAGTAACCTTAATGACATTCACCTCATTGTTAGGCCTACTCAGCGTATATGATAAGCATTATAAAACTCTTAAGCACTGAGAAGATGATCAGAGACCAATATACAGTCGAGACGACAGTGATACAAATTCTTATCCACAGTTCAGGCGACTAAACGAGTCGATATCAAGACAGGAAGAGATGACAATGCAAATGAGCGAACTGCTCTGAAAACCGGTAGGTTGAGAAGTATGTTAGGTATACAAATCAACGCTCCGCTGACCTTGCCAGCAGCCCATTATCATCAACTCGGAAATACACTAACCAACTTGTAAGTTTGAGCAAAGTCAGCTTACTAAACATGATACTGCCGTCCCCAGTTTTCCCCGGTTGCTGAATGATTGAAAGATTTCAAGCCACAAGCTGTTCAGGTGCCTATCCGTATCAAAACAGCCAGTGCTATATATGATGTATAAGACACCAGTACCTTGACCAAAATCGGATTGGTCAGCAGCTATTGGATGCTCAAACTTACATTCGTTCGATTTGAGGTGACTTCCAGATGAGCGATTTCACTCAACAAGAAAGCGAAAATCCCTGCATAACTCGAGATTGTCCCAGACAACGGAGGGGAGGTTGTTCCTTGTAAAAGGTAGAATATAGCTATCCCTCATCAAATATCTTGTGATCGACGACTCGAGAATGTTAAAAGTTTTGAATAGCAGAGAAGTACTTCGGAAAAACATTATCTATGGACATGGTACTTTTTAATTACTGGTCAGAGTATGTCCAAAGATCTCGGATGAGATTCTGTAAGTCAAAATTTAACAAACATGGTTTCCAACACTAATATATTTACCCACAATAAGAACACAAGTTGTAAATCCCAATATAAATAGAAACACGTACCTTGAACGAAGACAGAATGAGAAACAATTACAGGTAATGTGCAGCAATTATTGATGATGTGGAATAGAATGTTAGGAGCTATTCTAACACCTGACAATTGATTGACAAACCCTCTAAAAGGGTACTGATGCTGCTGCTGCCGCTGCTCCTGCTCCTACCTACCATAATCAAAAGGATCTAAAACACACTTGTACAAGTGACGGTGAAGACAAATTTTCAGTTTTGTTACAAAAGAGGGTATAACCATATCTGACTGGTACACCATCTCAATAGTCTTCTCTCCACGAACTGCAACACTGCCTGCAGCTTTCAACGGCGATGCCTCACCGATTACCGTAAGGCTGTCCCCAAAGAATTTCCTGTAAAAGATATTACCGTACAAATCCCTACACTATAAACATAAGGCCATGACATTATTTTGCTTCTGCCTGATCTCCTAAGCTCAGAGGAGCCGTTGCTGACTTGTGAGAGCTTCGCACACCCGCTCTAGAAGCAAGATGAAGTCATTCTAAGTGGTATGGTTTAGTGCAGGCCCCTTCACAACATCATCCCTAGATCTGACAAATCATCCATGGGGACTTCCAACCCCATCACATATTCTCCTTGGTGCAGATTTACATCTTCATCAAAATCTTGCAACCAGGAACCTAAATCTGGGGCTTGTCCACCCAAATCCTCTATTCCCGGAAGAGGTATGTTTGATAGATCCACAGCTTCTTCGGAATCAGGCACAATATTGTGGCTGGCGAGGGGAGGTGCAGCAGCTGGAACCTCGTCCTTAGGCTTTACCTGACCAACAAATTGTTGAGTAGAAGTAGGAGCCACAGGTCGATCTTTTGATTCAGCTGTAGGCTTTGCGAGTAAGCCATTTACGGCTTTAGATAGTGGAGCTGTTTTTTGTCTAGGTTTGGTTTTGGTCTTCCGTTCAGGTTTCGCATTTACAATTCCTGTCTGACGGGCTACTTTTGAGCTGTCACTCCGGGTGTGACTTTCCTTACCATGGCCTTTCCCATCTCGCTCGCGCTCACTCCTCTTTCCTTTAGTCCCCGCGAGAACATTGGCTCCAAGGGCATTCACATCGCGCATTCCAGAACCTCCAGCGACATCCTCCAGGTAAACCTCTCTTTCCTTAGCTCGTAAAGGCCATCCGTCCTCCTTTCCTCTACTTCGATCCGCAGATGACGGCATCGTTTGCTGCCGGGCTTCTGTGGTTGCATCCTTTTCAGACTTCACCTCAGTCCTCCTCACGACAGACCGTCCTCCCGGTCCTTCGCTGGATACAGAGGCTGTGGCAAAAGTGGCCACATCAACTTTTAGGATGAAGTTTACAGCAAGATTTGATAGTTACTCACACCATATTAATAAGAAATATGACCAAATCAAAGAAAGTGATGATAAGTGCAAATCCTAGTGAATGTGGAAAACAAACTCAGGAAGCTTACCTGTCGGCTTGGGAGGCTGTGGTACTGCAGTCGAGGCAACAGGTTCCAAATTCAATGAGGTCGCAGGAGTAGGAGCGGAAGCCGGAGTAACGCCTTCAGGAACACCGACGACAACAGCACTGCTCTCTACCTCCCTGGGAGCCACACCAAGGAGCAAGTCCTTGAGTGCTCCATCGAAGCACGTCTTTCCTGCCTCATAACCTCTTACTCTTAATAACAACCTCTTGACCATCGCGAGACTAGCTGCCTTTGCCCCCTTCGAAGCAGAACTTTTACCCCCAGAACTACCTCGAGTACCCTGCGATCAATGTTATTGAGTACATCTCGGCGACGTCAGTTGTTGTAGTGATCCTCGCACAACCTTCTCATAAAGATGATGTATAAACGAACGCTTAACTCCATACGGGATTGACAAATGGACTCAACTAAAGATGATTAAAAAAGATGAAAAATACGCCCAACCATATGTAAGAGAATGACTTGAAAGCAACATATAGATGCATATTTTCAGAAGGGACAAAACCATGAACCTTTCAATCGAACATGCTTTCGAACCTATATGAAACCCAGAGTTGTGAAAAGAGTATTTCCAATTCAATTTATGGGGTAGTTTGAACAATGTTGTATTACATTCAACCAAAAGACATACCATTCGCTTTGAGTAGGCAATCTCTACAAGCTTGTCAATCGCAAGTCGCTCACGATCCCTGCGTACAGAGGAGAAGATAAATGTGATTTCAACAGCTGTATTCGAAGATTCACAACCTGTTTTTGCGAGTACCAACTTTTCGTACTATGTAATTCATTCGCAGTGGTCAAACTTTACATCAAGTTAATGCGATTCGAAAAGAAAACAAACATGATAAAATGTACGTGGAACCTTCCCAAAACGCTAGAAAGAAAGAGATGACATTGTCACAGGGTTGATAACTGAAGGAGAATATTAAAAAGTAAAAGGTAACAAGCTTGCAAACAGATTTAAGTCCTAAAATCACCAATCCCAGAAGAGAAAATGAAACTTATAAGATTGAAGTGTGTCAGACTGTTGGTTTCTCCGTGCTTTTCATTTGAAAGTAAGCACTTCCAAGACGAATGATTCATTGTTTATAACATCTATCTCGACTTCTACAGTAAAAGTGTACGTCTAAATCTTGCTCAAAAACACTTAAACTTAGGCCTCTACAACTATTACTCAGTCTTCATATGCGGCAAACCTTGAAACATTCGTTAATTATTATATCCACCGAAAATACCGCAATCAAATACATCTCAAAAAAATGCACACTCTGCAGGAGGTTAAAAGTCGTACATTTCTTCCTTCTCCTTGTTTGCAAGGATGTGCCTCTCCAAAGTATGAATTCGATCTTTGTTGATGGCCACCTGAGCAACCAAGTTCACAAACAAGTGAGGCTTCATTCCTTGGTTTAATATAATACAATCTTTAACCTAATCGAAACAAGTCCACACCAGGGCCACTGATCTCTAAGACATCTTACTTTCCAAATTGCTTCGAATTTCATGTTGCTCCAGCATATAATGAATCATGTACAGAGGAACATCTGGCTACCGTCAGTTACTTGAGAGGTAACAGATCACTTTCTATTCCAACACCTCTACGCTCTATAATACTAGCGTTCGTTTCCTAGAGGTCCCAGTTTTAATCTACCAGAGTTGTCATAAGTATGTGCACCTCCTTTTGAGTGAACCATGAGCATCTATCTTGCCGTCCTATAAGAATCAAGAAATTCCATCTCTAGACCTTCAAACCAGATGTCCACATAATCCCAACAAAGGATCCTGGGACTATTTATTGGAAAGAACCAGAAGATCTCAAGAATACGCTCAAAGAAAGTCAAAGATGGTTCTACGATGCTTTTGTCAACTGGTTTTAGTGATCTGTACATGGTGTACATGCTGAATAACTTTCATTAAGTGAATGTAAATTGCATACAAGGTATTCTTTCCAGCTAAAAGGGAGCCACTTGAAAGTGGAGGAACCTCCAGTGTCGGAGTTACGTGTCAGACATCGGAACTCCAACTATTTCAACAGTCACGCATATGTAGCTACGGTAAGTCTGTAGCTAGCTGGGAAGGCGTTTAACAATAGTTCCTAGCTTTACGAGCAAAAAAATATGATGAAAGCCATACCTGATCACTAAGATCACGCTGCATTTTCCGGATCTCCTCGCATACTTCATCGTCTTCCCTCTGCGCAGGATCAGTCTAAAACAGCAAAACATGCAAAAAAGTTTGGTTGAGTGTGCGAAAAACCAAGAACAAGAAGGTTATTCTGACGAGTTCATTCTTCATTACCATAACAATAACTTACGACGTACTTCTTGGCCCCAATACTACTGTGTGGGATAAACTTGCAGATGCATGACAAGTTCGAACCTAGTGCCTTGGGAAAAAAGAAGTTGTGATGAAGTTGATGGACTACACACCGGTGGTTCAACGTTGATCCCAATAGTTTGAAGTTCCAGTAATATTCGTTCATCAACAGTCATGCGCTGATAATGGATCTCCCAAGCCGTCATATTCGAAGATGGCCCAGAAGATCTAATTCCACGTTCATCCTTACCAGATAATATTCCATCATCACCTACCTCTTGCTTTACAACCGGCGCTATGTTATCCTCGGAATTCCACAGAATATCCTCATCATCACCACCCAGCTCGTCACGATGTAGATTATGCGCGATACGAGTGGTGTGACCATTGGGAAGGATATCCCTTCCACCAGTGTTCCATCTTTCAGTATCATGTCTTCCAGTTTCACCATCAGAGTCACCATCCAAACGATCACTCTCACTAGTACTCCCAAGGCCATGCGGAGACTGGTCTCTTCTAGAGTACAGAGAATGATCATGAAAAGTATCCCTTCTTCGGACTTCTTCATCAATGTCGCTCTCTCCTATAAGTGCAGCCAACAATCTTTGGGAAAGAGGAAGAACCCTTTCAAACCACTGGCCACTGACCCCTTTCCTCGCTGTTTTACCTACTTCAGATTTCTCCTTGAAACTGTGCCCAAACTTCACACCATCTAATTCTATACTGCCATTAGCTATGGACATTGACCTGCCACCACCAGAATCGATGCTGGGAGACACAGGTGGAGTGTTGTTTCGTTGTCCCTCCGGCTGCAAAAAGTAAACCAGTAATAATTGAGCTAAGCCCTTAACAAAACGGATCTATGACCTTCAGCATTTATATTATTATGTTCATTCTTCCTCTCTAAGAAAGTCACGCATAATATAACTATGACTGCCTTCCACCGGGCCTCCTCGCATTTAAACGCCAACTTCTACGGGAGTATAATTTGGGGACGTGCCAGAAGCCAAATGCAAGATAGATACAATATTCAAACGGATGATTCACAGCTTCACATTCGGCAGACTAAATATTCTCCTTTTCCGTGAACAACCAAGGACACAGTCATGAGCAGAGTCCAGAGATGGTTGATTATCCTACTTAAAGGCTTAAACCACCGAAGTCAAGCAAAACTGCGACTATCTCAAAACTAAACGTCGAATTAACTCGAACCGCAAATAAAACCGCTGGTCAGTACAAAAGGAACGCGAATCCAGCAAGCAAATTGAGGCACACATCAATACTGCGTGACAACTAACGTTCACAAATATTATCATGACGGATTGGTGGGTGAATGGGGAAACTTGGAACAGGCCTGTTTCACCTCACACAAATGGCATATGCTAGAATCTAGGAGCCGCACACGAAGCAGGAGAGATCTTAGGAAAAACCCCAAGCGTTTTCTCACTCCTTGAGCGAGTCCAGCAAAGAACTAAACCTTCCAAGAAATTTTGGTCACACTGTGAACTACAGATTTAGTGATGCAGAGCTCGCTCAAACTGCTGTAAAGTCAACCCATCAATGACAAAGAACTTCAACTAAACAAAGACCTTCACCGGATAAGTTCATAATTTTCACCTTGCCAGTAGATTCCCCACACGCTGGTATAAGCAATGCGGAGTCTCCTTCCTCCAAATCCTTTGTCTGCAGTAAGACATCACCAGTACATAGAAGTTATCTAATGTTGTATCGTGTAGACCAGATCAAACCCATTCCCAACATATACTTCGCTAATGACAGTACAAAATGAGTATGTGCATCAAATAGGCATGTAAAAACGATTGTAACAAAGGTATAGCCTGCATTAATCGCAAGCTTCCTGCATGCACTATGCAGAACTGAGAACAAAAGGCCGGACGAAACAACAAAACACAAAGGCAAGGAGAACTTAACAAAATGCACTTCATTATGGATGCAAGTAATTCCAAGTGAACTGAAGCAGGAAAGGGTCCCAACCAATTGATGGAGTGACAGCATATCAGCTGGTGTCAAATGAGCGAAGTATGGCTCCATCTGTTTCCAAAAGGCATTTGTGCAAGCGAGTCCTGAAGAAAGCAAGAATAATGTCTTAGTACCCATCTTTGTAGGCTACAATCCAGGACAGGCACCATTTAAACCACACACGAGAAAATCCTCTCGACAACAAATATTTCCTAAATTCCGGGGAACCAATGAAGACACATTACTGATTAAGCAGCACACCCTCCCCAAGGAATTTCCCCACGCACCCTACTTAGAAAGACGCTAATGAAATGCAAATTATAATAATAATCTGAAGGTCAAATAAGCTTAATACCACTGGCATTTATCGCCATATTCACGGCGTTCAGCAGCTCCTCTCGATCATCATCTGATTCGCCTGCATAAACCATCCCCATTATTGATCTTGACAGGAAAGTTACCCACTCTAGAGCTTGATTCAGGGCATATTCGAGGGCCAAAGACTACAAATCAGATGGCGCGAGGAGTCCAACTTACAGGTTTCAAATGATCACCTCCAATAGTGCAACGCTAAAACAACTTGGATATGACAAAAGAAAAAGAAAAAAAGTAACAGAGCCACGGCTAACAAATAAATCCCACGTTTCACAAAGCTGTTTTTTTCAATAGTTTAGAAGTGACAACGGCGTTCCTAGCTAGAAGGAATCTAAAATATGGGCAACTGTGTTATAAGTAGACACAGATAGAACTAATGGAAATTGACTTTGAGCAGAAGTATATGCATAACACGGAAGACTCGACAACTAACCTGAAACCTCAGACACTCCATTTCCCATTGGACGTCGTGGCCTTCTCGCCGCGGTCTCCACTTTGCGATCAGCAGCCGTATCCTTTTTAGTAGGAGGACGACCAGGCCTGTCAACCATTCAAACAAGGAATTAACATTTGCTTGAACACGCCCAAGAAATGCAAGGAAAGGGCTCTGCAATAAAGTCTACCGGACTGAAGAAATAGATAACCAGCCCGAAAGCAGGAACTAGTACAACTGACGGAACCAAAAAAGTCATGAGACGACAGGAAAAATCTGGGAGGGAAAAAATTTCCCGCAGATAAAATTCCAGATAACACTATTTTATAAGTGGCAGATCACAAACCGACGATCCGTTGGTATCAAAACATAACAAAAAAACCACAAAACTCTCAAAAAACCTACGAACAGCATCGATTGCAATTTCGTGTTGATACAATCACACCAAGCGAGACACTGATTAAAGATCTGGAGGAACGAAAGAACACAGAAACCCTTTCACCGGGAGTGAACTGAAGACTAGAAATCAAACAATGGATCCGCCCTTAAAGAAAGCATTGAAGGCAGAGACGGCTTAGCTTAAAAGTAGGTGTTACATGACCAATTACGAGGGAATCAGAATCAGAATGTACAAAACAAATTAGCAAAAACCAGTGAGGTAAAACGCAAAGCCTCTACATCGAAGAAGACACATGGCATAGGAAGGCATGGCAGAACGTAAATGAGGCAATGTGTACATGATTAAAGGTAAAGAATTGTACTGCATGAATCAACATAAGATCAGAGTGTATGAGCGGCATGCAAGGAAAAGACGCAGTATACAGGCAGGCACACCAAACATTCGATTTGTATCAGACTCGACCTAAACAGCGGGGCCAAATAAATACCTATCGTGTTTCTCAGGACCAACCCTCACACTCCTGAGCTGCTTCGCATTTGCGGAAACTTCCACCTTTTCAAGTACGGGATTCACCATGCTGGTTCTCGGAGCAACCGCACCTCTACCACTGCGTCCCTGTCTCCGTACACCATCTCCGCCCTCTTCTTTAGCCACCACTCGGGTTTTTTTGGCAGGAGCTACCAAATTTCCCATCTTTTGACTAGTTGGAGGGGGTGTAGCTTTCTGTTCCCAGTCTCCTTGCTTCTTGGCTTTTTCCTTAACTTTGTCCCCATCATCTTCTGACTCGTCACTTTCAGACAAGCCCACAGACGTTGTAACCCGATCCCCTACCTTAGGTTTGGCTTGCGGATGACCATGTGTACTGGAAACTGACACCCTCCTGGCAACACCTGAACCAGAGGCCATTCCCGGATTGGATCTCGCTCCCACATTGGTTCCACCGTTATCACGACTAGCTGGGCTTTCACTAACAGCAGTTGGTGGATCTTCACGAGCTAAAGCAGCGCCTGGCATTAAATTCACCCGACGGGCAATACGGGCCATCTTTTGTGGCCTCTGCCCAACCCACTGAGCCGGAGGTGAGGAGGACCTTGAAGGAGCGGGTCTCTTTCTATTTGTTGCGGCAGAGGGTAATTGTGCTTGCACCTTGGGTGGAGGACCATGTCGTTCACGATTATCACCAAATGAAGTATTACGAGCCAAATGTGCGGGACCGCCTCCAGCACTCGAACTTGACCGAGGGGCGCGGGCGGCCTTTGCCTTCGTTAATCCGGTGGGATTTGCCGGATGAGAATCTTCTCGAGAAGGAGGCCTGTATGGAGACACAATCTGGTCAGACCTGATGATGCAATTCGGCTCAATTCCGAATGGGATCCAAAAGATAATAGAGCAAGCAGAAGCCTTTGTGAAAACAAACGTGAAAGATTATTTGTGCTGAAGTAATAAAAGGTCTTCCAAGTACTTCCCTACTAAGTGCCTCAACACTTCATTATATATTGTTAAAGTAAAGACTGCTAGAAAGACCAATCACAAGTACTCATTACGGGCAATAATTACCAATAGAATAATTACCAGGATGAAAGAGAACAACGGAGATGTTTATGTAAACAACATGACGCGAAAGTGTAACCTCTCGACGTACGACCTTAGTGACGGTGAAAGCGAAAGTGTAACCTCCAACGCGAAAGTGTAAGTTACCTCTCGAGAGGTTACACTTTTGTACGACCCCTAAGAAATAAGTATTTGCATAACCTAGACACCTACTACCTTAGTAAGTGCCTCAACACTTCATTACAAATTGTTAGACTGCTAGAAAAACCGAGCACAAGTACTCAGTACGGGCGGTAATTACCCATACACTAGGATGAAACTGAGGTCGTACAGAAGAAGTTACACTTTCGCTTCATGTTGTTTACATAGACATCTCCGTTGTTCTCTTCCTGTACGACCCCTAAGGAATAAATGTTTCCATAACATAGACACCTAGGCTAGACACAGACCTCACACCCTAGCTGCATGAAAAATCAATCCCTTCTTTTTTGCCTAGGTTTCAACCCAGAGAAAAGGGAATCAATGCTTTTCGTATCACCATATAAGAAACTTCTTACGTATTCCAAAAAAGAAGATGGAAAACACGTGTGTGAAGTTTGTTATCTCAAAACTCATTATCAAATGAGATAATGAGTTTTGAGATAAATAACTTCAAAAGACTAACATTTGAGATGAAGACTAGGAAAACCATCGTTACGACGTAGCTTAGACCTGAAACAAGCACCGTGTTTCAAAAGTGAAAGCCGGAAGGTTTCAAACTCACGAAAGGTAGTAAAAGGAGAAGACAATTAGAAGAGGCAACAGTAGCGTTAAGACGATACGAAATTAGGTCTTTAAGTACAAAAATTCTTATACTGTGCTCAAGGCATTTCTAGTCAACAACACAGCATGCTACAAAAGTCTTAGCGGCCAACCCTGAAAGACGAAGCCTCAAGAGAAACACATTAACACCATGGTAAAACACGAAATAAGATAAAAAAAGTGTTCATACTTATTGTCTTTTAGAGGACGCTCCAATTTCGGGGTTGACTCAGGCTTTTCTGGGATCTCTCTGCCATGTGGAATATCTCTTTCATTTTTATTTGTCCCACGGGACGCAACACCATTGAACTGTACCCCTGAGCTCTCGGACTTGTGAACTGAAGTGATCCCATGGACGGGCCCTGACCTGCAAAGACACTGAGTTATTTCTGTGACCTTCATATATAAATAACCAAATCTTCAAGCACACCAACATGAGACGAAGCTTAAGTGACTATATACACAGTCATAGAGTAACCAAATTACATGAACAGCTAAATGACATCTGCAAAATCATTTTATTTTCGGGGTAAAAAGTCGATGATTGAAAAGATTTCAATTATCGACTTTTTACCCCGAAAATAAAACGATTATTGTTAATTCACGAACTAAAGCTCATTTAGCTTCTGTACAAGTAGAAATATAAGTCAAATAATAACCTATCATCATAGCCTGAGATAATTGGTGCACCAAGGTGTCTTTATCTAAGAAATGTGATGGAGTAAAATGATGCAGACCTCAAATCAAATGCAGCCCAAACTTTCGAGCACATGAGCTACACTGGAATCCAAATTTGAACAAAACTGTAAACGTTTTGGCCAAAGGTGTATATACATTGTTCACGTAAGGGGTTCGGCGTCGGCGGAAGGGTTGACATGCAAATAATAATAACTTGACCACACCAAATGCACCAATGCGTGATCACACACGTTCGTGGGATGCCTTACTAGTGTTGGGGGAAGAGACGGGTGAAGGAGGTAGACCCCAAAATAAATCGAAATGTACTTGGTTAATAAACACACAGCGTGAACAAATTGTGTATACGACATCATATTATCAAGGAAGGTTGAGATAACAAACAACAGAAAACAATCCATGTTGAAAAACTTAGGAAACATTCGTAAACTCTGACATGATATCGTGCAAATCCAGTGCAGACAAGTAAGCAAAACGGAAAGACTCATCTTCACATATATACAACGAGACCGAGGAACATGACCGGCGGCAAGCATTAATTTGCCATCATTAGAAACTTAGCCGCGTCATCCATACGTAAGTCATAACATCTAACCCATGGCATCAGGTAGGACTGCAGTCTGAAGCACCTGCACGCTATCAAGCAGAGCCATAGGGTGCTGTGAAGGAGGACTTCGTCTTGCACAAACATTTATCAGTTGAAAAGTACCAAAATGTAGATCTAAGAAAATAAAAATAACCGAAAACAAATAAAAGGAGAAAAATAAGAATGGGAAGCAAAGTTTTGAAACAGAGAGACCTGGGCATCTAACAACTGGACAGTGCGACATCTCCACCATCTAGATAGATTAAGAATGTCGACTGACACATAACTAAACACTGAAGTAAGACTGAAGGAACAGAAAATCATGAAACAGTCATGGTAAATGGATGGAAGTCTATGTAAACGGCTGAAAGGGCCACACATGAGCTCCTCACCCAAATAGTTTACTACAGTATTCTACCTGACTGATTCTTATGTAGACATGTCAATATCCGTCATAACAACATGGAGACTTAACACACCTTCGAATCTTGAAGTGTGAGTTGTTAAAAGCGTGAACATAATGATCTAAGCATGAGCTAAACACTTGCGCGAAATTGGTACTCTGTGCCAGGATTAGCTCATGCATGGTATTAATCAAAACATTTTTTTATATGTCCCAACTTCTACCATTTCAATGAAATCCAAACCATTACTAACAACCCAGTCAATCGCTGTATAAAGGCGAGGAAATATGTAAATGACAGGAAAATATTTGATATAGAAAAACCTAACAAAGATAACACTGAGAACAAACTAAATGATAAACTGACCTATAATCAAAGCTGTCCAATAACAAGCCTAACACAATGACTTATTTCTCTGCGTGAACATGGATATACAATGCTTGTCTATAGTAGAACATATGTATTTACATAGAGGGCTGCTTACTTAAGTAGAAGGCTGTTATTATGGAAAACTTTCAGAAAGTGACCAAACGAAAATTGAATCCATCCCACATGAAAACTTTAACTTATTTTTGATTGCAACACATCACTGATTCCAAACTCACGTAACAAGCGTTCATCCTAGTTTCTCGTTAACACATCTCGGCTTACCTAAAGCCATGACCCTCACTTGGCCTTGATCTACTTTCAGAATTTGCACGATGCTGCTGACCACTCCACTTATGCTCCCGATCACCTTCAGAGTTCCCATTCGCCAAAGCTGCAACCGAAGCGTCTGGCTTCGTTCCTGAACGCCTCCCCTTCATCTTGGTTTTCTCCCATCCTTCACTTGGAGGGGCAGCTGCCCGCTCTTTTTCCTCTGCAGGTGATGTGAGAGAACTACTGGGCCTGGAGACATCTCTGTCTCGATCCGTCAAGACAGATGGTCTCTGCGGATTCACGTTGGTGGGACGACCGTCGGGCTGCAATATGGATGAGATCATCACGTGGGGGTACATGAAATTCAATAAATAACTTAGCCAAAAAAAAGGCTGGAAGTCTCATATGAGATAACTAGTCGATAATCGAATACCTTGACAAGCCCATGCTCAAGTATTAACTTTCCCATTTTGGCCCAACCCATCACGTTTCACATCTATTGAAACTATGATGTGGGGTTGTTATCTTCAGCAGCTAGGAACCACAAAACAACAAACCAACGTATCCAGGGCAAGCCATATGTTTATCATCCAAAGGTACGCCTAGTAAACGATCTCCTTTCTAACTCTTCAAGCACTTGGCTAGTCGTAAATTAGACTACAGATTCTTTCGTTTATTCCAAGTAGCATTCGAGGCATGACATTCAAACGTATGAATCACCAAATACTACAGTTTCTTCTGATCTACACGATACTATAGTTTCTTCTTATCTACAACACATTCAATCACCATCACAAGGTATACAATGAGACATACCCGAGTATCGGCCATGGACGTCCGAACCCTCTTGTTGGGAACCACCCTCTTGTTCCTGTCTCCTCCCTTAGGCATTCCGGCATCGGAACCACCCACATGTGGATTGGGGGCATTTGTATTTCCTTTCATGGTATGAACGGAAGCCACTGAACGTTCTCCAACCCCTAAAGAGGAAAGAGAACGTTCAGCTGAGGCCGGCTGTGACAATGATGTATTGCTCGGATCGGGCCTCGACCGCTTCCGAGACTGGAGGGTGCTCCGAAACCGATCCAGCTTGACGATTGCCTCGGAAAAATGTTTAGATCTCTCCCTGTTCAACAATGCCCGAAAACAACATCAGCCATATACATGATTTGTATGCAACATACTTCTGAGTGATTACAGAAGGGAGAGAGAAAAAGCCTTCTAACTAAGATGGTGGGCAAGGATGGATGTGGCCAATTTCATAGGTGAAAGGATATGAAATGGAGATCCACAGAGAATATCGCGTCTTGTATCAACACATGGACTCTAAACCGCGCGAGCCTATCTTCCGCGCGCCGACTCATCCTTGCCACGTAAGTGGTGGGACACTTTTTGAACCGGCTTTATAACTAGTTCAAAAAGCATTTCAATTCCAACTAAAATAACACGTGGTCAACTACAAAAGGTTTATCATTTCAACAACAAGTTAACACTCCAAAGTGAGAATCACAATGTAACAAACAGGTCCCGATAAGCTGAAGAAGTCAAAGCCCTTCCGAGAAAGTCACAACCCTTCCGAGAAAGTCAGGTGCAGAATGCATTTCTACTTGAAACTTTCTGTAACTGATATATTCCATCATTGAAATTGAATAAAAATCCAACACGAGGTGTACCAAATACTGTCATTAAAAGATAAAATTAAACAACAAGAAGGAGCAGATTTAGTCCCCCTCTAGAGGAGAGGGAACCAGAATTTACAGAGACACAGAGTCTGAATAAGTGCCGAAAGCACAAAAACACGGAATAACATGTTAAAACGAAAGAATATGGAAGTACAGAAATACTGAACTCTGATCATGTCAAGTACTCCAAACAAGGAAGATAATACACATGAGAAGGCACTCAGTCCCCAGGACTTGGAGACAGATTCCTTCTCGCCAATCCAACCGAGACTTCCACAATGATTTCGAGGCATGCTTGGAGCTTCACCCAATTTGATACAACGAGCTGTTGATATTGGCAGGAGCTAGATCCCAGATCTTGGCGGAGACATTTCTTCTCTCCGACCAAGAGTTCCAAAAGGATCTCGTCCTATGCTTGATGATACACCAAGGGTGATACAATACATAGTTCGCTCCACAAAGTCGTAAAGGGGAAGGTCCACCACTGTGTCTTGATCAGCAACAAAGAATTCTATACGAAAGGAATCGGAGGCTGCTGCGCTCAGCCTCCTGGTCTCTGCAGAGAGAACTCTCCTCCCAGGCTCAAGACATACACATGTCATATAATATGCTTCATGATTCAACTTCATATCATAACCCGTTCGAATACATGCAACGGGTACTATCATAACCCGTTGCAACTACTCGCACGTTACCAATGTTCATACCGCTGCTCAACGCCTACCGTAGTCTTACAAGTTGCAATCTTGATGCCTCTCAAGCTTATTTGCAATTGATAATCAGGCAACACTGCGCGTGAGGGGATAGGGTGTCCAAAGTAAAAAGACAAATGATATACTACAGGGAATATGATTGACGATGGCGATGGAGATCGTACCATGGGACATGGTACGATCTCACGAAATTCATTATCAACCATCGATGAAAATCCATCTCCCGTGTCAATCAAACAGACTTTTAATGCATAACAGTAGAATCAAGTAGAGGTATATTCTAGCAGATATCACTTGCAAAAAGTACCGCGCGTCGGTGCTTACACCTCTGATTACATAAGGAAAGCATCCATATCCTCACCTCTTTTTCTTCATCCTTTTCTTCGCTAATAATTGAAGCATGCGTTTTTTCCTGAGAAAATCCGAACGTTTTCCCATTTTCACGAGCCGAACAGGTATGACCACGAAGATCTGATCACTTCTGCACCTGTTTCCAAAGGGGGGGACTCACCAACAGATCCCCTAACACTCTTAAGAAAAATTACGCCAAGTACCCTGCTTTACACTCACAGGCTACAGACTCAACCAATCTCTCTGGAACTAACCAACAGAGGTAAAAGAGAAACGCCACGAGTCGGCTGAAACCACACCGACCCGGACACCTTCGCGAGAGTACCGAGTGTCTGAGAACAGCCGGAGACACCCGATGTATCGGACCTCTGCCTCGCGAGAGTAGCGAGAGTTTGAGAACCCGGAACCTTCGCGAGAGTAGCGAGTGTCTTAGAATAGTCGGAGGGGACGCCCGATGTTTCGGACCTCTGCCTCGACCTTGAAGGCCCAATTAGTAAAGAAGTATGACTAGCAAACAGATGTTCGCTCACTCTCAGGTGGCTTGCGCACCGGGCACCGGATTATCCCAGACCAAGGGGAGAAGGCCCGGTGTTGTCATACTTTCGTCAAGGACTCGCCAGCATACTATCCCAGAGCAAGGGGCGAAGACCGGCTTCAGCCTCTTGGACTCCTTTCGTCAAGCATTGCACGAAAATCGCTTGAAGATTTTCTTGCAGGGCTTTACGAAAGAATAAGGGGTTTTACAAGCCAAATAAGTATCATTTGGACCTCCACTACTACAGTGCTCTCCAAACGCTGGTGTGCTTCCTGCCTGTAGAGGTGAAAAGGGGGCACGGCGACCTTTCGCATGTTCGGTAACCCTTCTTGAGAGAGTCAGTTTGAAAACACCTCTTGCTGTATGAATCCTACCACTCCCTGGTAAAGTAGAGAGTGAGTGAAGTCTTCGCTCGTTTTTGTTTTCCCTCTTGCTGTATGAATCCTACCACTACCGGGTAAAGCAGAGTGAGCAGCGTTTCTTTAGCATTGGGCTTCCTAAATATAGAGCACCGGTTCTACCATTTACATCCCCATTGCAAGCCGGTTATGAAATGTAAGCAAGAGTTGACTAGTACAAGAGTAAACCAAGTAGTCAAGTTTCAAGGTGCTTTGGATCATTCTAGCCAAAAGTATTGCACAGGTTAGAATGGTTATCAAGGGTTATACCCATATACGAGACGCTTCAGAAGATAGTGAAGCATAATATTTGAAGTATTTCTAAATAGTGACGCAGGTGAGTTCGTGTAGTCAAGTTTCAAGGTGCTTTGGATCATTCTAGCCAAAAGTATTGCACAGGTTAAAATGGTTATCAAAGGTTCTACCCACATACGAGACGCTTCAGAAGATAGTGAAGCATAATATTTAAAGTATTTCCAAAAAGTGACGCAGGTGAGTTCGTGTAGTCAAGTTTCAAGGTGCTTTGGATCAAGAGTTGACTAGTACAAGAGTAACCCCTGTATGTCCGGTAAAAACGCGCAATAGGTATGACTAGCAAACAGATGTTGGACATCGATCACTGGGCTAGCACCCTCCAGGATGGAAGAGCCTTGACTAGTACAAGAGATAGGTTTGTTCAACATCTGCGCTACAACTCTCCAAGAAGTAAGGAAGAGCCCTGACTATTACAAGACTAACCCTTGTATGTCCGGTTAAAACGCGCAATAGGTATGACTAGCAAACAGATGTTGAACCTCGATCTCTAGGCTAGCACCGTGCATGAAGGAAGGAAGAGCCTTGACTAGTACAAGGGATAGGTTTGTTCAACATCTGCGCTACAACTCTCCAAGAAGGAAGGAAGAGCCCTGACTAGTACAGACTAAGCCTTGTATGTTCGATAAAAACGCGCAATAGGTTTTACTAGCAAACAGATGTTGAACCTCGATCACTAGGCTAGCACTCTGCAGGGAGGAAGCAAGAGCATTGACTAGTATAAGAGATAGGTTTGTTGAACATCTGCGCTACAACTCTCCAAAAGGAAGGGGCGTTGACTAGTACAAGAATAACCCTTGTATGTCCGATAAAAACGCGTAACAATTGTGAAGCTCCGGTAATTGGAGGTTCACCATCTGTTTTGCTAGTCATACTTGTTGCGTGTTTTCATCGAAAATAAAAAGGTTATCTAGTACTAGTTAAGGCTCCTTCTTCTTTTTGAGAGTTGTACAATCCATTCTTGTACTAGCAACCTATCTCTTGTACTAGCAAACAGATGTTGAACCTCCGATCACTGGACTAGCACTCTCCAGGAAGGAAGGAAGAGCCTTGACTACTGCAAGAAATAGTTTTGTTCAACATCTGCCCTACGACTCTCCAAGAAGGAAGGAAGAGCATTGACTAGTACAGGATTAACCCTTGTATGTTTGATAAAAACACACAACATTTGTGAAGCCCAATTTTCCATAAACAAGCCTAGTACTCTGCAGGAATGAAGGAAGAGCTTTGACTAGTACAAGAGATAGGTTTGTTTAATATCCAACTTTCACGAGCACATTAAAATCTCCAATTGATGAGAAAGCAAAGCAAGCAGAGGAGGTATGACTAGCAAACAGATGTTGAACCTCCGATCAATGGGCTGGCACTCTCCAGGAAGGAAAAGTCTTGACTAGTACAAGAGATAGGTTTGTTTGTTTAACATCCAACAACTGCGCTACCACTCCAGGAAGGAAGATACTTCACTAGTACAAGATTAAGCCTTGTGTGTCCGATAAAAACTCAAAACGGTTGTGAAGCCCAAATTTCTATATATAAACCAGCTTTGTATAAATAAGCTTAAGATTAGGGTTATGTATAATACTCAGCTTCGAAATTTGGTGAGTTTAATACTGTATTATATAGTATTATACACAATTGACTCTGTACAGTGATCCAACGGCTGAGATGTTATATTTCTCCGTTTAATCCTCTGATGTCGACACGTGTCTACCCTCACAAGCACCACAAAGACGACTAGAGTCATGCAAACAAGTAAAATCAATGTGGTTGCTCGTCATAGTGTTACAAGAAACTTCTATACTCCGCTGTGGGATAGCAAATTCAGTGATTAAACTTCTTTACCTACCAGCAGATGTTCAAAAGTACGATGACCGTCTTATGAGATGATTTGTTTCTACAACGAAGAATTCTAGAGGTACTTAGCAATGTCGTAAGAGAAAGAATCGAAGGGAAGGGACGGAGAAGAGTAACAGCGCCAAGATCAGCAGAAATTCTGACGTTAAAATCATTCACAGTCTTCGGAAAATTCAAGTCGATTTAATACACTAAAATACAGATGGACTTTTGAAGCCCTGTATTATACTCTGTGTATAATACTCGGGTTTAATATGTACAGATCACTACTTAAGATGCATCAAGGTTTCAACTTGTATCACTATGGTAGACGTTGAGCAGCGAGATGAACGTTGGTAACGTGCGAGTAGATGCAACGGGTGATGATAGTAACCATTGCATGTACTCGAACGGATATGATATGAAGTTGAATCATGAAGCATATCATAGGACATGTGTATGTCTTGAGTCTGGGAGGAGAGTATACAAGTAGATGCAACGGGTGATGATAGTAACCATTGCATGTACTCGAACGGATATGATATGAAGTTGAATCATGAAGCATGTCATAGGACATGTGTATGTCTTGAGTCTGGGAGGAGAGTATACAAGTAGATGCAACGGGTTATGATAGTAACCATTGCATGTACTCGAACGGATATGATATGAAGTTGAATCATGAAGCATGTCATAGGACATGTGTATGTCTTGAGTCTGGGAGGAGAGTATACAAGTAGATGCAACGGGTTATGATAGTAACCATTGCATGTACTCGAACGGATATGATATGAAGTTGAATCATGAAGCATATCATAGGACATGTGTATGTCTTGAGTCTGGGAGGAGAGTATACAAGCAGATGCAGCGGGTTATGATAGTACCTATTCCATGTACTCGAACGGGTTATGATATGAACTTGAAAAATGAAGCATATCATAGGACACGTGTATGTATTGAGTCTGGGAGGAGAGTATACATTCACCGGATCAAATATCAACAGACGTTGATCAGATAATTCAATGATCAACACGAGTGTAGGAGCTTAGACTTTCTAAAACTTTCTTTGTAAACCAAAGACCGAATATGAGGAAACTTTAACAAGTGAGCAGGATATTGAAGGAAATTAAACCTCAAGTTGGAAAGCAAAAGAAAAATAAACCTTAATACAGAATCCTACTTGTATAGATGTACTGTTCTATGTGCCAGATGAGAATCTCTAGGTGTCCCAGAATAAAAGACCTACTTCTAAAGACCGGATCCGCAACAAGAACCGCTAGATCACATATTCTAGGACTTCATTCTGTAATTGTGGTGATAGATAATATTAGGATTACGTAAAAGTCGAACCGCAGTACCTCTGAGTTGATGACGCTCATCTTCTACAGCTATACAAAGAGGAATTTTTCTTAAGGTTTATTTTTCTCTTGCTTTTCAATTTAATTTCAATTAAGGTCATGCTCACGTGTTAAAGTTTAGGGTAGTGAGACAGTGTTATAACCTAAAGATTTGTAACGTGAGGTCCTCTAACACTATTAGCAAACGGCAATGGGTTGAATTCGTTCTGAGTAATGCCCGATCACAACCCCCAGAAGATCGGTTGAGTTAGCAATATAATTGAAATTGACAAGTACAGTTCTGCATCAAAAGATACACCAGATCATCAAATTCTCGGATTTCCGGAGCAGGTACTTACCACAATTTGTGAGATGTACCAGGCTGTGAAGAAGTGGATGTTCTGGGTAAAAGCATCCCTAAGATGAGGTCCAATCGTTAAAGAAGAAGTGCACTAAGCCAGAAAAACTGCACAATTTGTACAGATGGGTATACCAATAACCTCTAGAAGATTTTATCCTAGTACAGACGATGTCGGTTGTCCAAGAAGAAATGTAACCAAGTAACTAATGGATCATGTCAACATAATCTGGTTATGCCTTGCTTGTTCCACTCCAATAGATCAACGAAGTGATAACCAAGCGGATTTGAGAAAACAGCGAAAGAGCCATAATCGGAGAGGAGGCAGCTTTGATCGAAGGACCAGCCCACGAGAGGAAGTGAGGCATAGCGTATCGAACGCTAAGAGGAGCTTCCGTCATTGGTGTGCGAATCAGTTGAGAAACAGAAATACGATTCTCAAACGAAAATTGGCCTGGTATAGAAACGTTTGTCTGACATTTGGCTGGTTACTCATTGCCAGGCATTTTCCAGAAGGAAAGTGTGCAAACCAGTACATCGGCTGAATTTGAGTACTTACTGGCAATAATCTTAGTAATTCCATTGATGGCAAAATCATAAGAGTTTAAGAATTATTGTTCTAAGATTCTTAAACACTTATTACCTGCACATAAATGGAATTACTAATATTGCCAGTAAGTGATAGTTGAGAGCAGACATTTCCTTGCATCGATCGTAATTTCTATAAGACTCTCTCAGATTTCACATTATATACGACAAAATCTAAACATATACTTTTCATTACTTGGGTACAGGCATCCCTTCCACAACTCTTTCAGCTCATATTCGAAGTTTCACCTGGAGCATTTCTTGGATGACATGGATACATTGTTATTCGCGCAAAACGGATTGGGGTTTCTTCGACGGGAGTACTTCGTTTTTTAAGAATTTGGTCTACTGGTTGGCTGCACTCAAGGAATCTACGAGAGCATTACTTCAAGTCTTGGACCTTGAAAGTTGCCAGAGGCAATGATACTAAATAATGGTAACCTCAAAATCACTTGAGCCCTAAGTTAAACTTTCTGATTTATGAAATTACCGATAAACTCAATCTCAGCTGATGCACAAGGTGCGTAGGACAGGGTCGCAGTCCGGGATGTCATTTAAAAATACTGGCCTGTTGTGGTCATTGAGTTGACCAAAATTCTAAAAAATTTATTACCAGCATTGTTTAAATAAAGGTCAGAACAAGCAAGTTATACCGGACATTTTTCAGAGCTGAGGTGAATGGAATTACCTCGCCGATTTGCTGTGCTCCACGAGACTAGACCTCACTCGCTTCAGCTCGTCAGTTCCGAAAGTCTCTAGAGGTTTTGACTGCAAGTTTCCTAATTGGGGATCCTCTGAAGCAAGAGAACCAAGGGCAGCATTAATCGCCCGCTTCAGTTCCAGATGCCGACTACCTTTCTGGTCTCCTAGCGCCAGAGTAGTCAAAGACAACACCTGAGATAATGGAGGAAGCTCACTACCACTTCCTGCTCCAGCACCAGATGAATTGACAGCTGCCCCCGCACCTCCTGAACCTAGCACTAGCATACGATTATCGTGACCATCTCGGGCACCAGACCTTTCTAAATTGGAAGTGTTAGAATGGTTGCTGCGTTGGGAGCCGTAAGGGACACCATCAGGACTACTGGAACTGGTATCCAATTTCGGGTTACTTGCCATGCCTTTCGGCTAGGCACCTCCTTGGTGCCCAGAACCTGCCTAGCTCATGCCTTGCAGCCTGCAACCCTTGTGTTACCATCAAGAAAAATCATACCAATTATATTACTGGTTTCCAACCATCAATACTGCTGAACTTTCGGACACCACATTCCTTGTGTGCATTTTCGAGGCGCCTCGAAAATTTAACCCCATCCCCACCATTCGCTACACGAGCCTCTACACCACACTCCACTTCCACTTTTTCTACTCTGCTACTTGTCCTTCTTCCACCTACACCACTCCTACGGCTCCTCCGCTGCATTAAGCAAGAACCATCCCTTCAATTGTGCTCCGATGTCGACGCGGACTAGACCAAAGCACAATCTAACATCACGCGGCAATTTAAAATTTGTCCTAACCTCGCATCTCATTACTGTTTCCACCAATGACCAGAACCCTGCTCTGCACTGCCTTCACAGTCCACTCGGTGGAGTCACCCACCCACATCGGCTGCCACGCCAGTACGTATCAGCACCCGATCCAATTTCCCTAACCACACCGTCAATTCTCCTGTCCGAGTGCCCGACAATCCGCGCGCCTAACCTTCGAAAATTTCTCGAAAAGTGTATCCCGATCGATTTTCGTCACTTGCTTGGGCCAACGCCTCATCAGACGGACTAGCAATCTCGCCCGCGTACACCAGCGGCCCTTCGTTCCAGCCCTCCCTGCCTGCCTCGCTCGCTTCCAGTTCCTCCACTCACCGAGCTTCCTTTTCTCCTCACTGGGTCCGCAGACCCTCCTGCCCTCCGTCTTTGCTCCTCGTCCTTCACCTGCGACGCCGTGCGTCCCTTGTCCTACTACCACTGCCACTACTCTATCTCTCGCGCAATACACCACCAACACACCAGCACCACCTTTGCCGTGAATCAACACAGTGATCCTCGAGACACATCCATGGGTCTGGTCTGACCGTCTGTCGTGTGTTTGTCGTGTTTTCAACGGGGCTCGCTCTCTCGCGTTTTCGCCTCGCTTCTCACTACCCAACGAGGCATGTCACTCTCTGCAGCATTGTGCACTCCATTTCTCTAGCACTCCGTTTTTTCCCCTCTCTCGACGAAGGATGGAAGGAATACGAGTCCCCCCTTCATCGATCCACGGACCCAGCCAGCCAGCCAGGGGCCAGGGCTCGTCAATTCCCGCTAACAGGCAACAACGGGTCTCGAGCACCGGTTGGCACCGGTCCTCTCTCTTCTTCGTCGATCTCTCATGCTCGTCCCGAAACCTACCCTAATCCACATCTTGCTGCCCATGATTAGGTCCCTTTTTTCTATTCTATCGTCTGCAAAGCTCTCCATCTCTTCCGTGCTCAGCGTTCTCGTTCGGCCATTCCGCCGATTGACCGAAGATTCGGCTACGGTTCACGAGCTCCGGGAGATCACCAAGCTTCGCATTCCTTGTTTTGGCGGCAGTCCGGACACCCGCCTCGCGCTACGAAATTATTATAATACTACGCCCTCCCTCGACTCGACTGCGCTGCACAGTTCCACGATAGATTTCTTTTCACTTCGGGTTGTTTCCGCTCCTCCGTCACGTTAATCCATGGATAGTGTAGAGAAAATTCATTCGAGTGAGTAGTCTCGTGGGTTGACTTCGTTTCGGAAGAAGTTGTGATCGATGAAGAGTTTTATTGCTATTATTCTATAGACGAGAATTCCATTCTAGGTTAATTGCATATTCTGTTCACATCACTCTAAATTGACGTGATGGAAATATATATCGCGATACTATCTACATCTCTCACATTCTACACACACATTATACACGAGAGAGTATACACTCACATGTATCACAAGTGAAAACATTCGTGTTAACCCCATTTGCAAATACACCAACGTCACACAAAAGTCAAGCCCAACCCATTCACTAGAGGATCTAAGTCGACACTTCCAACCATCATAGCCGACCACTTAATATTATTTCCTACGTTACAAGCTCGACTCGAATAACTTAACGTTCTTTGAGTCACTCCGACTCTATACACTTTCGACCTCTAACCATAGGTTGACACTAAAAATACAAAAAAACATGACATCCATGCACATGTATAGTCCTCAAAGTCACAATGTATGGGAAATTGGGTAAGGTATAGGAAGTGCAAATTTCAAAAAAGATAAAAAACTATAGCTATAAGATCTCCATGATCAAGATCATACTATTTTGATTAGTTATACCTCAGTTTAGGACGAGACTAAAGTGATTTCATACCTTTCGTCTAAGGGTATATGACATCATCTTTTCATGTCAAAAACATGGATTCTTATGTCATAAGGTATTCAGTTCCTTACCTTCACTAAGGTTGCTCTAAAAACAAAGTGAAAAAAGGTTTTTGGCGCACCGGGATGAACGCTTTCGTCAAGTTGAAGGTGAAGTGGCTGAAGAACGGAAGGCAGCCAATGTTCATCGATCCTTGCCGATGAGAATAGCATGAACGGATCCTTGCCTGATCGTAATCTTGGCCTGTAGACTCGAGTAGGTACACAGTTAGACACTTATTGAAAATGAAATGGATTGATTGGAAGTTCTATGGTGTAATTGAGTGAGTGATAATTAGCATCAACTGCGTTATAACTAGCCACTCCCATTATTTATTACCATTAAATTCAATTAACTATCAAATTAAAATTGATGGTTGTAGTGGAGATTTTTAATGTAATTAATGCAAATATTTATGATATAATCACATATTCAAAATGATCTCATGGAAAATGTCAACTATATTCAAACTCTCCACAACACCAATCAACTACTTTATTTATTTTATTTCTACCTAAAGTAATACACACTAATCATTTTCAGTGTTTATACTCATAACATGAACTAATTTAGTTTAAATAACAAACATAATAGAATGTTTGCTTGATTCTTGCCGCGGAGATTCTAAATACAATGAACAATTTTGATGAAACTATTTCAATCCTCTATGCTACTGTCATGTATTCGAAATGATTTCACAAAGATTTTTCACTGCATTCAAAATTTTCAAGACATCAATCAAGAAATCATTCTATTCTATTTACTACCTAAAGTAATACACACTCACATCATTTTGAGTGTTTATTCTCATTACATGAACTAGTTTAATTTATATAACAAACATAATAGAACGTTTACTTGATTCGTGTTGTGAAGATTTTGAATGCAATAAACAACTTTCATGAAACTATTTCAACCATCTATAATACTGTCACGTACTCAATATGATTTTATAGAGATTAGTCAGCAACTTCGAAGTTTCCATGACACCAATCAAGAAATCTTTATATTCAATTTACTACCTAAAGTATTACACACTCAAATCATTTTGAATGTTTATTCTCAGAACATGCTCTCCTTTAGTTTACGTAGTAAACGAAATAGAATGTGTGTTTGATCATGTCATGGAGGTTTTGAATACGATGAACAATTTTGATGAAACTACTTCAATCCTCTACAATACTGTGACTTACTTGAGATACACAATCAATTCAAGAGGTTTAGTTACGATGGCAATTAATGTTTTCAACTTCAAAATCATGATAATAGTGAAGATTGTATTTTTCAACATCAAAATTCCAATAGCATATTACTAGTTGTTGACTTTGTTTATAGCATATACAAAGAGTTGATCAACTTCACAATAACAAGGAGATCACACTTTATTATATACATATTATAGAATATTATCGTATGCTATCATAAAAATAACATCAGATTGATTAGTCAAAATAGTTTCATCATATTTGTAATTGATGATTATTGGTACAAGTATAGTTCTATCTGCAATAAAAATACCAAGTACACTTTTGAAATTGTTACATTGAATTCCAACTAGACAAAATATTTCAAACAATTATAGTTTATAGTTATAATAAACTTAATAGTTTGAATTTTTATTTTTATTATAAAAAATTCACTAAATAAATATTTTTATAATGAAATTGCTATTTATTTTTTAGCAATTAGATCAACAAAAACTTCACACAAAAAAAATCAAAAGAAATTTAAAGTTGAATCTTTAATTCTTTATAACACAATGCACGCAAAATTGGAAATTATTTGATTGAATCTATTAATTTATTTATTGAGTTTTTACAACTTAAAAGAATTTAATAGACAAAATTCAAAATAAAATATTAAAACATACTGAATGCATCTCATGTTTTTCTCATATATTAAGTTTTCACGCAAAGAATCAATATTATTTAAGTGAAATTAATAACCACGAATTTAATTTAAAATATTAAAAAATCATGCAACAAATAAAATTTATTTTTAAAAAAAATGAACTTACCCTATCAATTCATGCAAACAAACAAATTAATTGGAAGAAAAAAATTAAGAACATTATTAATCTCTGGTTTAATTTATTTTTCATGCAAAAAATCTAAATTGTATGAATGAAATTTTTACTTAAAATTCTAGTTGTAATTTCAAAGAAAATGTCAATCAACTAATTATAACAGTTTCAATATTATTGTGTATTAAGCTATTAATTGTACATATAGTTTTTAATCATTGCGTAACGTTCTTTAATTTGTTAGAATCAACTACTGTATATTATATATTGAGACAGTGGATATTTATAATGGATTATTTGTAATTTTAACGTTATAAATTAGTGTACTCATAATTTTAAAAGTAAGTGAATAAATTAACAACAACACATCATTCATCAACAAATTTAATGAGTTGTATAATAATTATGAATAGTTTTAGGTGAAATCATCATCATATTTGTCATATGATCAATACACTATGTTAGTTTGATGTAAATATTTGTTCTATTCTCAATCCACTACAACTCGTTTTAGATTATGATATTGGAACATAATCTCATCAAACATGTTTGAAAGATTTATCTAAATTTTATAATATATTCATTATAAACATCTCTCAACTTCACATTTTGTGTTTTAAATCTGAGTAAATTGTGCTTCTTCGTTGATTATGTTGTGTCATTGAATATAAAAGACAAGTAAAAAAATTGTTGAAATTTATAAGTTTTGTGCAATCTTCCTCAAACTGGTGTGTTAATTTCGTCGTCAACATAGATAAGAGTATAAACAATTTGAAGATGTTCAATGAGACTGTGTAAGTTGGCATTATTTTGTTGTAGCTATTGCAGCATGTCAAATGTATTGTGCATTCGGATGTTGGAAACGCCATACCTCTTGTATTTTAATACGTTTGAATATTCACAAGTAATAAAGTAGCAAATCTTTGTATCATGTAGTGTTAAATGATAATGAAATATATAGAGCTCAAAAAATATAGATAAAATTCATTTTTTTGATGTCAAATGATGATATTTGAGATAAGTTTGTAATTCAAACGAATTACGTAATTCTAGAACAACTCTTCTTGATGAAATAGTGAATTACTTTAAGTTCATGCAAATAATTTCATGATACTGTACTCGTAATAGATTCTTGTCAAAAAAAATTTTCAACGACACCTCTATGATAGTTAAAACTTATTAGATTGATGGAGTACTTCAAATGAATATCAAAATATACGAGAAATGAAGAAGTTTGAACATTATTTTGAATCTTGCGTGAGAAAACTGAAAGTTGTTTTGATAATTGGAAAAATATGTACAACTATTGGTAGAGAAAGTGAGTGACAAACTCTTGAGAATACTAGCAATACAGAGTTGAAAAAAGTCATTGTGATCACTACGCTTATTGGTCGGAATAAGATTAGTAGTCTACTAGTTTGTTCCCATACTACTCCCTATATTTACTCAAAGCAAGTCCAATGACTAATAAGATGCTATTAGACCTGTAATTTTTAAAAAAATCACTGTCACCATTACTGGGATCCTAAAGTTGGAAAAAAATACTGCCATCGTTACTAAGATTGTTTCCTATGACAAAAATATTATGAAAAAAATTTGCAATATAACATCAATTAAAATATGAATATTATCCATTGATTTCACAACACAAATGTTAATAAAATAAAATAATGTGTATCTATATGAATTTATTTGTTTGTTGCAATATCTGTAAATACACTTGATTATATCATTTAAAAAATTTCAATTGAGAAGCGTATAGTATTCAAATTCAATTTTTTGTAAAATATAAAAATCAATTTACTAAAATTTTATATTGCTGAAGTTTTGTAGGTTAAAACGTAGTATATATGTAGTAAACAATATATTTTGAAGAAGATATTTAACATAAATCAAAATGTAAACTCCATTTCAACTTAATATGTGCAAACAAATTAAATGAATAATAAACTTATGTTCATTTTAAACTGATATAGTTTATTAATAGAAGTGTCAAGTGAAAATAAAGTTTTCATACCAATCATGTATTCACAATCCATTGAATATATACTAAAAATATGTCTTACAATTTACTTTGTATCATTTTACTTAATAAATTTAAATCATTTATTTGAAAAAGGTTTAAAATTTAAAATTGTATCAAGCTTAATGATTGATACCAGATTTATATGAGAACAATATGTATCATATGTCATTCATATAAAAATATGCTATTTGTTGTATTTTGTCACTCATATGAAATAAATTCACAAGATAAATGTAAATTATAAATATAGTAGTATCAAATTTCCAATTAAATTTTGTAACAACCACAAATTTATTATAATTTAAGCTATTATCATAAATTTCAAAATGATGTTAATAGATGTTGTTAATAAATCTGTATTTGTTTGTTAAAATTAATTTATTATTACATTAAAATAATATATTCGTTCATAAGAAAAGGTCTCACATTAAAGTTCATGTTCATTTTTCTCCTCTCATTATTTTATTAAAAAAAATATTTTATCGTTTTTTTAACTTCATGTATTTTTTAAGAACAAGTTGATATGCATGTAAATTATTTTAGATTTTAGATTTGATATTGAAATTTATATATTATAAAATATGGCAACTTTTGCTTTCGAAAATTTTTAATGTCCAAAAATATATATATTTTGAAAAACCCGTCATTTCTTGAAATGTATAGATTCAAGGTGTTGTTTTACAGACTAAACTACATTTTTTTTTGCAAAATCATGTCTACTTTAATCATGATAATACAATGCATGCGTTTTTAAAAAAACACACAATATCTCATCCTGTTATGTCTCAATTTTTTATATTGACATAGATTATTACTGCCATGACTTTCATACAAATTTACCCATAAAAATGTCAATCAATACATATCTACATGACTTGAATGTGTTATACAAAGTGTTTCACTGGAAGCTGAGACAGTTACATGTCTCCCCTCCGTCATCAGTCAATTACATGTCTTCCCTCAATCATCAGCAAATCGCCCGACTTTTGTTCCCAACGCTACTACTTGACGTGGCGCAAAAGCCATAAGAAAAGAGGAGACGCATGTACAAAACCGGGACAGATCTCTCTCGTCAAAGCCGGGCTACACAAGAGCCGGGGAGAAGATTGCATGTCTTCCCTCAGTCACCAAATTAATTGATATATTACTTTTTATTTTATTTTATTTAAAAGGTAATATATAAATTCTATATATTGGAAATAAATATATATTTCTTTTACATTCTAGCTATAAAAATCTCGAAAGAAGAAATATCATCTTCATCATCAAAACTGGGTATGAAATTTTTATTTTTTTTAATTTTGTATTATTACGTATGAAAAGACAAAATTGGTATTGTCTTTTTGGAAATCCACAATACTGTAAGTTAGTGTTACAATAAAATTAAATATTACATAAACACAAAAGCCTTAGTATTTCAATGTCGTTATATGTTTAATGATATATGTTCGACAACAACATATATCATTTTTATTATGAAACTATGAGTAATATGGTGATTAGAATCTATCATATGAAACAAATTTTTGTTATGTGTTTTATTTAAAATTTGAGAATTTGAAAGCATTGTGAATTTTAGCTTAAATAAAATTAACTTAATAACTTTCTATGATTTGTAAGAAGTTTGGAATGATATGATCGCTTTACTCACTTGCAAATTGATGTTCATATCAACTTGAACATCAATTTGATAGATCTGTAAAACTAAAATATCAATATTATGCAAAATTAAATTTTTTTCAAAATATTTATAATGTAGGAATGTAAGAAAACCAAATGAAAATGTCAATTAGTATTTATGTCGTATTGAATAACATGAAGTATGACATGTGTATGATCAAACATGTCATGACTTTATATTTATCCTAATATCTTTAGTTGTACAAGAGCACAAGCATTAAAAAATTCATTCATTTTTATATAGTTGTTGATATTTTGATTTCAGTAATTGAAATATTATACAAAAAATTGGGGTACTATATTTTCTGCATAGCTTATTGAATTTCATAAGATGATTTATTATTAAAAAAATGTATGAAGTGAATTATTTTTATTTTATCATCCATATGATTTGTTGTAATAATAGATCTATTTTAATGTTCAGGTTTCTTAGAAAAAGTTAACATATATTATGATTTAATATTTTTTCCATGAGTTAGACAGTAAAGTATAATATAATTTTCAATATGTTAAACATAGCTTCATAATATTTGTGTTTCAAAATTCATCAATGTTTAACATATAATTTTTAATTTATATTTGCACAAAATATAGACAATTTGCAGTATTGGAAAGAAATTTCATTTCAAATTATCATCTTGCCGCTCATTTGATATCGCTTATGAACTTAGAGATTGGGATTTTATTATTTAGAATTTAAACTTAAAAAGCTATGCATCTCCAAATTGTCGTAATTTATAAAAATCCTTAAAAAAAATAAAGGTATGTGTTCGGTGGTTTGTAAATACATCATCATATATATCTGAACAATTTTCAACATATTATTACTTCAATTCATGTATTTCTGCAAATAAATTTCATTCAACTGAATATATACTTTATATATACTCAAATCATTGAACTTGCTTGTTTAGTATAATTTTTTTTTAAACCATGTCCAACTTAATTTATCTTGGACTTTCTATTGTAATACCCATGTCTAATATTTACAAAATATTTTTAACCATTTTAATAGATATAACTTTACATTTATATTATCATATACATTATTTAATATTCAACTTTGTTTTCAGAAAAAATCAAGTTTTGCTTATTTAAAAATTTCTTCATATGAGTTTTGTTAATAATTTTTTTTTCTAATCTCCATGGACGATAACAATAATAGTTATATAATTTGACCGAGATTGTCTATATTAGCAAGAATTTAAGCATTACTCAGTGATTTTGTAATTTAAGAGTGTAATCTACACTCTTAAAATCTGTTTTTTGTGCATAAAGAAATCAAATTACTCTAAACTTGTGTATGAAATATTGGTTAAATATCTACAAACTTTTGAATACAATAGACATCAAGTAATTTTTTTTATTGAAAAAAATGTATGCAAATAATATAATATAATATTTTTGTTCAAGACACAAATTTATAAACACTACAAAAACATAATTCTCTCGTGATTCTAAAAAATAGTCACAAATAATTTTCCATTTTTCAAAATCTTATACAATTCAAAATATGTCTTATTTTCAATTGTTTGTCCATATTAAGCAATATTTTTTAAAGTCCGGCAAGGACACAAGCTGTAAATAAGACATCAAAAAATTTGAATCCAGCATTTTGGCTTCATTTTCATTTCCTAGGTTTATGAGAATATCATAAGTTTTAAAAATAGTTTATTTCTATTGTTTAATTACTATCTAGGGGCATGAAAGTTTGAATTAATGTTATGTTTAGGTAAGAATGTAATAAAGGTAAAAAACGTTAATATATGATGGTGTAATATTGAGATTGTCTAGTTCCGCAAGTTTTAAGTACTAAACTTGCTTGCTAATACCGACATAGCATACTACGGGATCGAGCTGGAGACTTATGGGCTGGTGAAAAATTTTACGAGATTAAGATTAATTGAGCTAGGTTGATTCCACTATCTAGGGGCATGAAAGTTTGAATTAATGTTATGTTTAGGTAAGAATGTAATAAAGGTAAAAAACGTTAATATATGATGGTGTAATATTGAGATTGTCTAGTTCCGCAAGTTTTAAGTACTAAACTTGCTTGCTAATACCGACATAGCATACTACGGGATCGAGCTGGAGACTTATGGGCTGGTGAAAAATTTTACGAGATTAAGATTAATTGAGCTAGGTTGATTCCACTATCTAGGGGCATGAAAGTTTGAATTAATGTTATGTTTAGGTAAGAATGTAATAAAGGTAAAAAACGTTAATATATGATGGTGTAATATTGAGATTGTCTAGTTCCGCAAGTTTTAAGTACTAAACTTGCTTGCTAATACCGACATAGCATACTACGGGATCGAGCTGGAGACTTATGGGCTGGTGAAAAATTTTACGAGATTAAGATTAATTGAGCTAGGTTGATTCCACTTCAATAATGCAACTGAATATATATATATATATATATATATATATATATAAATTCATCCTGGCCAACGCTAAGTAGAGTAAGGTAATCGAACTGAGTGCAAGGATTCAAATTTGTCATTGTGGTATAATTTGGATCATACGAACCAAGTAGAGCTAGAAATGGAAATGCACTTCTCCTGCACAAAAATCTTGCGTTACTGGTTGAAGCTAATTTGGCTCTCTTAGTTCTGCACCAGATTGGGGTACGAGACAAGTATCAAGGGACGAGATTGTGGCGACCGTGGTTGTACAAGGTGGACTGTACGTGGTGTGACAGGAAGAGAGGAAGAAGACGGAAACCTCGACCACCTGCAGCTGATGCAGTGCACGACTGTGAGCTGTGCCGAAGCGGGCTTGAATTTTGATTTGCAACGAACGGGGACGAGATTTGCAAATGCTGATGCCCTGTGTCGAGTGCAGAATGAGGTGCGTTTCAGGTGTGGTTGGTCGGCGATGAAGATTGGAATCGGGAGCGGGGAGGATAGAGCGCATTCTGAATTTCATCGGAGAATTTGAAGAGCACATTGCGAGTATCCATCTTTGTTGTCGCTGAGGGAGCAATAAAATGACAACCCGGATCACACCGGGTGTGGGTGCAAATCTCCTGGGGCAACATGCCGCTGAGAGAAACCAAGACGCCACTGCGTATGTAGGGAATCTTGATGCCCAGGTCAGTCACTCACTCCCGGACGTTCTTTGCCCTTGGTTCAGCGGTTTTCCTCAAACGTCAGTTTCTTTGAAGTTTAGATGAACGGATTTTAAGTGTCGACTGTACCCTAGTACAATTTTGCGTGTCCATTACTGCATTGTTTTGTTCTTATTTTTCCCTTCTTTGGATTGCATTTGGTCGTTGTTATTGAAAGTTTGGCTGCCTTAGCTCTTTCTGACGGTTTCTCTCGCCTTTTGTTGTAGGTTTCGGAAGAGCTCCTTTGGGAGCTGTTTGTTCAAGCTGGACCTGTTGGTGAGTGTGTGGACTTTACCGAATTTATGTCAGTCGAGGGTTAAGCGCTTCAAGATTTAGGGTTTAACATATAAAATAACTCTGTTCTTCTTTTGCATAATTCAGTATTTGGTTAGCTTTCAAAGCGTGTTCGCTGCCTATTTCCATTTGCTGTTCCAGCTAAGGAGAAATTTTCGTGCTGCAGTGAACGTTTATGTTCCGAAGGACAGAGTGACAAACCTCCATCAAGGTTATGGATTTGTGGAGTTCCGCAGTGAAGAAGATGCAGATTATGTAAGCTACGGGAACAAACGAGCTATAATTGTTTTTTAGTAACATGTCAATATATATTTTAAGTATGTTGGTGAACTTCCTGTCCACCAGAAATACTCATCACACGACTTTCCTCAGCTCTTCTCAGTCTCTTTAAGTTTTAGGAAGAGCCATGTCGATAACATTACCTGGTGTTTGGTTTTTTTCCCTGCAGGCCATCAAAATTTTGAACATGATCAAATTGTATGGAAAGCCTATTCGTGTCAACAAGGTGAGTTTTGGGGATCCTGAGGCTTACAGATATTAGATACATAGTTGTATTCTATGGAAATAAGTATCATGTGGGTTCCTGAATCTTTCCCCTAGAGTGCACGCGACGCATGTTCGAGCTGTACACACCGATTCCGTCCTCCGATGCTACGCACAGGCATTGCAATAATACGGGGATCTTCGATCGTGCTGATGTGATCTTCGAAGTATTGAAAGCTTTACCGTTTATTTCTTTTGCAGGCCTCTCAGGATAAGAAAAGCTTAGATGTTGGTGCCAATTTGTTCGTTGGGAACCTGGACCCGGTATGTGCATCCTCACACTCCACGTCTTTAATCGTACCAGTTGTATGTGCTTGTCTTACCCTGTAGATAATAGTTCCCGTGCCCTGGCTGAGCGGTGCTAGTATGAAGCCACAAAGTAGTAGAGGAAGAGGATACACGACGAGACGAATAAATGATGTTAAAAAGTATGACCAAGAACTATTTAAGAGTGAAGAGGGTGTCTTTCAAAGTGGGGTTTTTCCCCGTAGATTAGATTCGTCTGGAGTTCCAAGTTGCACTCAATTACCAACTATGGAAAAACCGTAAATAACGCATCCAGCTAACGATCACAACAGTAAATTTGACTTAGAAGTCTGCTCTCTTCGGGCTGTTGATCAAAGCTAGTCAACGTAGAAAAAGCTCATAACTCCAGCAGGAGAGCAAGGTTACGACACAGTCCCGCTGTCGTGCAAGTGACACAGCTTCCACTCTTTCGAATGATGAACAAGGTTTTTGTGTTCCCTGAGACAAAACTGCGGAATCGTTTCCCATCTTTCTCTCCTTGGTATTCCTCTCGCAACTTGAATATTGTGGAGATAGTGCCTAACGATGAAGCTCGAGGTCCAGGGGCCAGGGGGCTAGGTTGAGATATCATTCCTTGTTGCTTCGCCGTTGTTCATTGTATCTGAGAGACCACTCATTTGAACCCTATACCCGAGACTTTAAACCTTTAACTAGAAGATGAGACCTTGCGCTCAAAAATCTACCTGTAACTAGAGTTTTGTTGCCCTCTACTTATCTACGTTTTGCAATAGCACTACAAATCAGGATAGAGGCCAGTCTTATTCCGACATCTCTCCTATTCGAGCCGTTCTTGTTCGTGCTGCACGACTTTCAGCTTGGCGAGTTGTATGATATTGGGGTTCCAAACTCGTGCTCTGGTTATTCAATTTAGGTCTAGTACTATGAGGACACTTGATCATGCTCTTTTAGGGTGATTTCTCACATAGTAGGAGCTTGCTAATTTCAATAACCTTTCAGTCCTTTAGCTCTCTATTTCTGGTTATGGAGTTCCCATGGTCTGATCAAAAGTGATTTCTAGGCAAGGTATCGGAAGGAAAACTAGTAGGCATCACTGGTCCACCGTAGGTCATGTCCCGCACACTGGTCAGGAAGAATTAATACACTTAACTTTTCCACACTTGTCTCTAATGAGATAAGTGTGGAAAACACCACACTTATCACTACACCGTGCCCAAATGTGATATCAATTTTCTCCCAGTCCATAGAATTTATCGGTGAACACTAGTGGATGTATAGTAGCTTTCCTACACCTATGCCCAGACACTCTCTTCAACTGTTTTCAGCAGTGGATATACGAATGCGCTCAAAATTGTCGGAGAAAGGGGCCAGCCTTTGGCTTCTCCCTGATCGCTGCAGAAGGATTCACTGCGTTGGCTCTCGACCAAGAATGCGCTCTTGGTTTCGTCTTGTAACTGGTGTTCTACCCACCACTTTTTCTTCGAATGCCAGCCTTTGAGAAGGCGAACTGAAGCTGAACCCGCCATTCGGTAGCACTTTCCATAATTAGTTAGTTTAAAACAACAGATGACTTTATGCCTTGTCTTCCTTCCCGCAGTTTATGGTGAAGTTTGATCACCACACCTCTACCCTCTAGACTTGCTGAAGCCTATGACACCTTCTGTACCGTTGTATAACACAGGTGAATGACAGTTCATTACGTCCTTTTGGTCGAAGATGCCATTAGATTTGTTCAGTGCTCTACATGTTCGGTAACATTGACAATGTTATTTTGCAGGATGTCGACGAGAAACTCCTGTACGATACCTTCAGTGCCTTCGGCGTGATTGTCACAAATCCGAAGGTGTTGTATTTCTCCGTCCATTGTTTGGGTTCACTGCGCGGGTCCAAAGAAATGAAGGGCAATAGTGTCATTCACTTGCCAATATTGTCATCATCAGTCATTAGCTTCATGTGTGCTACTGGATATAGACTGGTGTTATTCCGCCTGTATCTTATCTTGCATGACTTCCGTGTGTGGTCTATTGATGTATGTAGAGAAGAAAGTTTTGAGTCATATTAGTTTTTGTTAGTAAAATAGCGTTGTTTTGATCTACAGATAATGAGGGACCCAGACTCCGGAAATTCTCGCGGTTTTGGATTCATCAGCTATGATTCTTTTGAAGCTTCTGATGCAGCCATTGAGGTAATCTTCCCGGTAGTATATGTGTATGCACGATGTATGTTAGCTTTGTCTTTGGAGGGTATACAGATTGGAACTGAAGCGACTAAGGAAGGAGCGACATACACATATTTGCTGCATTTTTTATCCCAACTTTACGGTACTTGAGGAGCATAGCGATATCAATCTGTAGGGCGATATGGGTTGACGAGGAAGTCTTCTTTACGTCGTCTTTTGTGCATTTTATTTCAATTTGAGAACGAATTTGAGAATTTGTTTTTTTACACAGGCAATGAACGGGCAGTATCTTTGCAATCGTCCTATCACTGTTTCGTATGCTTACAAGAAAGATACGAAGGGAGAAAGGCATGGCACGCCCGCAGGTATATCTCAAGTTGCATTCAAAGTTTTAGCTAGGACGTCTATTTAAACAACAAGTCCAGAAGAAAACCTTTGCAAATTACTTTTTGAAGTCTGTCCATTGGTCTTACCTTTTTCTTGTGCCTCAGCTAATCACTGCCGTTATTGGATGCAGAGAGAATGTTGGCTGCGAGTAATCCCAACGCGCAGAAAAATAGGCCACATACATTGTTTGCCAGTGGTCCTCCATCTCTTGTTGGGCCTCCGGTTGCAGGTGCTGGGCCACCACCTATCCCACCTCATTCGAATGGCAACATGGGGCCTCCGCCAGGCCTCAATGGAAACATGTTACCTCCACCCCCGCCATTTGGGAATGGTCCTCCACCCATGCCTCCACCTCCTCCACAACAAGGTCCTCCAGCCCAACCTCCCCCACCTCAAGGGCCACCTGGTCATTTTGGTGGGCAGCCAAACCAAGGCCCCCCACATCAAATGCCCCCACCCGGGTCTGGTCCTCCACCTTGGGGCAATCAGCCTCCTCAACAAGGAGGAATGCCTCCACAAGGTGGTATGCCACCTCCACCCCAGTTTAGACCAGGGCCACCACCTCCTAATATGCCACCACCACCTGGGTACCATGGTATGAGGCCTCCTCCTCCAATGGGTATGGGAGGTCCTCCACCTCCTCCCTGGGGAAGAGGACCTCCTCCTCAAGGTGGAATGCGTCCACCTCCTCCCAACATGCAAGGCATGCCTCCTATGAATCAACAAGGTCCCCCAATGCAGGGGATGCCTCGCGGTCCACCTGGTATGCCTCCCCCACCTCCTCAAGGTATGATGCCGCCACCTCCAAGGCAACAAGGGCCTCCTCCTCCTGGTGGTGCCCCTCCCCCACCTCCCCCACCTCCTTCAGTACCTGCACCTAATCAACAACAACCGGCTAGGTAGTCAACGAGAGCTCATTCTTCAAGCGGCCTTTCTTTAGAGATGGTTTTTAATCCTTCTCTCAGCAGTTTTGTTTCTCTTACCAGTTAACTATGTAGATACATGAATCACATAGTATTTACGTGTTAGACGAATTGTCAGAGATTTGCGCAAGAGCTTTTTGTCTGTAAGTAAGAGCAGGCTCTGAATCAATTCCAATTGTACTATGAAAGATTTTTCACCTTCGCTCATGCACCTTCCACTTGTATTAAGCAATTTTACACTGTGTGTCTGAATTTTAGTCTTGAAATCTGAAGGTCTTTCGCGAGTATTTTGCTAGGCAAAGGGTTATAGAGGCACATGAATATATAGATGAGTAGACTGCCTCTACTGATCAGCAAGAGTATATTGCAAGAAGAATCATGTAGCTTTCTGGTTGGATAGAGGAATTTGTCAATTGAAGTAACGTGGTTGGAGGTTGGGTGTTCGTCCATACTGCTAGAGCTGTTCAAGGAGCGAAGTGTATTCTGCTTATGGTACCATATTACAATTTTCTGAAGTATATCTAGTGCATTACTTTGCTGGCAATACATCGGCTTATAGTAATGCACTTCAAATTAGTATCGCGCTTTCAAAATTTGAAACTAGATTATGAATATTACTGCGTAACTTAACTGCTTATTCATTTTCTGCTGGTTATATTTCTAGAGTTACTGATTCCACTCAGGCAAGTTGGGATCAGTACGGTCGTAGACAGTTCTTTTTCCTTACGCTGTATTGAACGTTCCCAGCTGAAGCTAGACTTTTGGTTCTACGATGAAATCGATTACTAGGCGCCCATCAATAAACAGACTGCGTTGAAGGCGCATCCTCTTCTGCTTCGCGTGGAGTTGTTTCCTCTTGTATCACCCATGCTAATAACATTGATCATATTTCTCATTGAATCAAAGCAATGTATTTATCCAGCTCGACCTCAATTGGATGTTATCTGCGTGTTTTGTTAGGAATCTCACTACACGAATCGAGTCTGTACCAAAACTGCGGAAGCTAAATATCGTTTTAGGGCTTTAAATGTATTTCATGTTTCTCTGGTGTAGGAAGACGGTTGAAGAGGGTCCGGGGATCTTGTGTGTTTCAAGTGGAACTAGAACGATTTGATGTTGACAGTCGGAAACCTATGGCAATAATCAAAACTTGTTTAAAAGTCGGCTGTATACTGTACATTTTTATTTTCTGATTTTGAATCGTTTTACTGTGTACACCTATATACACTTCAATGGTAAGTTTCGTTTGAATGTATCTGCATACTGACCTATGTATCTGTTAATATCTGTATTTTTTCCCTCTGATTCAAAAGAATTTGTGAATGAGAGTTACTTCTTTGACTATACATTTGAGTGAATTAAGAGAAGAAAATAGTAGTCTTCCAATTGAAGTATTATTCCTGTCTACCTCGTCCTTCAAGCTACACCAGTTAAAATGTACTATGTCTCCGAATTACACTATCGCATTCATTTCGTTTACAAGTATGTTCTCTCTGAGTGCTCTTCTGCAAAGTAGGTTACCTCTAGATTGGACGATTGTGGATTGGACGATTGGACGATGTGAAGTACACACTTCGAGAACTGTCTGTCTATGAACACAGAAGTTACTTTACGGCGTGGAAAGTTCTTCTTTGTTTTTGTCTACTTAAGGAGGCGCTGATGGATATGGACGGTTCTGTTTATCTGAGGTAAACCACATAGCGTCATGCTCTTTCTAACGCGCATGTTTCCTGCAAGCAGTCGGCACGAGAAGAGTAGTGGAAATAGACCAATATTCTCTTATCACATTACTTTCTGTGATAGAGATACACTTTCTTATCTACAATTTGATTTTCGCTGCTCTCAATTACCAATCTCTATCGCAGTATTCTGGTTCTGTGTTTTTTGTACATGTATTTCTTAACCAGCTGGAAGGCCATTCCGTTATGATCTATTTATTGTACATTCTTTTCAGCATCCATTTACATGCTTTCTTACATGTTGATCATCACTGCTTGTTGATTTTCTCAGGTGTACCTAACAATGCCTCGCCATCCATCATCCAATTGGATAGCAAACCTTAATTAACCTCGCAAACGTAGAATTGACGGTTTTCCAGTGCATAGGCCTTTCATCAAATTGAGACTGTTGGAAGCTTGTTCTCATATACACCCGACCATATACATAGAAGCTTGTTCTCATATCTACGTCCCATATATACGTGCACACCGCATCAATAATCATACCACCTCATCAATTCTGCATAGTTAAATATCGTTCATGTCTGTAGAGTATCCCGTATCCAATTACTATGTTCTACAACCCAGCTCGACATTAATTCGCAATATCCGACACCTAACAAATGTATACTCAAGGCACCTGAGTAAGTGGAGCTAATTAGGTAGGAAGTAGTTCCCTAAACCCTGGCTTTTCTCCCTAGTTTTATTTATGAATGAACACCTCAACCTTTTATCGCTTTTGACATGAAACAAACCATTATAGCCAAAGCTTAGAACATGGTGCTAATGGTAAGCCATGTTACTTGGTTTGATAAAGAGGAGAAGAATTACGCCGCGTTGCAATATCTATGGATAGCTCTTGTGTACTTCCTTTAAATGATGGTAAAGTTATTTTTGGAAATATTATAACTTGTTATTTGTAGTATGATCAATCAGATCATATTACTTTGGAAATGGCATCAACTCTTGTGCACTTCTCATCCATATATAATGAAGTTTTGGCATGTTGTTTCTTGTAGTAGCATGTGGAATCAATCATATGCATGGTTTGATTGTTATCACATGAAACCCAATACTAAGGAAGAATGAAAATACACCTTGGAAATAGCCTCCACGAAAAGATTATGTTTTCAATTGGTTTTTCACATGTTAGATCCTTTTTCCACTGCGACAAAAAGTTGATTTGAATAAGCAAGCACAGATTTTGTAACAATGATTGATGAACACATTATGTTTCTTCTTCTTTGCAACGCTTAAAGCTACAAGTGTTGAAGAAACAGACTTTATTGTGGAATGCTATGGTTTATTTCCTCAACCAAATATCAACTTGAACAACAAAAAGACCCTATTTGGGTGTATCATGTATTTGGGTGCATCTACTTATATACCACCATCCAACAAATCACTATTCAGATTAGTGCAAAATTTGAATTAAAATTAAATATTAGAAATAACGATAATTCTATGTATTTTGGGGGCTTGTTTGGTGATTTCGTTGTAATGAATGTCAGATTATTGAAATTATTCAGTCTATATATATTCATAGATGTATTTAAATACATTCATGAATCCAATTAGGAATTACTTTTTCGCACTATTTTACAAGTGGTAATACTTTATCATCATATCTAGTTGTAGGACTCTATACAACATACATAATATCTTATGAAGTTGATGTTGTTCTTCGTTGATATCGGCACAAACTCTACCTGCAAAGTATTGAAGCAAAAAAGCAAAAAAAATAATTTTACTATTGAAAAGTCTATCTTAAAGAATCAACCTTTGCCTAAAGTAGCACTTCACTTTTACTTGTTCAGTATTATTTCTTATGTATGTTATCTTATATAGTTAAGTTACTTGTTAGAATTAAAGGACTTAAAAAGACTTATATCACTAAAGTATGAGTAATCAAAGTATTCTTAAAGCTGTTATTACTTGAAGTTGCTTGATGTGGTTTTAAGCAATTACTGTTAAGCAGAACTGTTGTTTAAATTATAATATAAAAACTAATTTGTTAAGAGATGTTTGAAATTTTTGAAAATGAATAGATAAACAATAATTAACATGATTATTTTTTGAATTATATTTATATTCGATGCAACAACTATAAAGGTTAAAGTGCATTTAGAATTATTCGTGTGAAAGTATCAATGAGTAGTATATACATTCTGGTGTCACAATCACAAATTTGAGCCATTTAGTAATTTAAAAGTTTCATCGAAGATTTCAGTTTCTTTTGAAGCTATGAACAATACAACAATGAAATTTTGTTCTTGATAAGACTATAAATTTAAAAAGATTATGCATTATTGATAAAAAAGTTAGAAAGATTTCAAGGAAAATCAGGAAGAATTTATTTCAATCTGATCAAAATAAGATAGAAAATAAAGCCTACTTATAAGCTATATGTCTGTATAGAATAAAGGAGTTATATTTACCATTTATATCAGATGATATGAAACACATCAATTTAATCAAACAGAGAAAAAATAATGTTACAAAAGATAACCCATTTTCCAAATAATCATTGTAGTGATTGCATTGAGCAAGATAATATTGATCATAAATCGATGTTACGAATCAGCGTCCCAGAATCTTAGAACAACTTGAATAATTCGACAGATAAAAAATTTAGTGAGATTAGAAAATGAGAAGTTTTTGGAAAAATGTATATTTATTAATAAACCGTTCTTTATTGACTGAAATCATTCATGCCTACGTTGATTTTTAATTTTATAATTATTGAATTAAAACTATAAAATATCCTTTCGATAAATTATTTTAAGTTAAGTGTCTGTCAAAATATAGTAAATTCAAAAATATAATGATTTGACAAAACCTTTCATTGCATTTTTGTTCTTAATGTGGAATGCATTGTTCTTAAGCATTTTGTGTTAATGTTTAGTTTTTGGAATTTCGTAGACAACTAAACTTAACACTTGAAGTTTTTTGATAATGAAGGATATATGTCATGGTATTCGATACCAAAAGTTTTTCTTTTCGTTTATTTTAGAAAAAAATTCATGATAAGATAATAATAAGATATATTTATTATTAGATACGATAATACATTAAATAAGATGCATTTATATTTACGTTTTCTAGAAAGGCATTTAGTTAACAATTGGTTAGCTGGTCTGTTAAAAATGTCACAGACATGGAATATTCGAAGCAACAACACCGACGTGATATTCAACTGATCGCCGCGAAATTCTCCGACCCGTGACCAGGGGGCCGGAAGAATAAATCGGCGGGACGGAGGGCGTGTCCGATAAGACCGAAGAGGATATGGAGGTTCGGCACGCCCGTTGCGGGGGAGGCAGATGCCAGCTGATAGTGCCGCCAGGCTCGGAGGAGATGGACGGTTGGATGCTGCGGACTCCTGGGCCACACGAATCGAGCTCACGGTTAAGAACTCGAGAAGCGCGAGTGAACTGGAGCGACGAACATCTAACTCCTGGTCTGCAGGCGGGGAGGGAGGGAGACAGAGGCAAACCATGGTTGGGTTGGGACTCAGGTTGGGTTGGGATGAGATGTGATTGAGAGAGAGAGCAGCTCGGGCCAGCTCGTCCAGCCTCTGGCTGACAAGTAATGGTGAGGAGCGAGGGGCTCGCTGGCATCGCCAATGTCAGGTGCGAATGGTGTTTGGAGCAATTTTGCTCAATTGTCTGACTCCGCCTCGCGAACGAGCGAGCGAGCGAGCTATGGTTTCGTTTGGTCTTCGAGGAACACGAAGATGAGTGGACATTGTGTCTGATTCGTGGACGTCGTTGTGCAGAAATTGAGGCTTGAATTGCAGACGGGATCGTCGTGGTCGGAAGCGTCAGCTTTCAGCTCAATGTCGTGCTGAAAAGGACGGAGATTTTGAGTCCTCTTTGTTTGATTTGTGAGGTTCGGAGCTCAGGGGGATTTGGCCCTCGTCGAGGACGGACCATGGCAGTTGCACGAGCTTGGACGGGATCCCTGTGTGCGTTCGTCCAGCAGCAACAAGTGCCTGCTCTCGTAATTAGTCGACAATGCTGCAGCTGTCACAGCTCCGCCTCGCAGCCTGCTGTTTCGTCCTCGTCCTTCGTTCCCAGCTGGACTGTGAAGAGTAGCAATCGGTGGTCAGCAGGTCGGAGGCGCAATTCGGCTCGATTTTCCGTGCTTGCCAGTCAAGAAGCGGGAACGTCCACTTGTAAGCTTTTCACTCTCCTGCCTTTTATCCTTCCAGCCAACCTTCATTCATCCGGAGTGAAGTCATAATTCTCGCTATTTGGCTTGCAAGTCCTGCCGTAGGTTTGAGTGAATGACTACATTTTTGTGTCTCCATTTTTGTGACTCATTCTGCGGATTCTTTTGCTTTTTGGTTGGTGCTGTGGGTTTGTTTTCTGAAACTAGAAGACTCATTCGTTACTGTTAAGATCCATCTGGACCATGTCAATGAAGCAGCTGTCACCAATTTTGAAACTTTTGGCAAGGTGCCAATCATCATTCATGAACGTGATATCGCATACAATTTTCAAGCGTAGGGTTCCAAGTCACGGTTTTCGGAGCCCAAAAAAAGATTTTCAGCTTGGATAGGTCCATCTATGCTTCTCCAATGTACCAGTAAACTTCATGCTATTTTGTGCAGAGATCAGACTCCAACCTGTTGTAAATCAATCCACGAGATTCTCAGCTTACTGATGTATGGTTTGTGCTTGTTGCCACCGGGCATCTCATATATGTTCTTCGTGGACATTAATACCAGTGGCCTTAGTCCTGTTGTATTGGTCGGATTTAAAGCGATGAGTTCTAGGTGTCTGAACCGCGATTGCCATCAAACAATGTCAGTGTCGCATTGATAATAAATGAATGCCCAGCACTGTTCTTTGGCAGTAATTCTATAGGACCACATATCTTCCTCTTAGTATTAGGATTTTTTCCAAGTGAGGTATCCGAATACTATTGATGTGGCATCTTGGAAGATAATAAATTTTTTCCTTCATCCACTATATGCCGAAATGATGGAAAAGTGATGCTTGTGGACACAGTGTTGGTTCAGGAAGTGGAGTTCACCTGGAAGGGAAAGGGGTCAGAAGTTCTACTAACCGGCGACTTTCTGCAATGGGACGCTAAGGTTCCCCTGGAAAAAGGCTCGAATGGATCTTTTACTGTGAAGAAGGTGTCTCTCTCTTCTACGTGCATCTTAGATTGATGACGATAGCCCAATTAGGATTGTCTCCTCTGAATTCTGATGTTGCCCCTTCGTGATAGAATGATAGTTTAGATGAAAAGCGGTTTTGAAGCTTTTTTAGATTATGCTATTGTTTTCCGTCTGCAGTTGAATTGGTAACTAAGTTCGGTGCTCTAATATGTTCTGTTCTGTCATCGCCTCTAAAAAACGTTAATGATAAGATGGAGTTCAACACATGTACCAGAGTCTACTGCTCTAGTGCACTTTGTCGATTTTAATCTCCAAGTACAGAGAATTCTGGTCGCCTCACTCCGAATCATGTGTTCTCTTTTTCAAAGCACAGAAGTTACCAGTGGGGAAGTTCGCTTACAAGTTCATAGTGGATGGCGAGTGGATGCATTCGGTAGACAGCCCCATGGTGCCAGATGGATCCGGGGGCTTCAACAACGAGGTCATTGTTGCAGGTAACTCTACCGCCATCCTGCTAAACTTTGCAACATATGGACGGATTTGAGAATCTTGCGAGCTGCCTATTTGTATCAAATTACCAAAGCTTGGGACGCCTTTTAAGACACGACTCGTCTGTCATTCATCGAGATAGATCCAAGTGCGGTCGATACTACGCCCGCTTCAACTGAATCCTCAAAAGCCTCACCTACTGCTGCCACCAAAAAGTCTACAAAGGACCCTGCCAAAGGAAACGAAGCTGCCAAGTCCAAGCCAGCAGCAGTGGCAGTTGATGGTGATGCCAAGCCCAAGCCAGCAGCCGTGGCAGCTGATGGTGATGCCAAGCCCAAGCCTTCAGCAAGAGCGAAGAAAGCCGTGGTGGAAAAGAAATCCTTGGAGGCAACTATGCGAGAAGATGTCATTCCTCAACTGTCTGCTGCGCTTGAAAAAGAAGAGGGCTTGACTGACCTTGACATTACTTTCGAAGAAAATCAGGTGTGTAGTCGGGACTCATCAAGAGCATGAAAGCTGCCGTACTTTTGGATGGATTCATCACCTCTCTGGTTTGTTCGATCAGACACTTTGCAGTTTCATTCCATTGTTGGATCTTGTGATCGCTTCGACACTGTACTTCTATCCCACAATTTGCCTGTTGATATGATGGTTGATGTGCCCAGCTAAAGACGAGTTTCACGAAGGGTGCCATTCCTTACTGTCACTGGGCCTTCTTCCCTGACGGCACCTTGGAAGGTAAGTTAAGTCTTGAATTCCGTCTTCTACATGCAGCCTTTGCAAGTCAGCATTCAGTGTTTTATCATTCAGTGTTCATTCAGTGTTCTATGTCTCAGTCCTGGAATTAATCAGTGGCACTCTCTTGCTGTGTCAGGATCTCGAGGTGCATCTTTAACATCACATGGTTCTCCGCCAAGCACAATCGAACCTTTTCTCGTGGACGAAAACAAGATCACCGCAGAACTAGTTGTCTTCTGGATAAGGAAGAGATTATTCGCACAAAAGATTTTGTCCGTAAATTGATGATTCACAACTTGCTTCAACCAAAGCGCCAGAACGAACATTTTCACTGTGTTCTTCAAACTGAAAATCTCACCTTAGATTTGATGATCTATACAGCGCCACAAAATGTGCTAGTGAGTATTGCATTCAAAGAAAAGCGCCGCCTATCTTGTTTCATAGTAGAATTCTTAAAGTTCCAGCAGATTTCATGGCCACGAGACCCTGAAGGCTTTTCAAGTGTTCTGTAGAACGTTCAAAGTCATTTGTTCAATTTCAACTTTCACGATTGTTGTACGTGCACTTTCGAGCGCATCAGTCTCAGGAAGACGGACTGGCAGTCATAACAAAGGGAAATAGCTCTCCACGTCATTAAGTAGACTCACGGGCTCACTTGCACGAGGAAATTCTGCGAACGAGGCCTTCCTCCCACGACTGTACATTGCATGTGTTGAATCCGTTCTGCAGAGGCCCTTTTTACCTTCTACCCAACGAAAAATCTTACGTTGTCTGCACGAACCTCTATCTATCTAGAATCTTAACTTTCATCAATACGGCAGAAATCTCCTCTCGAATTCTGAAGAGTATTACATACTCTCCGCTCGTATACACCAACTTCTACTCCGCGAGTTATGAAGAGTACTACATACTCTCGTTCGTACACTCCAATTTCTACTCCGTGCACTCTGAGAGATGAGCAAGTACACTTCTAAATCATTATGGCAGTCGGTGAGTGCGATGAAACCTCACCACTCTTGTTTGCTAGCATATGCACAGCCGACCAGGTCCGTGCATGCTGTGAAGAAGAAGGTTCGTGTATAGAACCCTACTGAGGGCACTCAGCGTTGTCACTGATGGAGAGAAACTAGTCCTTCTGAAGGCCAAACTCGGGGGCTAGATTTTTGGAAATTAGCGCGCAAAGCTCGACAAAGAAGTGATCATGAGGGACTGACTGCCTGGTCTCGGATATCCTTTCAGATGTCTGCTAATATCGCAGGATGGTTTCCTGCAATGGCTCCACACCATCAGCCGCATTGAGACCAGCATGAAGGTGGAAATGTCGGGACAACCCTCAGTATTTAAATGACTCGAAATAAGTTTTGGAGAAAAAAGGCGCTTGTGCGCGCATTCTAGAAAATTTTGTTCTTCTCTTTCCATATCGATCGAGCCAGCGTGAGACGTGCAAGGTGAGCGTCGAGACGGTTGAAACATCTGCAGAGCTGAGAGCTTTGTGCAGAACTCTCCGTAGGCTGTGGACCCGAGACGCGGAGTCTGGTAACTCGAGGTCGGAGCCGAGGCCTACTAGGTCAGTTGGAGATGAGGGATGAGGCTGCAAGCCATGTGAATGTAAAATACAGAATCCTCGTGAGCTTAGATCTCGATCTGATTCGCCTTTGCGTCCGGGCAGAGCTTGGGTCAGATTGCACGAGTGAAGAAGGGAGCTGGCAACGCTGCGAACTGTCAATGCCAAGTACCAGACGAGAGCACCGCTTTTCTCAGACACCATCCAGGCCACGAGCCTCTGTAGGACTGGCTTGACTTCCGGTCGCTGTTGTAGACACCTCCTCACCCTCACCCTCACCCTCTCACCCTCTCGACCTCTCGACCTCATGCACAAGGGTGTCAGCCGGACGGTGATGGGCAGGGAACGCCGGACGGTAGTGTAGAGTGTTATGTAGGTAGGGGGTGGGGGGAGGGGGGAGGGGGGAGGGGGCTCTGGAGCCGGAGTGTGGCAAGGATGAGGTCAACGGGATGGGATTTGTTTCCACTGCAGATGTTCACTGCAGATGCGTGGGTGCAGTTCCAGATGCTTACGAAGATAAGATTGAGTTGGACGCATACGGCCGCAAGGTATGGCTCACGCTCCCAGAAGATGGAGTGTTGTGTGTGAAGCTCGGGGCTCTTTTCGGCTGGGGGGTGAGAACACACGGAAGAGGAGGATGAAAAAGCGAATCGGAGGGAGAATCGGGACCGTTTGGCCGCTCTTCGGACTCTGCTGAGAAGCTTTCATTATAGCCTCAAGCTATGGAGAAGATATGATACATTGTCTGGGACGAAGTCCATGAGAAGGGGTCATGCCTGCGTTGTGAATCAGTGAATCAGATGAGGCGTAGCTTCATCTTCCGGAACCAGAATTAGGCCTCTGCCCTCTACATGGATCCAGATCGTTCCAAAATACGAAATTAAACCCAACTCACAAAACTGATCCTTCCACTCACAAATCCATCCACGATCCATCTGAAGCCGAAGACGCTCAAATCTCGTACGACCTGCACTGAGCTGAGCTGAACTGAACTTCCTACTGTCACTATCACTATCACTATCACGTCATAGACTTTCGTCCTGAAATCCACTCGCAAAGCCATCCCATCCCATCCCATCCATGATCCATCAGCTCAAGATGCTCATAGATCTACGACCTGACCTGACCTGAACTGACCTGACCTGAACTGAACTTCCTACTATCACTTCATAGACTGTCATCCTGAAATCCATGCTTTGCGCGTCGACGGTCCGCCGTTCTGGCTATCTACACGTAACTTCTCCTCTCTCGCTCGCTCCCTCCGGAATCACTTCTCCTTCTCCAACGTGCTCGGCCACGTCCTTGGCCTGGCCTGGCCTGGCCTGGCCGAGCACGATGCTGCTGGGAGTAACAACGCACAATTTCAGCTGTCGGTTGTGATTTATGTACAAGGAAGTTCTGTTCGCTCCACGAATCCACCCACATTGAATCTCATCATCATCATCCTTCTTCTGCTCTCTATATGTCGTGGCACCAATAAACACACGTTTCCATCATCATCCTTCTTTCCTTTCCTTTCCTTTCCATTCCATTCTCTTCATCGATTCTTCGATTTCTGTGGACCGACGTCGAGACGATCGAGTCCACCGTCAGAGCTTCGAATTTCGAAGGGCTCGATCGAGGAACTGACTCGCAGAGAAGTAGGCATGCAGAGAAAGCGCAGACCCGATCTGATGCGATCTGATCAAGGCTCCATGTCGTAATCGCTGTAGGACTCGTCGTCGCCGCGGTCGCGGCACACATTGCCGCAGCGGAGCAAGTCCACGGCCTCGACCATGGTGAGGCGGCTGCCGGGCACGGACTGGGCGCACATGGTGGCGACATAGACGACGAGGTTGAGCTCGTCGCGAGTGTAGTGGCCCTTGAGCCTGGGGTCCACGAGCTCGTTGAAGCGGCCCTGCGCGATGATGGGCTCGGCCCACTCCCACATGGACTTCTTGTCGTGGCCCATCTTCTCCAATGGCTTCTTGCCGCTGATCAGCTCCAGCAGCAGAATGCCGAACCCGAACACGTCGCCGCTCAGCGACCGCGCCGAGCCCTTGGAGTACTCGGGCGCGAAGTACGTCGCCATGCCCTCGCTGCCGCCTTTCATCAGCCACGCCTCCTGCATCAGCTTGATGAGCCCGAAGTCCGCCCACTTCGCCTCGAAGTTCTTATCCAGCAGAATGTTGTTGGACTTGATGTCTCCGTGCACCGTCGGCGGGCTCGTTTTGTGGTGCAGGTGCCTGCCATGCCATGCCCACCTCTCGAGCCAATCAATCCTCAATCCGCAATCCACACCTCAACACATCCATATCCAAAACGCGCAATTCCAAATTCCATCAATGCTCGACTGACTGATTGATTGACGGACGGACTGACGGCTTACATGAGACCATCGGCAGCACCGATGGCGATGGTCATGCGTCTGGACCAATCCAAGACGAGGCTCGAGGACAAGGAGCCGTGCAGGTGCGTGTGCAAGCTCAGATTGATCATGTAGTCGTACACGAGGAGCCGCTCTTTGCCCTCGGCGCAATAGCCTCGCAGAGTCAGAATGTTTTTGTGCCGGATGCTTCCCAGCAATTTGGCTTGCGCCGAGAATTCCTTCACGCCTTTCATTTTGCTCGTGTCCAACCTCTTGACTGCAATCTGCCATTTCGAAACCACACCACGAGACCCGACTCAAGTCTCTCTCACATGCACATGCACAGCAATCAAGCAAGCAATCTGAAATTCTCTTCGCATCGGAATTCGGAACCGCATCACATCATCACCGTCATCGTCGTCATCATAATTTTTGCACTTTGCTCGCATGCATGCAAAGAGCGACGGAATGCATCCGATTCCTGGAGCAATTGGTGGACTCGACGAGCTCGAATTTTCACAGCTCGAAATTTACCGTACGATGTCAGACGGCACAAGGACGAGGACGAGGAGCTTACCTCGGATCCGTCAGCCAGTTGGCCCCAGAACACGGTGCCGATCGTGCCAACCGTACCGAGAACGCCGAAAATGTCATCATCGTAAATCTTGTCATCTGCGGGGAATCGGCTCAAGTCCTGACTGTAGTCGCCCACAGAGAATATTTGCCCTCCCTTGCGGTTCCGGCCCCTGCCATGGCGCACACATCACATCAGTCCATGGTCCAGTACCTGCTCTCGTCTCGAGTCAACGAGCACGTACCGCATTCTCGAATGCGCGAGCCCTTGCACGGACCAGCTCGGCCCGTCGACGTCTCCATTAATAATTGGGGCCTACGACGATGGCCACGATTCCCTTGCATTGCATGCGACGAGCGCTCGTTGCCGGGTACACGAGAGCCGCCTCTTCGGAGATCAGAAACCGCGCGGCCGGAATTCCACCGTCCCGGTACGGCCGGATTCCTGCAACGCCTACGTACGTACACCGGCCAGATTCTCCGTCGGTCGGTCGGTCGGTCCGCCCGTCCGTCCGTCCGTGCACCCCAAGCGGAATTCGGTATGTCCCCGGAAGGGGGCACGAGAAGACGGTACGCGCGCAGGCAGGCAGGCATACGACGGCCGAGACCGGAGGAAGAATTCGACTTTCATGACACGACGACGACGACGAGGACGACGAGGGGAACGAGCGGTGAGTACGGTGGAGCGAGAGCACTCGGGGGAGAGTGCGAGGGGTTTCGATGCGGCGATGGCAAACCAAAGCCCCAAACCAAAAGAAAAGAAAAAGCAGTGTGACCTTCGGGAGACCGAGGCCAGGGCTCAGATGGCATGGTGGGGCAGTGCGGGTGGCGGAGTGGTGGCGTAGAGGGGAGGGAATTGTAGCGCCGTTGGGAAAGTGAGAGAGAGAGAGAGCCCACAGACGGCGCTGGGGGTACGAACGAACGGAGCGTGGGGGCAAATGAGTGGATCCATTTTTCTAAGAGATAGAGAGAGACAGAGAGAGAGGGGCTGCTAGGGCTGTTGGCCTAGAGAGGAATCATTTGGGGGGTGAATGTCGTCGTCGTCGTCCCTCGATAATGGCACCGAGCAACGGACGAGGTTTGACATATCCACGTGATCCATCATGGGCGCACACACTCTCTCTCTCTCTCTCTTGTCGAGCAGCTGCGCCTGCGGCTGCTTTCTGTCACCGCTGCGTCGTCAACGTGCTCGTGCTCGGCGTGATTGTCTGGAATTCCACCACCGGGCGGCTGCTCGTTTGGTGCACGGGGGCCACGGCAGCTATGGAGTCACGGATTGACCGATGCCCACCGCCCATGCTACAGACATAGATAGAGGAACAGATCTAGCTCTGGACGAGAAAATGGTTGACAGCAGTGGCAATTAGTAGGTTTGACATGGGCCGGATGAGCTGAGCTCGAGATCCGAGGAAATTGATCGAGTTTTCAGTTTCAGGAACTAATTTTGGGGCCCGCACGATAGACCATTCTCGCGCATTTGGGTCGACGGAGAGCTCGAAGTTGGACTGGAGAGGCGTGGAGAAATTCCAAGCTCAAATGACGAATGTACGAGGGGAGAAAGAAGAAGCCTACCTGGACTTGGACGAACGACGCCACTTGCTTCGAAACACCATTCCCAGGAAAAGTGCTTTCAGAAACTTGCACATCGGTGCCATATCCTACTCCTCCTCCTCCGCCGCCCGCTTCTCGGACAGTCTGTCGTCTCCTTGTCAAGCTCCAGAGTTCCTTTCCCTTAGCTCCACGCTCGCTGCTGCTGCTTCTTCTTCTTCTTCTTCTTTCCCTCGACGAAGAAGGCCCCAAATTCTCAGCTTCCGCACCCACGCGTCTCTGTGACATGTACTATTCACTTAAACCCCCCCTCTCTCTCTCTCTCCCTCTCTCTCTGAGTCTGCGTCTGTCGCAGACTAGCACTCGTGCAACTCTCGTCTGCTGCTTCTCTGGTTGGCTCGCTTCTACGTGTCTGCTTCTGCCGCAGCGCAGGAATGCATGAGCGACGGGGAACAGCGAGCAATTGGCAGAAGAAATTCGATTGCTCGGCCGGAGCTCGTAGACGGACTTGCAGTGCTATTCACTAATTTAGTCCGAACATTCATTGGACTGCATTGGGAGGGAGGGAGGGAGGGAGGCAGGCAGGCAGGTAGCGAGTAGCGAGTGCGGGTCTCGACGTCTCAAGACTGAAGCGTAGCCAAGGAAGAGGGGGTGGCAGGAGAGTAGAAGAGAGGAGAAGAAGAGAGGAGAGGAGAAGGGGAGGGAAGGTGGATCGATTGTAGAGGTGTTATGAGGGCAGCACAACCAAAGAGGGCAGGCATGTGGAGAAGGGGCAATATGCAGTTCCCCACACTCTCTCCTCCTTCTCTATCTCTCTCTCTCTCTGTGTCTCTTCCTCCCTCCCTCCCTCCCTACCAGAGACACCGGCCCAGTCCAGTAGAGCCCTTTTCCACACACACAGAAGAAGAAGAAGAAGCCAGAGCAGTGAGTGCTGCAGAGCTTAAAAAGTAAGAAGAGCCCCAACTCTCTCAACTCTCTTTCTCTCCCCTCCCTCCCTCCCTCCCTCACCTACTCGCCTACAAGTACTGCTGTGGAGGGCCCGGGCCCTGGGGCCAAGTTTTGCTATTGACTCATGGCAATAAACCCACAACTGTACAGTGGTTCCTGCATTGCACTGCAATTCCAACTGCGAACATTTCTGCATTCCAATGGATAGCCCTGCGGCCCTGCCGACCACGGGCCATCAGGTCAGGTCAGGTCAGGTCAATTCGAGTCACAGGGCAGTCTAACTCAAGCCAATTCTAGGTGCCTGCTGCTGTACTTTTTGGGCAACAGCGGCCTTGGCTCATCGAGCTCGGTTCACATCTTGGAGTTTGGTTCTTTATTTCTTTATAGCATAATTTGTCGTCTATTATATCACTCTACTGTATATTTATAATATTGATACTGTATGATGAAGTCCTCAGAAATGCATTGAGTTTGTGGCAACTCGTGAAATCTGCGCACACATGCAACATTGCAAGAAGTCCCGTTCCAAATTTGATTCTCCATAGTAGAGTGACAACCACTAAATTGCATCCCTTTTGGGGCCTCGTATCTCTAGTTGCTAACTTTCTCATATTTAAGAAACTTGACATATTTCCATTTAAAATAAATTCATATATTAAAATACACAGCCTTGCACTGTACTCATTTTTAATGTATCTCATCAAAAATTCGCTTGAATATGATTAATTTTTTTATCATATACTATAGATTGTCGTATTTTCAATAGTTAAGTATTCTTTGAGAATGAAATTTTGATTCTATATATCCACGTATATTTAATTATTCATGTGTGAGTGTATTTTACATTCCATATAGTAGATATTTCCATGATTCATCCATTAATAGAAAGCTTGTTATCCAGAATTGCTATCAAAGATGTGATGTAAGTTATCTTGGTAGAATATTTAATAATCTCACGTGAAAGTAACATTGACAACCAAAATAATATATATTTTGGATCCTATTGATATCAAGGTAAAGATATGTTTGGTTTGAAATGATGAATCTTTTGTTAGATAGATCATAGATGATAATGATAATAGATCATATCTAACAATATTAATCTAGAAAATCATAGATGAGAATTTTCCTTAGGATATTATCACTCATCTTTCGGGAGTGGCTGCGAATGGAGTTATAACATCTAAGATCTTCAAAAAATATTAGTGTACGGCGAAATCGAAGATATTTGCACCCTAACTTTAGAGCTATAAGTAACAATAGACACCCAGTCCAACATGTTCTGCGAAGAGTGAGAAAAACTACCAAAATTCTGTTCAAGGGTATTCTTCTCTTAAGATCACTATGAAATTATATGAGCTAGAAGTTTTTCACTACCCTACGTGAGCTAATGCAAACCAATATAAAAACAATCATGCTACTCTACGTTAGGTAATGCAAAACGATATAAAAGCAATCATATTAGTGGACGCTTGCTTTTATACAAAGAACATATCATTGTAGATCATTTCAACTACACATGTTGGATATACCAGGCGTAGTGTAACATCATTCCCACTGTGATTCTCTTAAGTCACCGATAGCATCACAATGATGTTGCCCTTGTGCTTTCATCCATGCAATGCTCGATAATGATTGGAGATTCATAACACTTTTATTTATTTTACTTTGTGCTCATTGCATCTTAACCATCTCATCGCCTTCTAACCATCATTATCATTGGACTTCGCACTCAGTGCTACGTCTTCGATGGATCTTGTGACGGAGCTCGCCTTCTACCCATCATTGCAGAGTTTATCACACTCAAATTTCTTATCCATGTTGCATATGCAGCGCTCGCTAGAATTAAAGATCTCAGTCTGCCTCGGCCCCTCGTTCAGGAGATTGACAATGACGCGGTCACATGGGCTCCATTTTTGAGGCGGTGAGGTGAGTCGTAATAAAGGTGTCATTACGTTGCCCGTTCACCATGTTCGTCGTCGAGCTGAGCTCAAAATTTCATCTTTTTCGCATTCCTTTTCGCCTTCGGTCGGTCGCCAGATGGCAAAGATGGCAAAGCTTGGCCATGAGACCTTTTCATTCTTTCTTTGTGTAAAGAAGTCTGCGCAGACTTTCGCATATCTTTCTACTGCACCCGGTGCCGAGTTCTATTCAGGGCACATTCCGCCGCTCCTCTCGTTGCCTTGTCCGTGCGGAAAAGAATCGCATCTGGGATTTCCCTGTCACAATCCACTCCACATTCATCACAATTTCATCTTGTTTAGCCAAAATAACTCCATAACTCATCAGTGCAAGTCGTTGTGCCATCCTATAAACAAATCCCAGAGATTCATCACAAATTCCTCTTGTTTAGCTAAAGTAACCCCATAGCTCATCATTGCAAGTCGTTGTGCCTTCCTAAAACAAGTCACAGTAGGAGTCTCTTCCTTGTGCCATGAAAAAGGGATTTATAGGCAACACACTTTTATCCAAGACGTTGTCTAGCTAGCAATGAAAAACCCTAAGGCCTTTCTCTATTGATGTCATTACTATTTTTTATTTTTTATTTCTATTTCAGCTTTCTAGCATGGGCCAGTGTGTACTATAAAAGGTAATGCAGTATGAGTATGAGTAGCCATTACGTCGTGATCGATAAAGAAAAAATTTCCGTTGTGCATAAGAATTCCCCACATTTATTTTTTATCCAAATATTTTTTATTCACAACCCCACACATATCCACAATTATCTTGTTATGGAGGGTTGATGATTAATTTAGAAATGCTTTGCAAGTAGACTATCATTCGGCTGATTTCATAGAATATAACTAAATGATTGAATATTACAAAAGTAGAGTTTATTTTTAGTTTATTCATGTATGTAGTAACTACTCATTTTTTCGCAGTAGAGCATGTGATGTGACACATTACATCACTTTCTATTCACTAGGTTTTATTGTAATTTAATATTTTTAGTTGTAAACTGATTTTTTTTATCATCTTTCTCGCATCCAACTTCCACATCAGCATGGGATTATTATTCTCATGAAATTGTGAAACTGCACCATCAAACATAAGAAAATTCCCGATGTTCGTCTTAGTTGGATTGTTTTGCATCTGAATAACATAGTTACTTTTATTAATGTATCATGTCCATTGAACTTTAGAGAGTTTAGTTATGATAATGCAACTTTATTAATCATCATTTTACGTAGCCAGTAGTCAACAAAGTGTTTAGCTTGGGACCAATCTCACATGTTTTGGCTATTTATTGAACTCGTAAAATTTAGTTGTTATTATTATTCTTTGTGTTTCCTTCATCTTGGATGATCCATATCTTGCGTATAATGTATGTCACATCTAATGAATTTTGAGTGTTAGACTATTGACACTTATCTTGTACTTTGCAAAAGTAAGGATTCAAAGTAGAAGACGTCGTTTATTTTTATTTTTATTTCATCTTCTTCAAATTTCAAAAATGAAATTTAAATTTTTTTCTCTTCAATTGATTTGTTGTTTTCATCACCTTTTTTTTTCAGAAATGGTTACCCTTTAACTTTTTATATTATCAAACATAATAGCATTTGATATAAAAACTCTAAAATTATTTGATGACATCATTAAATCAGAGTTTTTGAGTGTTTGATGTGAGATATATCTCATAATATATATTATTTATTTCTTCTGAAAGAATAAAATTTTTGTCGATAAAGATATGATAATTCGATTTTGTTTTTTCAAATGCATAATTCTTCTAAACTCTTGTATACTTTTTGTTTTATACTGATAATATTTCATATTTTAGATTTATCCGAGTAAAATGAAGTGAACATCTTGAAGTGAATCTTCTCCTACATAACAATTTACAACAAGTGTTACAAGTCTGTAGTCACAATATGAACTCTAAGTACTTTTTTCCTTGTATGTTGATTAGAATAGAGGCCTATATGTCTAACCTATATCTTGAAATGCTCTAATTAATATATTATCAATTCAATCAATCTTTCATTTATGATATTTTGGATGTTGTAACTATAAAATTTTGCAAGATTCTTGACTTAGGATACATCATGGATCAATGTACTATGACCTGCACGCTTACTACCTATTATTAAACAATAAGATTTTGTTCTATCTTGATTCATTTGCATGCAATTCATCATTTCTATATAAGTTTTAGCTTGGTTCATTTGCATACATTTCACCATTTATATACAAAATTGATATAACCTTAGATGTAACATGCATAAAAATGACTTAATCTTTGTGTTACATACAAAGAAATGATCTTGCTGTGTTTTAATGGAAATCTTTGACAATCAATCATTTTTTTTAAGCTTGTTATTATTTACGGTTGGATTAAATTGTTTATGAACACAATAATAAACATTGAAAATAACAAAATCCAAAACCTGAAATGAATCAAACGTAAATTGTGTTGATTATATAACTTAAGATAAGAAGGTTGACAAGAGAGACGGAAATAAAGAGTGAAAGAAAATAGTCAAAAGCAGTGAGAGATGCAGGGAAAGTTTTGGATATGGGCAATAAGATTTACAATACAATTGCAAGATTTTGAAAAATTACATTACACATGAATATGAATGGATGAGGAAGAGAAAAAAGAAGAAGAAAAGAAGCAAATCGCCCGAGTTTATATGAAAATTTATCCAGAGCCATGAGTTCATGCGTTGCCTTGGAGAAGCAAATTAGTTGTGAAAGTATGGATGTTTTGTGCAAACTACTCAAGTTAGGCCATAATCATAATTGGTTATGAAAGAAGAGAAAACTATTGTGGACGTTGTGGTTACAAATCCTACCATGGACGAATATTTAGAGATTGGACAACGGGTTATGAAAGAAGAGAAAACTATTGTGTACGTTGTGGTTACAAATCCTACTATGGACGAATATCTAGAGATTGGACAACGGGTGAAACTTCATCAACGAAGAATTTAAAGTGTACAGTTATGCATATAGATAATCTCTTTGTTACTCTATCTTTGAAGCTACATGAAGCCATGGATGTTGAATTCAAATGACTGAGCATACAATGGGTATCAGTTTTTTTATCAGATTATTTATTCTATTTGTGTCAGCGTTGTGTGCAGGGTTGTATAAAGAACATCGGTTGATGGAGTTCATAGGAGTGTAATCATATTTGATGATGCTATGTAGACTATTTGGGTTAGGAAGTTTTTAAGTCTTTTCTGCAGTATGCCATATTTCCTATCATGACGTCGTTGGGGCTAGCCTCGTCCGACCACCTAGTGTGAGAAAACCAGTTGGGTTTCATCCATGTACGACTTGATGTGGTACTCCTTTTCTTTTTGCTATATTATTGTTACCCGTCTTTTTTTTCCTAGAAAAGAAGGACTGAAATTGGTCGCTTAAAGCAAGAGCTAGATACAAAGGCCTTCATGGCTCTTAGCATGTTACTAGAACCGTAGGTGCTGAAGGAAGAAGGGCAAGGCTCTCTGTCATGGGGGCTCCTTGTCGAGGACCTTTTCTAAGTGAACTAGACAAAGGATTCAGAGACATTCTGGCAAGGGGATAGAGAAGGAGCCAATGTTGTCCCTTGGGAAGATTTTTCGTACTCTGCGTGTTCTATTTCCGGAGAGAAACAAGTAGCAGATCTTCGGTTTTAGCAGGCCAAAGTCTTGTATCTGGATTTTCAGTTAGGACTACTTTTTTTAGGAACCCCTCCCTACCAGCTTCAGTGATCAGTCTCAGTCTGCAAAAGCCTCCAGACTCCAAAGTCCTGACGCCCTCCTCCAGAACCTGCTCTTCAGAAGCTCAGACTCCATACCAGAGCAGGAAGGGGGGCAGACAGTAGCTCTTGGCTGCTTGCATTCCTCTAGCTGTCAGGAATTTGTCGGAAATTTACCTTCTTAAACAATAATATTCCCCTCAAATTTCGGGCAGTAACCACAGTGTGGCAACGGAGACAATTGACAATCGTCGAGGGGGGGAATATGTGGGCCCACGAGGGATTCACATGTTCCCGGACTATCCCGTCCGAGGACTGTCAGATACTCCCGGCAGTCTAGTTGGGACGGGAACAAACAACCAGCTTTCATTATATGATATGGGAGTTGAATAAGCACAACCTGATTGATGCCAATATTATTGAATTCTTTCAGCATACATCACGCGAGTCGAATTGTTCACTTTGACATCTCCCTCCCTCCCTCCCTCCCCCGAAGCTTGAGTTCCTTTCCTCACCTTGTATCGTTCAGCTCTAACTCAAAGAGATGATTATCAGAATGGGATTCCTCATCGTAAGCGAGAATCTCCGGCTCAACCCGCACCCCCGAGTTCACAAATCTCCTCCTCGCCCCTCACTCACTCTACTCTTCAAGGAGCTTTTCCTGCACCATGTCCAACTTGTCCACAAACCAGCTGAGGCCAGCAGTCCACATCAGTACGCACACCGTTTGCTTTCTGGCGAGGATCATGTGCTGCCTTCTACTGGATCGATTTCATTCCTGTTTATCCTTCCTTCGTCCATCGACCGACCGAGGGACCGAGGGTCCGAGGGTCACCACTTGAGCCTTTCCTTGATGCCATGAGGCCCTTTCTGCCGCCAGTCCAACTCTTGCTGAGCCTCTCTTTCCTTCCTTTCCCGTTCGAGGTTCCCATTGGTCGATCGGCTGAAATGAACGGGTTCTCTTCTGCTGCTCCCGCTGCTCTTACAGTAAATCACTGTCGAAGGATTGTTCGTGTTCCATACACAGAGAGAGAGAGAGAGACTCTGGACATTGTACTACTGCAATGACAGTACATGGCAGTACTTTCTATCATTGGCCACGTGGATCTCAGCGTGACGCAGGACGGGCTTCTGCACAGTCATGAATGGAATCAGAACACGTGTTTCCTTACTTTCAGAGGTCATCGTTGAGAAAAAAAATTAAATTGCAACTCACAGGATGCGCCCAAGAATTTGGGGGCACCAAGTAATATAGAAAACAAAACCCCCATCAAGACGTACAGGGATGAATCCGAGCGGGTAGCATGGAACTAACCTCCAATAGCATCACAAGAGTAGCCCCGAGAATTCATGAACCGGTTGCGGCATGTTTTCTTCATGCATCGAATCTGTCTGTGCGATCGATCGATCTTCTACCGTAGCGCTGTTTGCTTATTAAAATCCCCTCCCAGAAGACGGAACTATTTCTCAATCCTTCCGGTCCGACATGAAAAAATCGAGATGAGTAAACAGGAAACCTTGCAACATTTTTTCCTTCGTCCTTCTTCGTGAGGAGGCCGAGCCCCGAGCCACTCAGATGGTGCCACGTCGGGTCGGATGGCTGTGACGAGGGCAGAAACCAATCGGAAACTGTCACGTGGATTGGAGTTCCGACAACTGCATCATCGGCCAATCACACTGACGCACAGCCCGGTCACGCAATGTGTCTGAAAGCTTTCCGGAAAGCTCGCGCAGCTCAATAATCGACTATCGCCTCAGGCTTCAGATTCAACACTGAGGACGTCATGGCTCACGCGAAATTCTCCTCTCGTTCGTGCCGACGGTGCTCTTTCGTCGCCAACCACGCTGGCTGCGCTCGCCACAGCGTCAGGCGCTTTCCCTTTGCTGCCCTGTCCATCTTCTGGTCTGAGGTCGAGCCTGGAATATATGTCCGTCCTTAACTGTGCTGCGTCACTGACCCGCCTTGAGTCCTGCGTCCTGAGCATCGGCGGCAGATCGCCAGTGCGCCAGTTCGCTTCGATCCGCGTCCATCGCTGCCGCCACCAGCTCCGCTGTGCTGTGCGCTGAGTTGGACTTTCCGGTTCTCTGGCTCTTGGACATGGTATGCGCGATTCGGGTGGGGCACCAGGCAATGGAAAATCAATTGCAGCATCGATTTCTACAAGCATGTCATCGAAAATATCTCTTTCAATTGGTAGCCCGGATTTAGGGTTTAGGGTGGGACACAAAGCACAGGAAGAATTAAATTTTGTTCCAAGGCTCCAGCATCAATTTCTACAAGGCTCAAATCAAATACCTCTTCGAAATGGTATCCGGGATTCGGGTGGGACACCAACGAATGCCGAAAATGTGTAGGAAGGCCCGCCCCAGCATCCATTTCTACAAGGATGGTATCAGATATCACCTTAAAACGGTAACCGGGAATCACGTGGTACACAAAGATATGGGGAAAACACATGGTAAGTCCCTTCATCAATTTCTACAAGTATGAAATCAGATCTCTCAATTGGTGAATATATCTAATTTTCAATCGATATAGGGTCTTGGAAGAATCATGAAACAGATGATATCACCATACAAGTAACACCGACTATTATACTCCGTAGAACAATATAAACACTATCCTGTACTATGACTTATGCAATCATCTACAATGAATGAAAACCGTGTCTCCAAATATGGTGAGGTTTATCACAGTCCAAATGGATGTAAATCCAAAAATAGAGTAACAATATTATTAGCCTTCATATACATTTTACCTAACCTTTCAAAAGATATGCGATCATCTCAAATGAATTATAATTCTACCCAAATTTTAGTGAACTATCTACGCTCTGGTGCTATAGAAATCACCATATCCTTACCTGTAATATTATTACTTTTACACTGTGAATATACAAGGATGCACAAGAACAATTTTATAACCGAAGTCCATATTATCAAATGTACCAAGGTAAAGTCCAGCCTCGTAGCAACGTAGAATATATGCTGGAAAAGTATGATCAGAGAGAATAAATGATCCTATTGAATGGCATCGAGGAAAGTGCTAAAGCATGAAGAAAACTTACGACAAGAACCACAAATCTGAAGGTTTGTGGTTTGGAGTGAGTCGTCAAACGAGCCCTTCGTTGCTGCAGGTCTCGACGGGAGCCCAAAGCCCATGTCGAGGAGCGTTACCCATCGCCCAAAAGCTCGAATCTCCTCCGGACGGTCTAAATTTGGCCGAGTGCATCTTTTTGTAAAGGCAGTGAGTGAGGAGAGATCATGGCTTCGTTTCGCAAGCGGTCCCTCGAAATGCCTATGGCCCGACGGAGCGGCCATCGACCAGGACAAGAGTCCATGGCCGACGAACGAAGCGGCGAGAGACAACAACTGTGCAGGAAAGAATGGGGGGCTGGCTCGCTGGCTCGTTCGCTGGCTGGCTGGCTACGAGAAATATTCTAAACGAATGGACTTTATTATCATCGGGCATTGGTCAGCGACACGCTTATGAGCAATGCCCGACTAACCACGCCACTACAACACGACACTGACCTAATCCGGGCCGAATTGTGTTCGCTGTCGTCGGTTTGTATCTTGTGCATGATTTCAGACATAGGGTACGGAAATTGGTGAAATGAGTGGCGAACCTAATCTCTACCGGAAGCATGCATTAGGAAGAGGGCGGACGGATGATGATGATAGAAGCGTGATGCGTTTCTGCTGCGAGCGGGTGTTTGTTTGGTGTGTTGTGCCGCAAATTGCTGGAGCGAAGTGCTCGGAGGACACCGAAGCCAGTGTCACCCTCAGACAATCTTCATCTGCCAGGGTGCAACTGCGTGGAGTTCGCTCAAGAAGCGGTCCCAGACAGCAAGAGATAGCTCGGGGGGACAAGATTCTCCGTGGACTATCTATTTACTACCCGCACTGCATGAACAACAACATCGATCCAAGCTCTGGAGTCCGCGCTGACCCTAATCACGTTCTTTTGGGATTATAATACAGTTCGACATGGCGCTTCAGATAAGTGGACATGACGGTGTCCAATGGCTCTACACGTTCCGACCGCCCCTCTGCCTCGGTAAGCTGGTCGACATCCCAATCTGTCCAGTGCGTTTGCTATACTGGGCACCGAAAGTGTGCGAGGTGAAATCTGCAGCAAATGCATCGACATTGTTTACCAGCAGAATGACGGAATTACTAAGGCCACTTCCCCACGCGTTCATGCAGCAGAAGATTCCCAACTTGGCGCGCATGACGATGGCGACGGGCTCATTGCACCTTCCCCACACAATCCATTGACGCATTTTCAGATTTGCCACTTTAGTCAATTCCACTTTTCAAGTCAAGAGTTTCAGATACATTCTCAGATTATCATTTTCAGTATAAGTTTGTTCAGACTTAGTATTTCACACCATGATAATACTCCGTGGACGAGGGGAACAAGGCACAAGAAGTCAATTTAAGACATGATGATTTTACATTTTAGCAATGTCCGAAAGCACATATCATTATTTTATCGTCTGACAGATAAATAAAATTACATCTATCACTTATTTTTGTGAAATCTGGTGAAAAAAGTAGTGGTGATCTAGTTGCAATCCGGTCGAGCTGTAATCTAGAGCTTCGCAGACGGAGTGAATTTTTTTTTGCATCGACCATAATACTGTCGCATCCGATGATGGCAGTTTGGTCAACTCACGTGAGGAATATCGTAAGATCAGGACTTATGGTTGATATTGCAAGTCAAGACTTTCTACATGGACACAGGGATGGGTTTCATTGAAAGTCTTGTCGATTAATCTTAATTCTTATGATTTACAACGTCAGAACTTGATATTTTCCTAGATTATCAAGCAGCATTTAAATGATCACATTGACCTCCATCCAATCCTCAATCCTCGCTTGTTTTCATCTCGTGAATTTTTTTATTTAATGGTTATGAAAACCTGTGCTTTACTAAGGCTTTTTTCAATTTCTAGTTGTGATGTTATCTGATCATTTTATCATCGAAAGTTCCAGTATCTGGACCTTAGGTTCTCTAAGTTTTGAATGCTAAAAGTTCAATTATTTCAGTAAATATTCGTTCTTGTGCTAGTTCCTGACCTTCAGCCTACTTACTCAAGTAATCCATACTTCAAACTTTTTCACCTGATACTCAGGCCCATTCTTGAATATCAATAGTCTTCTTCCGCTGATCCATACTCGTCACCATCAGTGTCAAAAGTCATAATGTTTTCCTGACATCGACCCTGCCCATCACAGTGCATTTCGTTCTACCTCGTATAATTTTCATTACCATTCATATCCATTCCATTCTTGTTCTCGAACTTTACGTATGATGTATTAAGTTATTCTCACACTCTCGCCCATCACTGATCCAATTGTGATTCCCACTTGACAGCCAGGACTTAGTAGTCAAGGTGACCAAGCCTACACCTCTAACCAGAGGTAAAGGCTTGGTCCAGTCCTCGTAGTATGTCCACTTCATGCTGTTGGTTGAACCCAACTACATTCTGACTTTCCTGAAGTCAGAATGCTGCCACGAGACCTCGGTCTGTCTCATCGTATTAGTGCTTTTCGTCAATGTAAACTCTAATGAAGGCTTGGCAGCGTGTCATGCAATCATTCCAAGATACTACGGCTTAGCACTTGCCGCTGCGTGATGTCTCACGGTACTTCAACGCGATAACCTCTTGGTCCAACAAATGTCTCCCCATAGATACGGAATCCATATTTCATTATAACGATCCAAAGGAACTCGATTTGCTGCTTAAATGGGTTAGTACCAAAACCATAGAAATTTCATTTAGTATCCCAGATATTCATTATTATACGGCCTATGACAGGAAATATTGCAATTCATAACCAAGAATTACTAAAACTTTGAGATCGTGTACACCAGTAGAGAAGCCGTCCTTTTTTTCCCCTCTTTATCAACTTCAATTTCACTCCTATTGGCCATTGCCCGAGCGACCTTTACGCCTTTTCGGTTTCGGTGCTTCAGCTTGACTTCTCAACTTCAAGTGATTCACGTACATCGAGTGGATCTGAGAAATGAACACAAATATTGTAAGAGTTTGTAATGAAGATAAATCATCATTCAGAACGGCAGTCTGTTGACTTCCTTTTAGGTGTTCTTCGGCATTTTGGAAAACGTTGAGCTGGATACGCAACCACAGGATCCGATCGTCGTCATTGCGTTGTAACGACAAATTCTTTTTCTGTGTGATTGAAATTCTCATCTCAAAAAGAGAACGTACCTTTTTCACACTGGTCGTCAGACCAAGCTTACCTACGGTGTCAGCCTGAACCCATTTATAATGTACGCTTGCTTCTCTGATATTCATAAAATTTCGCTGCCATTCAGAGCTTTCTGCAAGGAACAGTACTCCAATTTCCTCAGTTTAGATCTGTGGACACCCAACTTTCAAATTCCACAAAATTTCTACAGGGCAACATGTTTATATATAATATTATAATCTCTCGTCTCCTTCTTCCCCGTCACAGGATGACAAAAAGAACAATACGCAAGTCAAATGTTCATGTTGCCGAATCGACGAGAAACTGACATCAAAAAGACGCATCATCATTTTACCTGAAGGACAGAGAAGAAGCCATTCAACGGACATGTGCATCTTTATGTGGGAAAATAAATGAATATATGTTCCAACCGTCTCTCGCTTCTGTACGGAGAAGCTGCCTTTCTTTACCAAATCATAGTCTAAACTTTCTTTCAGATATCTGTCCATGGCAGCTGTTAGCTCTTTACCACAAGCCGGCACAGCACCAAGACTAACCGAAGGGAACTCCCATAAACCTGCAAGTAAACCCTGATTGGGCCTCTGCACAAGCAGAATGTATGAATCTGGTTTGGAAACTGTTGCCTCGTCATTGTCGTCTTCAGTCACATTGTTTAGAACCTCGAGGACGCAAACGGCTACATGTTCCTCGCGACGTGGTACTTTTGCAACCTTCACGGGAAAATCAGTGACTAGTTTCGAAGAGCTAGAAAGAGCTCGGCAATACTTTGAAACGGGACACGAGGAGCAAGAGGGACTAGTGGGAGTGCAGACAGTAGCACCAAGTTCCATGATAGATTGGTTTAAATCACCAGGTCTCTTGGCATCTACAAGTTCCTCAGCTAAAGCCCTGTCAGAGTCGGTCAACAGCCAAAAACACACAAAAAATGAGAGAAGTTTGTGGACATATATGTCATCTTTCTTCAGCTCTAAGCTCTACAGATCCTAAGAAGGAAATTGCTTGAGGTCATCACCACATGTAAAAAAAACGGAAGCGAATGAAAAAATGGAAAACATACCACACGATCCTTACCATAGCAATTTCACAGTGGTCCGTAACTTGGGACTATCAGATATTGCTCTCAGCCTTGACAGAACTCGAGTAACATTCCCATCCACCAAAGGAACTGGCTGCATAAAATGAGAATGGAATTGTTCGTTTGTAAGAAGCAAACATACCAATAATCAAAACAGAAGTTTGAAGGGTCGGTGATTTGGAAGGCGCTTGCCTTGCAATGTGATGTGATGAATTTTTTTTTCGTCTAGCTAATGTAATGGCTTCTTTTTTTCTCCAAATCCCTACATTCAGAATATGGACCCAGCAGATATACAATTTCGACCAAGATGTGAATCTCCCTTCACTTAGGACTAATCTTCATTTCAAGAAGGAAGGACTAGAGTTTCAAGTAGTTTCGATCACACCTTTTGAAAGGCAATTGAGGATATGGCACTTGCAGTGTAGCTGCCAATTCCAGGGACATCTCGAAGTTCTTCTAAAGATCGGGGAAACCCATTGGACTCTTTCACAATCTGCTTGGCGCCCTGTGAAATTTTTCGCAGACACATACTTAGCAGATTGACTCTGATGCTAGAAATACGTTTGTATAAGTTCGAGAACTAAATGTCAGATCTTAAGAAAATACACGATGTTAAGAAAAAACATGATATGCACATCAGAAATATGCTGGCCCCTGAGAAGCACAGATTTCATATATGAAGTAAAGCTCGCACCTCGAGAAGGAAACGAGCACGCCGATAGTAGCCCAATCCAGCCCATAGAGTGTTAACTTCCTGTTAATTTCAAATTCACATTGCAAAAGTGAACTTCTTTCAGTACGAAACTCACTCAGTACCTGAGAATTTGACCAGCATCTGAATCAATCGTCGAGTATTCTGACCTCTTGAGTGGCCTGCGCAAGGTGATGCACAGTTGGCCATTTTTTCATCCACCGATTATAGTACTCAATGACAGTAGCAACACGGGTCTGCTGCAGCATCATCTCGGAAACCCAAACTTCATAAGCACGCTGATCGTCCGTCACGAGAATTTTACTTAAATCCTGGCGATCAGATTTGGGGCCCTCATCTGAAATTGCTCTCCTGGACTTGTTTCTTGTTTCCTTCTTTCCAACAGCCTGTCCACCTTTCAGGTCCTTTGGGTCCACGCCGGCTTGACCTCCAGGCCCCTTTTCCTTATCCTCCTCCTCGACCTCATCCTTGGGTCTTCGCAGTTCGTCGTGTCTGCAGTCGATAACATCCTGCCGGTGCCGAGAATGCAAATTTTGCCTCCATGGCAAGGTTCGGTGGTGTTCATCATACCAGCTGAGGAGACACGATCTAATGCTAGCCGCATCTTCTTTGCAAAAACTATAGCTTGACTGTGATGCTGGTACTTCCTCGATGTCCACTACAGAATCTTGACCACTCACTCCACCGCGTTTGCGAGCCTTCACTGGATTTGTACGCTGTGCGGCCTTCAAGATACTCGTAGTGGTCGCGTTCCGCGAGTCACTGTTTTCGACGGACAATTTGAGCTCTGAGGACCTTCGACTTCTTGCTTCAGAGGGACAAACAGAAGCAACAGTCATTCTTCTGTCATTCTCGGTCGTCTTATAACCAGTGAATGAAGTCATTTACACGAATTCTTTCTTTAAAAAACAGTAAGTAAGATCTGGACATTTGTTTCAGCGGGAAAGAATCTTGCATCCATTCTACCACATCCGGGTAACGAGAAAAAGCGGGAAACAAAGCCTAGCGAAACCCACCTCGGGTGATCGCTTTGACAGAGGGAATCTCATCAGTTCTGCCGCCAGACTGTGCAGTAGAATCGCTGAACCCTGGAGGTTTGATGCTAGAAGAGCGGGTTCGACGACTGTAAACAGACCACGTGGTGGCCATTTCAATTCTCCCTCCCCAGGACCGAGCAAGGGACATCCTTCATCGCATCAAAGGCTGAGCACTCCTGCCGAAACAGGGTGACAAAGAGAGAGAGATCCGCCGGGCTTCGCTCTTTTCCAAGTCAAGGCAAACAATCCAATTTCCATCACGTCATGCTACTGTGGTGGTTTATAGACGCATTCCAATCGTATGCCCAGATTCCAACCACGATTTGGAGTCATCGCTCAGCAGAACAATCTGCTCCATTACTTGAAGTGTAGAAAGGCTTCTTGATGTCGCGCACTTGTGGCACACCGCTCGTGCGTTGCTTCCTCAAAGCCTCAAAACCCGCTCTTAAAGCTTACACCCCGGCAGACATTCAAGAATCGCTTGAGTGCCAGGTACAATCAACATCATCTTCCAGCACAGATAAGTCAATCGCATCCGAAAGCATTTTCGGGCTACTTGAGAATGATTGTAGGTACTTCGGGTGGCTTCTGCTTCTTTTCTGTCGGCAGAAAAGGCAAATATGCACGTCGGGCTACAACCAAATGGAGGCGAATGTCCTTCTGCACAGCTTTCTGACCAATCGATCTGAGTCCGGGAATTACAAGTCTATGTTGTAGCGAGAGAGATATGTTATTACACTCTCCTCGCCAAACCGACGGGCGGCAGCTAATTACTGCTCTGACGCATCGGCAGCCATGTCCACTCACAGCACAAGGGACCGGCACATTTCATTCCTCCGACTCTGATGCTCAACAACTTCAAATGCACCCTCCCGCGCAATCGTAATTAGACCGACCTCTTGCAATGCGACAAAATACTTTAAGCACTCTTGAGTGAGGGAAGCCGAGCAAATCGAGTGCGCATCTGAAAGACAGAAATGGCCGAGACTTGGAATGGAAAGAGATGTTGATTTTGTGGATGGTGTGGGGAGGGCGTTATGTTGCTGAGCTTGAGCCTGTCTAAGATTTTGAATCGTGCCCCATGGTCTGTAGGACAGCTGAAGTCAATAAGAAACTTGGTGTCATCAAACTATAGTAATCAATTCAGCATTCCTCTATGCCCTGTATGAGTGTGTTTCTCTGGCAGCTTTGTGAATGAACTGTGTCATTTTGCTCCAGGATTCACCTAAGGGAGGTTGCCTACTATCGAGAATCACAAGTGGGGACAAAGGCTGAGGAATAGTTACGGAGGTTAACAGCAACAAACATCTCCTGCTGCCGTGAACGAAAACATTCCCGTCCCCAGAGTATCCTGGTCAGTAAAGAGAAATGTGCTTGAAATACCGAACGCCGAGAGATGTCATACCGCGGGTTTACTTCTTCTACAATGGTTCCATTTGGCTAAGTGTGTGCTTTACGGACCTGCACGATCCTCTGTGATAAAATTCTCTAAGTTTCCTCGAGGGAAAAGTATCTCTGAATATTGGAATCTCCCTTTTTCTGCTCCGAACTTCATCCAACTTAGTCTCATCCGGAGAGTATAAAGCATGTATTGCTCTCCTGACATTTAAGCCAGTCGTACAAATTGCCAAATTAATCTGCGCTGAGTGGCCGAGAAGATTCCTCCCCAGAGAACGACATTTCTGGGGAGCAAAATAACTCTCGAGGTCCTGAGCATAACATTGTCAAACTCTTTATCAGTGTGAATTTCTCGCCGCAAGTTGTGTACCCTTTATTTGAAGACTTTTGGTTTGATGCCTTCAGAAGTTACGCAGCAGACTATACAAACCTTCTAGGCTTAGCCTTCCAAAATATAACGAATGCCCATTAACGTGTTCACGGTTCCGACGAGCCAATAAGGCCTCTCGAGTGTATGTCACCATATCTCGTACCGCTATAAACTGCCCTCACATGACGCTGAATGATTTTCAATCTAACAAGAGAGGCCCCTGAGTCATCAATAGCTCTTGAGCTCCTTTCTAGTTGCTGCAGAAGATCTTTAACTACGCTCATCTCTGCTTCTTTCATGGGGCTTTGCCCATGTTCCCCAACCCAGAGATTTTCTTCAGCGTCAGTCGGGCAAATGGCCTCGACTGGCTTCCCTGGGTCTGCGATGAGTTTCCAGTCTGATGACTTGTTTGCACCTAAAACCGCCCCTATATTTTCATCCCCTAATCTCATTTGCTGCTTTGTGATGGCTTCTATTGCACTTGACTCCGCTTGACTGGCTGTTTGCGTGTTGCACATTGTTGCAGCTCTTCTATGCTCTCGATCACACACCATCTTCTCCAGCTTTAGAGCCATCGAAGACGCGGTGATTATACAAGATTCCGGGATCTATCAATGAAAGAGACACCAACAAGGCCACACGTCAAAGAGTGTAGAACCCATTATAGCGAGCAAAAGATCCAGTTTCTCCTGATAGCCATCAAGCTATGAAAGAGTAGGTAAAACATGATCCAAATGCGACATCGACATTTTCAACGAGTTTCTTACCTGTGCTATCTTGGCGACGTACAGCCCAAAGCTTTTGCTTGCAACACCAGGGACCAATTTGTACAAGAAGGTGACGTCTTGAGCGGCCTCTGATACGTACCGCGAATCTAACTCTTGGTCCTGATCTTTACCATCTGTAGCAGGAGTCGCTTGAGTGCATGGGGCTGAGTCCTGTGCTAAGTACGATACAAAATACGGGTTCACTATACCTGGAAACTCATCCCTCAAGTCAGCAATTTTGGGATAGTGCGTGACAAAAAGTGTAAGACATTGAATCTCCCTCAGCATGTGATGCAAGGTTGCATACGCTAGGGCAACACCATCATGGGTACTAGTCCCTCTGCCTAACTCGTCCACTATTACTAAAGACCGCGAGGACGCACTTCTCAAAATCGCTGAAGCCTCACTTAGCTCCTCAAGGAATGTGCTTGAGCCTTTTTGCAAACTGTCAGATGCTCCCATCCGAGTATGCACAGAGTCAAATACATGGAGCTTTGCCGAAGAAGCAGGCACATACGAACCCACCTGCAAGGACACTTATAGCTCTCAGCTTGTGTCAAGCAAAAAGATAAACCCCTATCTAAAGGCTTACACATACCTGCATTCATGTACTGCTCCAGACAAGGGATTGAGGATGATTGAAGAGAGAGTGCTACAATTTCGATCCATTATCACACAGATAGTCTGATCCACGCGACAAAATAAAAACATGTGGCTGTTGCTTAATGCTGACATTGACATGGGACAAATGTTAGACGCGTAGGGAATAACTACATCAATGTATTCCAATCCCACTTATCCAGCTAATTTGGCTTCGTACTTTTCCACCTACGCATACCTGTGCCATAATAGCTATCAGAGCAACTTGTCGGATATAGCAACTTTTGCCACCCATGTTCGGGCCCGTAATAATTTGGCAGCGTTCTTTCTGAGCATGAAGATTGGTGTCATTTGGAACAAAAAGCTCTTGCAGAGTTGAATCCAGAATCTGCAGAAATGGACAACCGCACGAAAAGCTTGAACTCGTAAGGCACGGGCTAAGCCGTCTACTTCACACTGATCCCGTACATGAACAAATTGACTCAGCTGCTGAGCAGAAAGCATCGAAAAGGACAGCACAGTAACTAGTGTGAAGAGTTCGTGCGATTGTTTATTGTGAAGTTTCGACATAGAGACTAACTATTTAACATCAGTAAACTTCATAACTGACTATAGCATACGATGCATTCTATAAGCACGTCTGAAGCTGGCACGGAAGAAGTAAGGTTGCACTCGGAACGCTAGTTCATCTTGTTTATTGCTATAACCAACAGGCAGTCTCTGTTATGCTACGAACGTACCGGGTGGCGGCCAGCTTCAACGCCGAACTGAGAGGGTTCGTCTTCTCCTACGAACTCAGGCCGTGTATATCCCTTCACGATAACGATCCAATATAAGACGTGACTAGCAGCAGAAGGTATCATGCTATATGGCAGTAACAAAGAATTAGATCGATCCTTCAAGAACAGCGGTAAACGAGACACTTAAAGGGATCTAAAATTTTTGTCATACACTAACCACTGATGGAGACAAGCTACCTGATTACGCGAGACCACGGCTAGAGAGTGCAGACAATCAAGTGCTGCGAGCGCCTGAACAGAAGCTCGAAACTCGACATAGTGAGAAGAAAATTCCTCCAAAAACATGTCCCAAGCTCTTGTGCATGCTGCCGTCAATTGTTCTGAAGCTACTGCCAACTTTTGGAGCGACTTGAGTACATTAGGTGGATGATACCGATGTGTTTTCTTCGTACTATTCACTTTTATCCAATCTCCGGGAACTCGTTGTGCGACCGGAGCCTGTAGAATTAGGAAAATCATTTGGTCAAAGATTGAACTGAGTAAGTACACTTATTTCAGATACCTTGAGGCACACCATTCTTACGAGCAAACACCTACCTTGCCTTGTGAACATGACTCACAGACATAGACTACACAATGTGGTAACAGCCAGGGTTCAAGACTCCCAACAATCTAATAATGGAGGATGTCAAAATTAAAATAGAGACTGACCTCCACCAAGTACGTAGACCCGTTAACGGACATGTACTGCAGATTTGGAAGACGCAGTAGCGTCCGAAAGGCAGGCAAAAACCCGTCTAACTCCTTCTCTACGACTTTTATTGCCTTACGATGTGCTAAAACCTGCATGACCCACAGAGATGTATCAATCTCCGCTGAAGGAGACACTTTTATTAGCTGATTATGATTAAAAGAATGGAATGTAACGACTACAAGGATCCAAGGCAACTTACATACACATAGTCAGGAAGGAAGAGAAGAACATCTTGGAAAACAGATAAAACTAGTCACCTCCAATTTGCATATGCTTTCTATGTAGGGTCCTGCTGTATTGTCTGTATTCTACAAATATGAACTCTGAAAGGATCTAGCTTAAAATACTGAAACGCCAATATGACAAAGAAGCCTGGTGAACTAATCTAAGAACTGGACAAATATAATATCACTATCCTTAGTTTGAGTAAACTCTCGTCTTGTAGCGGTCTTTGGAAATAAGATATGAGAGAGGAGGACTCATGCTGGATCGATCGGGTCCAAAGAGAACAAGTGCGCATGGATCTTAAGAGCCGAGTTATACTAGAAAAGGGTTCTCTGGCAGTCGTACATGCATCAGCCAAGTGTTCTGTTGCAAGAGTCACTTCATGAACAAATACACCTAGACAATGGCTGTTGCACTTGGAATAATCAATGTGAGTTGATTCCGGTAAGGTGAGTGTTTCTACGGGTCTCTGCCAAGTAGGCAAGCCAGTTGAGGATGGGAAAGATACCTCTGAGAATCTGCCATCTTCACAGTTGAAAAGATTAAGCTTGTCTCCGGCTTGTGCGGCGTCTGTATTCAATGCAGACAAAAGTCGATTCGCATGTTCACAAATCGCTTCAGAAGAAACAGCTGAAATAAGCCTCTGAAGAAGAGGAGACTTTATTTCTCTTATTTCCCTTGCATTGTCATCCTCCCTCATGTGATTCACAGGCTCAAAAGCCGGGAGCGCTCGCTCGAAATGCTTGGAACATGTCACAAGAGCTTGCATAACTGAAACAAACTGCAACACATCCGGGAGATAGAGAAGTTAGTCCACTAATCAACTAGAGAAGGCCTATATCTACTCTAATAAACAAGAAAAACTTGCATCCATTAAAAGCTAGTACTACCTCTGCGGCTGTTGCAGTCCGGTGAAATATTCGAGTAATACCACGTTCCAAATCTGGCATTCTCCCGACAATATTGAGAGCAGCACCAATCAAACCTTGAACTCCATGACTGAGACGATTGATAGCTCCACCATTTCCGATAGCTTTACTGCTACCTGAGAAAGGTCCCGTCGTCGTTTGAGCTGCACACCCAACTGATTCCGCAATTTCTGTCACTGCGTCGAGCCGCGCTGATATATGTTCATGATTGCAAAGCGGATGAGTAACCTACAAAAGGATCATATATGATCTATCAGAGACTTGAAAACATGATCATCTGACCTGGCATCACATAATTAGACTTGAAGAATCGAGGAAAGCATCCCAGCTGAAATTGCCAATAAAAAATGCGTTGAACTTTGACAAGCGTTGGATGGGCTGCGAAAAAAGTACCCAGTGTCTTAATAGTCGGGCACCAAAGGAAGTTTGTGTCTGGTCCAACAACCAGAGTAGAGAACCTTTCTCACTACCATCTGCGTTGTTCTTGAGGATCTGCAAGTCAAACAAGTCCACAGTTAAAGGGCCGACATTGTGATGAAATATGTGTCAAAGTATTGCAACTTCACTGGAAATGAGGAACCTAGCATCCTCCTCGGACTGTCAATCAACCATCGATAAAAGAAGAACCATGTGGGTAACAAACATACCTCAAGCTGGCGAATCGCATTGGGCGAAAGGTTCATTTCATTTTGAGTAAAAAAAGGTCGAAATGTGGTACCCAATCTCAGCACCTTTTCCAAGCCAAATTGTTTCAAATATCGCAAAGCAAGAGCCAATGCTTGCACTACGATGTCTGGCATTCTCATGACAACCTGCCACAAACATGTATCTGTAATGCTTGGTGAGAGGACGTTTCTCAACCAGGAAAATCTAATGAAGAGACAACTTGATCAATATGTTGCAAAAGTTTGAGTTTCTAACCTCCAATTCTTCATTAAAACTTTCTGCTTCGCGTGTTCCAACTAAATTATCAGAAGAATCTGCACCACTCCTGTAGAATTCTACTACCTCAGCTAATGCACCTCCATCCTTGAAACAGTCTCGTGAAACACGTTCCACGCGAACTTCAGATGTCGGCCCTGCAAAGTCCATCAAAGGCTGTCCAGGGACGCTTGAATGAGTCTAACGCATGCGTGGAGGACGAAGATTCGGAGCATGATGACCAGACTTCCCACGCACTTAAAAATGCAAAGCACAGGAGAAAGAATGGAAGCCACAACGTGCCCTTGGGCACTGGGGCAGGTTTACTCTCGTTCCAGCAAGTTCGCCATGGCTCCATTAATGCAATAGCTGCATACCTTCTCTGTCTGGGGTGAAAGTGGAGAAGCCAGAAGAAGCTCTACAGGAGTGCAGGCAAGCAAGCGCCCTTCCAGTTCAGTTCTCATCACAGTATCTCTGAAGGCACTGAACATGATATCCCCTGTGGCAACTTCAATAGCAACCATGCCCAACTCGGTGTCGTAGCTCCCGCGCTGGGCATCCGCCTCTCTTGAGGTATTAAAATCGCCCTTCATCCGCTTCTTGTCACTTCCTTTGGAATCTATTATGGGTTTTTCTGCTATGCACATAAGATAGCTACTCAATCTTGACAATCTACCCTCGGATTCTCCCCCCAAATCAGCAGCAGCCTCTAAAGTGGAACGAGTGTACAAGGCTGTCAGTCCTCGAGTAAAAGGTCCGGTTTTATTAGGGCCATGAGACTTTAGTGCAGCTGTTTCGGTTTGTCTCACCACTCCCACCTTACACCCAGCCTCCACCAACCTCCGCACATGAACATGCAGCCTAAATGTGGGAATGCTTGCAGTGAGGAAACTGTGATCATAGTGAGCAAAAATTCCCAAAATTTTAGCGGCGGTTTCTGCATCATTCCCGAAAAATCGATACCTGTACCCAACCTCTACCATCAACATCACATCCGGATACTTGGCCTTCAGTTCGGCTACTTGGACTTCCAGCGGAGTGTATTTCTCCTTGCCTGTTGGGGGACTTCCATACCAGGATTCCTTCACATCACCGCTGGAATCAGCGCGTGCTAAAAGCTTCTCAACAAATCTCCTGTGCATGACAGGGTTGGAAGGGGGAATCTGCTGCACCGTCTTAACGTCAGACGAACTGCCCTTCCTCCTCCGCTTGAGGCTCGGAAGCGAATCAAGAGCACCGGCAATTCCATGTACTTGCATCTTGGCAGTATCATCTGGCTCCGCGACAGCAAGAGGCTCAGGACATTGCAGCCCATCATCACCTCCATCCCTGCTCTCCTCGTCCACCTCCTCCTCCTCCTCCTCCTCATTCTGGTATGGACGTTGTGATGCACATTGCACTCCCAAGCATGCAGCTCCACCGTCCTTGTGGCTGCGCAATGACATCTCTACATCTGAATTGTCCACATCTCCCACTGATGACGCCGATTCGGGAAACCCTCCAGTCGTCCTCTGTTCAGTCACCTCCTTCCCCAGATCTCTCACGGGAAGATCATCACTGAGATCTATGGGCATACAAGAAGCCTTTGAACTCTGTACATTCAATATACCCACAGAGACCACAGGATCAGACGATCCAAGAGCTCCTCCATCCTTGCTCTGTTCAACCGCCCTCCTCTTCGACTCTCCTGGCATTGGATCATGGGAGCTAGTCCTTTTGTTGGCTGAGCGAGGGACTACACGACCAGAACGAGGCCGAGGAGGCCATTCTACGGTCGGGGATAAACCCTCAACCTTTCCGAGGGCAGTGGAAGCGGCATTTCTCCGTTCCGAGCCGCTGGCGTCGTTTTGAGAAGGGGAAGACGAGGTCGTAGAAGTGGCGGTGAAAAAACGAGAGATACTCTGCTGCTTTTTCATTCTCGACCACCCGTCTCCGGCACCTTACCTCGTTCCAGCGTCTTGCTTCAATTCCACAAAATCTCTGCGTTGCAACAAGAAACAAAAGAAGATAAGCAGCCCAGACATCTGCCAACCGCGCTAGGGCATCCTCCATCAAATTGGACGAGACCACTTCAACTTGAGATTGCCAAAATTGCATCAATTCAACAATTCTCACAAATGCGTCGGCAAGAGACTGCATGAATCGAAGCCAGTCCGATTCACTTCCTACGGGAAATCCAGTCAAATGGACCAATTACTCAACCTTCTGGTCCGTCTGTCAGGTGGGAGAGCCACTACTCTGTCTGACGTCTGGTCATCCTCGGCATAGAAGATGCATGATCCACTCCTTGCAGGCGCATCAATCTGGCCTCTGCAGCTCGGCCCCGACCAGCGGACTCTTCGAGTAACGAACTGATTTCGAGCCCGAAAACAGCGTGCTCGAAAACGTCCAAATTTCGTGCTTCCGTACCGTTCTCGAGTGCTGTGTCATATTTGCGTTCTCAAAGCAACAGTTCGTGTCGTCTGTGTGCATTTCCCGCCGAAACTCCGAGCCTTCCCCTGTTGCCTCAAAGGTTCGCATTGGACGCCGATTCAGCCACGTAGACCTCCACTGAACCAGGTTGGCGAAATGACTTGGCGCGAGATTCCACCTCCCCACGGGTGTATAGCGTGGCACAGAAGTAACCAGGTCAGCCGAACGTGTAACACTTTAAACTGCGTTGAGGCAAGGATGGTTATAATAAGCAACTACATATACTGGATCCAATTTACAAGTTATGATTCAAGGACGAGCATTTGAGATACTCAAATTTGTTCGGCTTTCATACACATCTTGCTTTGAAACATTTGGTCGTATTCAACACAACTCATTTTATATTATGTATAAATTGAAAAAATTGGAACATTAAATTATTTCAGTTTATGTCAATCTTTATATAAAAATTATTTCATATGTATATTTTATTCTATATATATAAGTTAAATGAATGATAATTGATAATTTTATTTAGAAAATCAAAATACAATAAAAAATATATAATGATAATTGTGTGTTTATATACTTGATAATTTAATAATTTGTCTTTTTAAAAATAAATTTTAAGGAATTTATAGGTAAAAAGCAAACATGTATCCAATTTAAATTATCAAATGATATCTAAACAATTCAACAAACAACAATTTTTGGCTAAAGTAAATTCACATGAGTACTTTGATCATGAGGCTACACTATTAAGTAGAATCTATAATAAATTGTTGTGATAAAATGCAATTCAAAACACCATCCCATTGTCATATATATCCTTACATAAATGGATGAAGTTCATGTTGTGTTCTTTGTTTCCCCTTGTTCTTTATCATTGTTTAGATCATTGGATTGAAAAAACTTTTACTCAAAATAATACACATGTTTGATAAGGATAAAATTGTTTGATGAGATTCATATGAAACTCAAAACATTTGTTGAGATCTAACACGATTAACTAATTGAACCCATCCATGATCCTATATTTCACCACCATCTATGTTTCAATACAAATTTTGGATTAGGTACAACGGGTTGTAAGTACTAAATTTCATCATCATCTATGTTTCAATACAAATTAGGTACAACCGGTTGTAAGTACTATATTTCATCGTCATCCATGTTTTAATACAAATTTTGGATTATGTACAACAGGTTGTAGGGACTAGATGCTAATGGTCAGCATGTAACTAATAGACGAACATATACAGCTCCTAAATTGTCCGCACAAACTATTATGAATGAGAGATTTAAACTTGGAAATGCACCAACATTCATGAAAATTAAAAAACTCTTGAAACAAATTTTACTAATAAAACAAAGAGTTCATGATTTTGGTAGTTGTAGCGAGCTTTTCCAATTCAACAATCAAAAAGACGATAAAAAAAAGAATAATACAAAGAGTTTACAAGTTGATAGTTGTGTCAAGATTGCACAATCCAATAATCAGAATTACTTATAAAAAACAAAAAAAAAAAAACAAAGAGAGAGACATGCGTCTTATCTATCAATGTCAAGATGGGTACATGACAATTTTTATTACTCAGCTTGTGTTTTGAATTGCATTTTGTCACAATAATCAATTTTAGACTCTCACGAGAACATATTAGACTCAATGCACAATAAGATCAAACCCTCCCACCACACTATGATTGCCAAATATCGGATTACAAAAATTCATAGTAATACATGGGTGACAGAAAATAACAAGTTCGCCAACGGTTTTATCAAATAAAATGATACGTGTCAAATTTCATCAAATGTTTTCAGTTCTGCAAGGATCTCATCGAATAATTTTTTTCACATAAATAAGATACACATGAAAATCAAACATATTTGTGTATCTTAGATGCTCATACTCAAAATCTCCGCTTGAAAACTTGATCCACGTTGTGACATTGCTCATTATCTCGTAACCATCAACTACTTTTATCAGTTTGTATAACTTTCTTTCTCGAGAATTTTAATTATGTTTTGATTAAATGATATTAAATCGTTTTAATCATCTTTTGTGATAGCACATCATGCAAGTGGCATAAGAGCGAAAACATTAGATTCTTGATCACAGTTTATCTAAAATTACTTAGTTATGATAGTACTACTTTCTTGTTGAAGTATGTTAGTTTATGAATTCTACTATTAAAAAGTGCAAAACATAATGTTTAAAACTTTCATTTGATCAAACAAGATGATAAAGTCAAGTTGAAAATCATGAAGATTTGAAATATTAGATTTGACATGTTTAGTTATAAAGTATTTTTTGTTTGATATTATGTTTCTTACAATATTTTTGTTGCTCAAATTTTGTATTTTTGAACACATTGTTCAAACATTGTAAACAATATATTATTAAAGATGTTCATTGAATAATATTAGAAGAATTCTAAGTATATGAAACTACATGCTTTAAACAATTGGAGTTACATGAATTGAAACACTTTCTTCTAGTTTATAATCAGATCAAATTTTCAAATAATCACTTCAAATAATTAAATGTTTATTTCAATATATATATGGTATATGATATATATCAACTTTAATAGTCAATCAAATTAATTGCTATTAGATTTTGAATTAAAAACCAAAAATCATACTAAGAAAAGTGTTTGATTTTGACTCTCACTTTCATTTTAATCAAAACTTCATGATAATAGTATTACAAGTACAACACATTAACTCTTATTATTAATTTTTTAATCTTTATTCTATGTTTAAGATAGACTAATTTTTATTATAATACACATATAAAGAGAATCATCCTATGTTTTCAAATAAACCAATTTGACATTCTTTCATATTTTATTTAAAATATTACATATATTATTCTAAACTATTATATGAATTTTTGAAAACTTGTCAAGATTTCAAACTCATAATTGCCAAACATAATCAAAATCTTATAGAAAATCATTTCATATGATCATTGATACAATTTTTAACATTTTAATATAACAAAAAATAAATTGCATACTTCTAAAAACAATTCAAATGTTTGTATTCTTTTATGCGCATTAAAATTCTATCATAGACTGTTAGTTTTCAACTACATATTTTGATTTATTCATTTCAATGAGATCAATTCATTGTTGTTCATACTTGTCTATTGTGTTCAACACAAAACAATAATTTATCTATAAATTACTCAAATATGTTATATTATTTTTCATAAAAATCAAAAAAATTTGCACAAATGAATGGTTTTAAATATATTAGATCAATAGAGCAACGAAAGCTAAAAGTACATCTTGTCATTTAGTTTGCAATGATCAGGCTTGATCACTAAACTCCCATCTTGGAGAACTAGCTGAGTTATCGATACAAAGTTTTTGCGGAAAGTATGAACGTGTAAAACATCAGGTATTACTATAAACTTAAAATCATTCAAGGAAATTAGAATATTTACTTTGACACAAATGAATTGGCGACTATCGTCGTCCAAAATAGATGAACTACTCCGATGGGAGTTCTGTATAATCCACAAATGCATTTTGATTAAATGTCATGTGTTGGGTGGCACCCGAATCCACATCCTATGTTGGATACGCCTCTATTGAGGAGAGTGCAGTGACATACAACCGATGCTCAGCGTTTGCATCATAGTGTGTAAAAGAGTTTTCTTGCTTCTTCTTTCAACACTCATTTGTTATATCGCATCGCTTCTTGCAATAGAATCATTTCATCTTTCGTCGGTGAAAAAAATGATTTGGTAGTAAGTTCTTGTCGTGACGAAAAGGAAGAACCTGCGTCATAACATCTTCTTGCTTGTTGTTTTTGTCCTGCGACTCAGTATCGCCATACATCATACATCGCTGACATGCTCTACACACAACTCACATATACATACACAAGGAACGAGAGTGTCCACACACAAAGGTATCACAACTATTCTTCACAACTGTTAGTTCTTCGAGTAAAAGAAAGGTAAATGTCACAGACTGTATAAAGAGTCGAGCTCAACCCACGACTCGCAAGTAGAATAAGGGTCGAAGCTATGGGGATCAAACGATGCGAAAGGCTCAACTCGTAGAACTGACAGTTCTTCGAGCTAGCCTCGAATATATCCCACGATCGTCGACCTCAATGTGCATGGCGTCCCAACGTGCAGGGCGTCATAACGTGTACCGCGTCCCAACGTGTATCTCCCCTCAAACTCAAACGTGTATGAACTCAAATCCACACCAACGTCTTGAGCCATGACATTTTTGCTTAGAGGGATTCCACCCTCTTCTCTTCGTGGTGTATAGTGCTGTCATACCGTTAGTCACTGCTTCCTTCTTGAGGTGTAATTCTTCAAGCAAAAGATTGGTTATGACAGATTGTGTGAACAACGCATCGTTTGTTCGCATTGCGCGAACAAAGGTTTGATATTCGTCAAGACGACTTTGAAGTAGACAGATCAAAGCTTTTTCATCTGATACGGTCTGTCATATAGCAGCAAACTGGTCGAGAAGGAGTTGAAACTTTGTGATGATTGTTGCCACAAACTCGCCGACTGCACTTTTAAACAATGCAACGCTTCTCTCAGATGCAGTTGATTCGGTATGTAACACGATTCATATATTCTTGTCAACTCGTTCCATGCTTTAGCATCTATCCGATAGCGTGCAATTAGTGATCGTTGTGGACGTTCCAATCGCATCATTCAACATTGCCAAGAAAATGAGGTTTCTTTTGTCCCATTCCTTCTTACTCCCTACGCCATACGTAGATGTGCTGGTTGTAAAACTGGGTGGAATGATCGTTCGGAGCTCGGTATCTTCAATGAGATCCATCAATGTTTTAATTTGAAAGATCCAACCTATCTGGTCTTTACATGAGTAAAAGTGTTTCACATCAAATTTGGAAAGAAACCTTCATGTAAGTTTGATGAAGTTCATGAAGTAGTCATCTTGCACAAAATGTCTGCTTGTCTTCAACTTCTTCACTGTGACGTGAAAAATTATGAACTCATATTCATAAATTTTTGCAAAATTTGAAATTTTGTGAAAGTTTGTGTTTAAATTTTAGAAATACTTTAAATCTTTCAAGCAAATTTTTAGATATTCTTGAAATTTGGACTCCTCTAGTGCTTCAGATCAGCACAAACAATTATTAAAAAATATTGGTCGGTTAAATTTAGTCAAATTAGTAGCTAATGTTTGGAGCTTGACGGGGTTTTGGAATCTCTTGTAATTGTTTTGTTATGTAGCACATAGTTGGTTTAAAGCGAGAATCGTACTATTTGCTTGTTTTGATTCAAGCGTCATTGAATAGAATGGGAGTCTGTTCTGATACTATATTAGATCAGTAGAGCAATGAGAATTGACAGTTCATACATAGTTTGAGGAATGATTGAATAGGATTATTAATGGTGAATTGAGGTACCCGGATTGAATTTAAATAATTAATCCAAGTGGTACCAAAGGATGCGAAGCACACAGAGTATCACACCTTCACATAGAAGTATATCCTTACAATGGTACACAACTCTGTGAATGTTTGCATCCCCTGGAATTAATCGTCTTAAGTAATATTATAATATTAATCACTACATGTCAATCACAACAATAAATAGAGTAATAACAAGTTCAAACACATAGAAGTAATATGGAGTAACTGTATTCTAACAAAATATTATAAATATGTAATTGATCATTTTTTATCATCTATTACAAGTCTATTATTTTTTATTATGTACATTTCATTTTTTACTCGTCAATTGCATAGATATTTTGATGTAAACTTTCAATTGAATAAATATTTTGATAATAATTTAAAAATATTGATCATTTAGAATGTAATTTTATTGATACTTTTTACATTAAAAATAATCTGAATACTTTTACTTGAAACTTTTAATGCATTACAAAATATTATTTTTTTTCTTTTTATCTAACAAAATAAAACTGTAGCATTAACATGTAAATGTGATTTCAATTGCTATACATATGATATTGCAATTGAATATATGAATAAGATAATTTTTTAAAAAAATATACATTGTATTTTTTTATGCAATATAATTTTAATTGAATGTTATTTAAATTTTAATATAGTTCAAAGAATTTGCATCAAATGCATAGGTTGTAAATAAGTGATGGCTGAAAATTATTGCAAAAATGTACGATTGATCCATAAAGTGATCGTTTTAACTTGGCACTTCTTCCCAAAAAGCAAACACCACAAAAAAATAACAAGTACAATTGAAAAAAAACTCAGGACCGGTTATTAGTCAACGTGCATGATTAAATCATTATACTTTTTATCTATACTAGATTTATCCACAACAACAACCCAATTTTAGAGATTTATACAAAAAGTTGAATTTATGAAGTTGAATTCTCAAATAATGACTTTTAAAGTATTTCATAAAATCTAACTATATTCATGATAAATTTTACCAATAATCTCTTTACTTTATGCTATAACATTGATATAAAAAAAATCTATTCCTTTATATACAAAATCATATATTTGAATTCACATGAAATTTTTGTAAGTAATTCAATAATCTTGTGATTCTTGACAAAAATAATTTTACTCGTTGGTCCTTACGTTTTAGATTTAATAATCCATATATTCCATTTTACCATTTAAGGTTCAATGGTGTATTCTGATCTCTTACTTCTTTGCATGTAGTATTTCACATTTTAGTACTGAAGTCAAGTGAGGGGGCTTGTGAACAAAATTGCAAAATCTCAAACCATTCTAAAACCAAACCTGGTTTGAGATTCTCCCCCAACTCGTTCCCAATTTGCGGTTTCTCTCCAGTAGGGTTTGGAATAGCGAGCCGACCAGGATATTGGCGAATCCATTGAGAATAAACAGAACTGAGGTCCCGATAACCGTCGTTGGAATACTGTCGCGCGGTATGTACCGCCATGTCAATACGTTACAGTACAATTTTATACTCCACGTCCGCTGCGAGTTTCATCAGCGCATGTCTCCGGTTTGAACTTCGCACGGGGAAGTTTGAACGTTCAGATTCCCGCCTTGGGCACTTCGGAGTTCAGTAGAGGTAGGCTTGGCCACGGTCCGGTCCGGACCGACGGTTAACCGTCGGGACCGGTTAACCGGTCCCAGATTTCTCCGGACCGGTTAACCGGTCCGGGAAAAAAATTTCCTCTGGCAGCAGAATTAGACCAGCGAGCCTCGCTGGTCTAATTCTGCTGCAAATAAATAAGTAAATTTTTTTATCACCCAATTCGATAAGTGGATAATCCCTAGCATCGAGCTCGGATGTGTTTCTCCAGCTTCCCTGCACTCTGGCGCAAAGTCGAAGTCTCTCCAATTCGAGAGCGTTTTCAACCGGGAGGATTTTCAACAGTCCGAGTGGGGGCTCATTTGAGTCCTCGAGCTATCGCGCAATTCCTCCTTCGCTCCCAGCCCCTCCCGTCGGCCACGTAGGGTCGGGACAGATGGTTAACCGGTTAAAACCTCGGTTAACCGTTAACCGATATGGCAAAATGCCGGACCGGTTAACCGGTCCGCACATTTCCCGGACCGGTTAACCGTTAACCGGACCGTGGCCAAGCCTAAGTAGAGGCGTTGATGTTTGGGATTGCTCCATTTCTACAGCATCAGTGCAATCAGAATCAGGACCAAGAACTGCGATGGGTCGCTGAGAATCGTCCACAATGGAATTCTAGACGGCGAGAACCGGAGTTAGACAACGAAGCGTAGAGATGATCCAACGAAGGAGTTGCTTGCATCCGCTCATGACGGTGAGCACACAGGATTGAAGATTGTAGTGTACAGGTAGATTGACTTGGTGCAGAGCGTTTGCAGATTCGAGGAGGAGAATTTGGAGAAGGAAATTGGCGGAAGGGTGGGCTTAGAATGGAAGAAACGTCGAGATGCCGGGACTTCTTGGATGCTACTGGGACTTGCACGCGCAGCCCTTGGACTTAGCGAAATTGAGAATGCTGGGCTTCTTCTAACGTGATTACCAACCATATTGATGGTGTGGTTGCTCATGTTGATGGCACTCCGATGAGGATCACTGACTCGGTAACTGTCATTTAGGAGCCTGGTGACTATCACACATAATTAAACCTGCACTCTTGTTGTGGTGCTGATTGTTAGAAGATAGAATTTGCAGATAGACCTAGAACAATCAATGTTCGGACGTGGAATTGCGGGATTGTGCTTCTGGGGTGGAACCTGATTCAGCTTTCACTTCGTTTGAGTAACTTTGTCATGGTTCGTTGAGAAGCCAAGGCCACGTTCTGTCAACTAAGGGATACAGTAGATGAAATCTTACCATCAGGTCTGGCAAAGGGCCGCTTTCATCTTTAGCATATCAAAATCATGTAGAAGACAATGCTGCCCTGGGACTCCAATTCAGCTCGTGTTTATGCACTTATAAGCCCCGGTCTGCCCATTCGCGAGGAATAAACGTCGAGACCTCGACATGAAGTGTGCACAGTGTGAGAAGGCGGAAGCGACTGTACGATGTCTGGAAGAGAAATTGGACTATTGTGGACCATGCTCTCAAGCTCTCCACAGCAAAAAGGCTCGAATGCACCATCAGTTGAAGATACGGGCTGCGACGAGGGTCTGCGACGAGTGTGAGGCTGCTCCAGCGAAGTTGGAATGCCTGATTTGTGGGGGTGGACAGGTTCCTCTCGTCTTCTGCTTCGAGTGCTGCTCCAGCTTGCATTCTCGATCGGCACGTGCAAATCACTCTGTTCAGAAGTTCGGGTACAAGCCACTATCTTCCAGACAGATAATCATTGATCTGACTGATGATAGAGATGAGCAGTCGGAGGCAACCAGGAAGTCAGAACCTCAGGAACTGAAAAAAGTGAAATCTGAAGATCAGGGCTTTGTGAAGAACCCTCCTCAAGCAGCACGAGAGGACATTCCTGTTCCAGCAAGAAAGGCGTCAACGAGGAGCTCTGGCATTCCGAAGGCCAGTAGCTCGAACTCCGGCCTTCGTCAATGCAAGATGGAGAATATCGAACCGCCACTGCAACCACGGAAAGGCTGTAAAGAGAGTTTTAGTCAGCAGGTCAAGAGAGAAGTTTCCGAGGAGGCACCGAGCAGGCCGCGGAGAGTCCGGTCCGCAAGAAATTATGCTGGAATGGCAGGACTTGGTAGTTCTGACGATTGCAGTTCCAATAAATCTTCTAGCGATAGCGAGGAAGAATTCCGCGGTACACGTAAAATCAAAAGAGGGTCAATCACGGTGGAAGCTTTTGTCGTCGATGCAACGGACCAGGATGACACTGGTCCTGCACACACAGGTAGCTAGAGGGCAGGCGGATGGGATCAGCTGGTTTGCTTTATCATCGTGTATCTGCCACACGTCAATAGTACGTCCCGTGGTGGATTTACAGTTAGGCTTCTTAGCTTTGATCCTGACCATGAACTGTTCTCTGCAGGTGCACCTTGCGAGGAAGCTGTGAACGGTATTAGATTCAAAATCAGGAAGATGCTCGAGCTAGGTCTGCATCCAGATACTCCGGATATAGAAGCCCAACAAGCTCTAAAAAACGCCCAGCGCTTGCTAACAAAGCACAACCTAGAGCAGGTGCGGAACCATGTGAACTGCATTACTGCGACTTTTCCTAATCTCACATGTGTATGAGCAGACTGCGCAGGCCAACATGTGATTAATGAACTAAACTTCACCGATTTGCAGGCGGAGGTTCTGCAGGGAAATCTGACTGATACCAGTTCACTGACTGGAGGGATGCGGTTGGTAGAGCTTAGAGCTAAAGGCAGAGATAAACTTGGTCGTATGGAGTCATGGGTTTTGGAGCTCGGCTGGGTGATATCAGACAACTTTGATACTCAGTTCTTCTTCAAAACCGGAAGCGCTTCAAAACCTTTCAGAGTAAGAATCTCTATGTACCTGGCAAGAGGCATGAGCTTTCTAACATTCCAGTCGGCTGTTTTTTCAAGGAGATTGCTAGAACGGAGCCCATCCTTTGGATATCCAAGCAGATTCTTAAATTCCAGGTTATCCATATGCCTCGGGAGCCTTTGGCTTGACTACATTAATTCGCCAAGCCATCAGTCCTGTCGCCCGTCTTATTTCTCTTTGATAACTCTTCATCTGTACAGGTTGTTTTTTACGGTATTAGTCAGAACGCTGACTGTGCCGGATATGCGTTCGCCGCTACTTTCAACCGCATCACAGCAATGTCAGCGGAGTATATAGTCAAGTCTGCCAACCAGTGCGATGAGGCAGAGAAGGAGAACCAGGATGTGAATTTCGGAAAAACGAATCAAGGGATCAATACGAGAGTAGCCCGAGCCAATTATCGCAGAGGTATCGTGGCAGGTCTGAAAGAAGCTGTTGAGGACTCCAAGAGAACGAGGAGCCCGAAGAGCGAGTCATTCCATGAGGGAGGAACAAAGTCAGAGGGTGAGGATTGCGATGCTTATGCCGATTTTCCTTCCTATGAGAAGGATGATTTTTCCCACCCAGAAGACGATTCTCACGCAGACACCCCAATAAAGTTTTCATGGCGATGTATGGCAATCACTGCTCTTGTCCAGCACTCGAAGAAAGTAGGTGAAGACTTTCTACAATCCAAAGGGATCAAGGTCCGAAAGAGGACTATACCAAACAGATCGCAGGCATTTCACGAGGACGCTTATGTGCAAGGGAAGAAGGATGCGGAGTCCATAGACATGAACCAAAAGGCACTCGAAAATGTTAAGGCTAAGAGATCTAAAAAGACCCGAGGTTAGATTGGCTAGAAGCATACCACAAACTATAGAACTCTCTAATCTACCGTTTTGACACTAACTGTCAAAGCGTCACTTCGGGTTGCCAAGCTTTGTACAGAACCTGCAATGGAGGATCCTACTTACTCCGAAAGTTGTACACTTACGTACATGTAATGTGCATACTTTTAAGCTTTGCCTTGGTTTAGAGTTTAAGATGCAACAGACCTACTTCCGAGTTTTCTTACTAGCTCGTATGACTGTACATTGTGATTGAACTGCACTGATTATCGAAGTCCCAGTTGAGGATCATGACAGATCCGTGCAAACAGCAATTTTTATCATTCATTTCAAGGGTTTCAATCACATGAGGCAAGGGATCTACATTCCTCTGACTCTTGCAAAACCCGCTTAGAAGTGGGAAGCATATCCTGGTAGATAGGCACAATAAGACGAACATCCATAGACTCCATCTGTGAGAAGGAACAGATGGACTATATGAGTTCATACGATGAGGAAAAAACAGCACATTTAAAGGAAAAGTTGCACACGAGAATTCATAGACGACATGGAAGCCGTCAGAGTTAAGAATCCAACTCTACGGATTCGTTCGTTTTTCCAACCGCAAAGGTTGACAGTACGTGAAATCGATTATAAAAAAGCGGAAAGAGTAGAAACACTACCTGCCTTCACTCATAAGAATTTTCGATTCTATATGCTGAAAAAGATAGCAGAGAGTGACGTTGAACACTCAATTGCGTCAATTTCTTCCAAGAGCAATAAGCTTCGCAATATTCAAGACTTAAATTTACAGCATCAACACAATTTTTAAAACCTCCGTCTTCCTGTTCAAAAATAGACGATTAGAGATATAATTCTGCACATTTGAGAACTCAATGATCCCAAGTGCTGACAAAACTGGCTTCTCCACTTCTCTTAGACATACTCTCCTACATGCGGAGGATAAATTCTCTCCAGATACGCCTCCAAGCGACATGGAATAGATATGCTTGCACCTGATTCTGCTCACGTTGGTCCTAATACTAGTTATTCTAAGTTATTTTTTGTTAGCGAGATCCCGTTGCTAGTCATGACGATTCAACAGTAAGTCAAATTTACAGTGGTGTATCAAGTCTCAGAATCAGGATAATGTTAAGCGCTGTTCACTAATCTTCGTCTTCGCCACCCATGTCGAAGTTGCCAGCGTCTTCAGATTCACCCATGTCGGCGTCATAATCTTTGATTTTCACTTCTGCGTCTTCTCCAAATTGAATTGCATTGTCAATATGTGACAACAGATACTGGATGCTTTCTTCATCCCTGATATCGAGGGGAAGGAAGCTCACCATTGAGTAATCGTCAACTAGTTCGGCCAAAGCCTTGTTAAGTTTTTGAAATCGAGGAGCCATTTGATCATTCAATTCTCCTAACAGTAACCTCGCATCCGGATCAAGAAACTTGTCGACATTACTTTTGCTGGGAAGTAAGTCCATCTTTGTCAAGACGTTCACATGAGGAACCTCGAGCTGGATCATTGCGGACAACGATGCCATGCATCCACTGATATATTTTGTGACATCTGAAGCAAACTGAGAATCGAGCATGTAAACTGCACAAACAGCGAAGTCCCACTTCTTCAGCTGGTCGACGAATGTCCGTAAAACAGGTATATGGGAATAGAGTTCAATTTGACCGGGACAGTCAAACACAAGATAGTCATCGTCGATGTAATCTTCCAGCTGCTCTGACAACCAATCATCGAGATTCTCCTCAAGATACTCCATACAATACACCAGGCCCCCATTTGGTCCCAGCTTCAGCTCCTCCATCACATCCTCTAGGGATATCAACTCGCGGATGTCTACAGACACGGGATACCGGAAGGTTTCCGCCGCAGGATCGAGATTCACAATATGTATTACTCGGCCCACGCTCTGACAGTGTTGGTATAGGTTGTGACAGTACGTAGACTTGCCACTCCCAGCCGGCCCGATCACTAGTTGCGCATAGCGAGGCATCGCGCCTCCCGCACTTTCTCTTGTCTATAGAAGCCCAAGATAACAATCAGACGAACTTTCTTTCCTGTCATCAAAACACAATCGGCTTAGACAATGAATTCAAATAGCGTACGAATTCAAAACGACCGTCATGACCACGGGCAGCATATTTTAGAAAATTCCACCCTAAATTCGACGCCGAGGTAAGCAAAAAACACGCGTACGGTATGAAAATGAAATGGAGGGCAATACTGATTTCTGTCCAACGCCTAAAACGCAGATTTGGAAAAGCGAATCATATACAAAACTCCCAATTATTTCGCATTTCCTCCGCGACATATTCTCCAAATATGTGCACAACGCAGAAAAATATGAAGAAAGATAGTCTCGAAAATCTCGAGATTGTCTCAAAGCAAAGTCGAGCGTTCGGCATCACCGGCAAGCGATCAGAACCTAGCAGAGAATACAGAGCCTTCTGTTCAGGCGATGCTTTTCCTTTCGGAAGCAAGGCGAGGCGTAGAATTCACATACCGGACTCTATTTGCACACTAAATCGTGTGCAAGTCCCTGAGGCCAGCCGCTGGAGATGGACATGAACCTCTTCCTCCTCCGTATGCGACACTCTGCCCTCTTCACTCTGTCACCACGTTTCTTCGACACGACTCTGTCTCTAAAACCCCAAACCCACTCCTCCACTTCTCCAAGCGCGCTTCGAAAGCTGGGCAGAAAGATGGCGCGGCAAAGAAGCCCAAGGGATCGACAACTGCCGTTCTGCACAGTTTCGACATTTCAAAAGAAGCGTCGCCGTGACCAATAATCGACAGAACTGGCTTTGAGCAAATCCCGTAGAGCCTACGGGAATCAAAGACTTGTTGGACTCAGGGCCCTGTCCGTGAAGAGAAAAAAATTGACTTCGTGGAAAACAAAATGTCAAGAAATATGTTTTTCATGAAATATTCATTTTATATCTGATTTGCAAGTTTATCTTCATCTAGGTGAAAACTAATTTTTTATTTTGTTGTTGCTATAAGCCATCATTCGAAGATTCCTATATTATTATCTCTTTGAAAATTATTGTGCTTCAATCCTATATCTGAGGAAAAACATTTGTACTAGATTTTCCAAGTACTTTAAGCCTTGACAATCTGATGATGGATCATGATATTTAACACTTAATCAAATTATGCTAATTGGATTCAGATCTTATTATCCTAAGCTTACATATACGAGTTACCCATGTTATATATTGTGAATCACATTGATGCACTTATATGAATCTTTATTATTATTTATTAAGAAATAAAACTAAGCTTGAGATTATACTTTAGTTCCTATCAAATTAAATTTTAGTAGATAATTTGCAATTTAAGATATGAAAGATTAGTTGTATAAGATTTTTAATAAAGGTTGGTTCTCACATTTGTTATTTGTTATTTGCAATTATGTTCTTTTATTGAAAAATGAGTTGGGATATAAGGTTAAACTCCAAACCTCTTGTAATTTGAGTATGAGATCTAACTTTCTTGTGATTGTGACAAGTTGCATTTGAAAGTTTTGAACGTTTCATTGATGCATGATAACTAATGTATGTACTAGAATAGAAATAGATGAAGAAGACATGGAAATGTTGTAACTTGCATACATAGTTACTTCACTGGATCTGATACTCTTAATTACCATTTTGATAAGTTTTGTATTCTTCCTAAGAGTATTGATAACATGTTAGTGTGATGCATACTATTTCATACTACTTAAAAAATAACACTATTTTGACATCAAATGTGCAATCACATTACTTCATTTTATCGCGCTTGTTGTATATTTAGGTTTTAATAGAATGTGAACTAAAAAAAGTGTCGATAGATTGATTTCTCCTGGATCATATGTTGCAACTAGTAACGCATTATTTTTACAACAACAATCAATTGGACATAGAGCATGAATAGTATAGCAGAAAGCATGGGGAGTTATAAAATGAATATGATATATAGTTCTCAAATTGTTATAAGATATAACAATTGAGTAGTTGAAAAAATAAAATAATACAAATGGTCACTATCTCTAGCAAATCTAGATCGCCACCGTGTACAAAGCTTGCCAAAAAGTGAGAGCAGCATATCGGATCTTCGACGCATTCTCCAAAAATGATTCAATATATCAATATGTAGAGAAAATTTCAAATGTCACAACTAATGAATTTCTATTATTTTACTTGGTACCCTCATTCTTTATTCAAAAAATAATATATAATTGGTAATGTGGAGACTAGGGCCACATTCATTTTTGCTACCGGCCACACCCACTATATACAAACAACTGATTGCGCGTCAAAGCACGACTCCCGCTTTGCTGCCGCTTGTACCGCTTCCGCCTAGGGTGTGGCGCTAGTCTGCCCCAATTCATAACCCCCATATTACACTTTTTTTCGGTTCATATGGAGACCTTTCCATCGTTTTTTACTAAACTAACAAAGGCAATTTATTTCTCAAAAACCCCGCTCCTCTTTGGTGTGCAGTAGAATAGTTAAAGTGAATATATAGAAAGTAAGTATAAGTTTAGTAGGCACTCCCCCAATAAACCCATCATCCGTACAAAGATGAAACGAAAAGGGTGAGGTGGAAGTAGACTTTCTGCATTTAGTTCTACGTGGTCGAAACCTGTGGTGCACGGACTGGATCAGCGTGTCCACCGCGTTGGATCTCTTTGAACTGTGTGCCCCGACGTGGTTTTTCTCGAGCCTCGAGGTAATGAATCTGGTAGAGCAGGAGACCAGGAATTCGTGAATTTTGTAGACACGAATCCGTCAGTGGTGATGACTACGCTGTCTGTTCGTGCCTGCACGGATTTTGCTGTGGCGTCGTCTGGTAGCTGCTCATCGCTGCTCGTTCCAAAGAATGGAGTGGGAAGACATTTGTATCATCACAATTTTCACAGCGCTTTGCGCGGACGGGGTGTCGAGAACAGGCCATGGAATTTGAAAAAGTGTTTCCCGGTCTCATTGGACACCAGTCTTCAGCAACAGAAGGTAACGACATTGGCTGTCGCTGGAGGTAGGAAAGAGGTGCAATATCCACCTGCAGATTATGACTTCAGAGCAGAGGTCGCGGAGGATACGTCTCTGGTTGTGGGATCATCGTTCCCGGAGTTGATGGATTTGGTAGAGAATGGAACTTTGGTGGTGGTAAAGCGGCCGAAGGACTATGTCGAGCGCAGAAGTGATGGCTACAGGGAGCCTGAAATGGTGTTCGTGGTGGGCACTGCACACATGTCGGTTGTATCGGCCACAGAGGTGGAGAGGGTCGTGAAGGCTGTTCGTCCGGAGAATGTGGTGGTCGAATTATGTAGAAGTAGGGCTGGTATCATGTATGACGAGCCAACAATCAAAGGGAGCGACTCGGTCGACGGGGAAGAAATTCGAGGAACACAAAAGGAAAAGAATTTAATGTCCATGAGTGGAGAGAATTTTGGAGCAGCCATGAGTCGTAGTCTCAGACTGGGAGGCAGATCAGCGCTAGCTCTGAGGCTTCTTCTCGGTGGGTTGTCTGAAAAATTGTCCAAATCCGCAGGAGTTTCAACCGGAGAAGAGTTCCGCGCAGCGCGCAGAGCAGCTGAGGAGATCGGGGCGCAGCTCGTTCTTGGAGACCGGCCAATAGAAGTGACACTGAAAAGGGCTTGGGAAGCGCTTCAGTGGGATGAGCGGTTTCGTCTTGCAGGGATCTTTGTCCAGGCCATGAACTCCTCTAAGCTTGATGCATCTGAAGAAGTTCTTGCGGCGCTTAAATCGGATGATGCCCTGTCCCAAATGTTTTCTGAGATGGGTACAAGGCTTCCTTCCTTACTACAACCCCTCATATACGAAAGAGATATGTACCTGGCCTGGTCTTTGAAGCGAAGCAAGGCTGTAAATGGATGTTCCAGAGTAGTTGGAGTGGTAGGCAAGGGTCACATGCGTGGAACTGTGTACAACCTGAAGCACAACCAGGACAATTTGCGATTTAGTGATCTCGTAGGCTCTCGAAGCCAGGAGGATACAGCTTCTAAAACTGTTAAGTTTTTCAAGAGCTTGTTGATCGAAACCGCTGTAGGGGGGCTCATCTGGCTCATATACCAAAACACAATCGGCAAAGGAACTTGATAAGGATGAATGATCTCCTTGAGGTGTAAATTGAATTGATGTACGATATTTTTATCAGTCATAATCTTAGTTCGTTCATAAGTTTCGGCTGCTCTCTCAACTCTCTTGCCATCAGAGGACTAACAATCAATCCCGTCAAAGCATGTGTCGAAACTCGCACACTCTTGACAACGTAAGTGCAGTATTGTCCTGCTAAGAAGTTTCTGAAGAGTAGAGCCTGCACTTACACTTCCCAATGACAGGAAAGCTCTTTGAGAAACGTCGCTGTGTTTCCATGTCTCGACTACAAACCTAATTTTTAGTGATTAGTGTCGGGTGACAACTAGTTCAGCATTTCGCTTAGCCATCGAATTCCGCCTTTGTGACTCATATTCATAAATTGTAACCAACTAAATGTTGAACTTGAGATGTTTGAGCACAAGACTTATAATTTAGACAAGTTTACATGTGCTTAAATTTTTTAAACAACCAAATACGGGAATTGTTAGTTAGTATTATTTTTCGTTGGTGTAAAAATGTAAAATTTTATACATTTTTGGTCGAATTGTATCAGAAATGTAAAAATGTATCGTTGCACTATCAGGGTTATTTCAATTAATGAATGTGATGAATCTTAATGGAACATAAATATCTACACTTTACATAGAACATGGAGTAACAGTTTGTAAGGTTTTTTGTATTTAGTAGGTAATCACGAGCCATTGCAGTCACATGATGGATGTCATGGCGTTTCATAAAATTTGGGAAATATTCATATTTATCCATCGAAAAACGATTTATCTATTTTCGAAACATTTATATGTGTTTGTAATCCAGTTCAGATAGTTATATTCATAAATAGAGTTATTATTTTAAAGTCAATTTTTTTATTTAATAGTTGAAGATAACTTTGAATTGTAATGTTGTTGTATAATCTTCCTCGAATTTTTTTTTAAACCAGATAAATATGTCTACATATATCATTGAAATGTAATAGCTATCTTATCTGATGTTGTAAGACAATGTGTTATATGGATTTATTTATTTAAGTTAGTGTGTATATAATTATCAGAGTATAACAATTAATCTATGCAACTCTATTTAATAACATCAGTTTTGATTATGGTGTAAGTTTATTCTCTTTGAAAAGTTTTAAAAAATTATATTCTTTTGTTTTTCATGATCAAATTTGTTCATTTTGAGTTATAATAACTACAATGTTACAGAAATTTTTTAAAAGTAATTTTGGATAAATTCAACTTCTTATTATATTGAATATGTTTGTTATAATTTGAATAGTTTTTAATATATTATTGCATTCTGAAAACAAACAACATATTTGAATTAATATCTCTTTGTCAATAACAAAATCTCGTGGTTAGACTTTATGTATATATAGTTAATTTGATAAAAATTTATTTTTTCTCGCTAGTTATTAGATATTTTTATGATAAAACTCAAAATCACAGCAACCAAATCAACAACACGAGAAACAAACGTATAACGTGGTTCATCTTCAAGTGATACGTCCCTTTTCATGATAAGCCTATTCAACCAAATAACTTACTTTTTCGCTTCTGTTGCTGCCACATACTCAAGTTCCGTTGTTGACTGAGCTGAGCTACTCACTTCTGTAAACTAGATCTCTAATTAATGCTTCCACCGCCAAGTGTAAACACATATACATTTGTAGATCTACTTTTGTCTAAATCTTGTTCGTAGTGAGCATAAAAGTAGACAAAGAATTACTTGACATTGTCTAATAACCCATCAAACAATAAAACATATTCCACAACACTCTTCAGATATCTCAAAATCCATCTCACTGCTTCCCAGAGAACTTTTCCTAAATTTGACATGTAACTGTTCAACATTCCCATTGCTAGATTAATATCACCTCTAGTGCACACCATTAAATACATGAGGTTGACTACATCTTGTTCATAGGTAACACATGATATTTTTACTTTCTCCATAACATCGGTAATACAATGAGTTGGAGATTGTTTAAAATGTGCTGGCATATAGTTTAATTCCTTTCTAATCCGCCATGTTGAACCTGTCAAGTATACGGCGAACATGTACTTGCCCTGACTCAACCATAGCTTCTTTTGTTCAAAATTTCTCTAAATATACATGCCTACTATTTTCTTTGACTTCCCCATATCCTACATCTTAAATATAGACTTCAGCTGACTCTTACATTCATTGACATCGAATTGATTTTTTTGCCAACATGAGCATGTCTTTAACGTATAAAACTAAAATGATGAGATTGAATGTTTCATCATTCACCTTGTTAATGTAGACACAAGTATCACACTCGCTTTGTAGAAAACCTTGTGCCTTCATAAACTCATCAAAATAATGTATTTCACTACCTAAAAGCTTGCTTAAGTCCATAAAGTGATTTCAGCAATCTACAAACCAACTTCTCCTAGTCTTTGAACTCAAAGCCAACTGTTTGTCTAATATAGATATACTTCTCTAAATATCCATTAAAAAGGTTGTAACGACATTCATCTGGTCCATAACAAGACTAAATATTGCGGCCACTGCAGATACCAGACAAATTGTAACATACTTTGCTACAAGCAAAATAACTTCATTGTTATCCACAATCTTCTGTTTTGTGAAACCTCTAGCCATCAACCTAGCTTTGAAGATTCTCGCCTCATCTCTTGCTAAATTGTCTTTCAGCTTGTACTTTTACTTGGAGTCAATGAGTGTCTGATCTTTACGAAGCTCAACCAACTTGAAAGTCTTGTTGTCAATCAATGACAACATCTCCCGCTCCATAACAACATTTCACTCAAGCTTGTTGACCTCACCTTTAGCATCATTGTATGAAGAATGTTCATCTTTTTCCAAAATCAACGCCATACTATCTTCATTCTCAAAATCAAGATCATGATCTTTGAGAATGTATGAGTTTGCCCATACATCAATCTCTTAGGAATTTTCCAAGAATATAGTGATCTACTAGTTTTTGTTTCAATTTGATCTATATTGTCTAATACTATTGCAATAGGCTCACCAACGATAATCTGCTATTGTAGTTCCAGTTCCTCAAGAACTCGCTCCATATGCATCTGTGCTTCTTCTTGTGACAAATCATTGGTAGAGAATGATCAAACTCCCACATAACAACATCATTGAGTAAAGATTTTACCTTGTTAGTATGTGGAGACTCAAAACTCTCAACTCTTTAAGTAAGCCATGCTCATTGAAAGAAACATCAATACTAACAAACACCTTACGGACAATTGGATTTCATAGCCCATAACCTTTCACTCCACTAGCATATCTAAGAAAAAAACATTTTTTAGATGTAGGATTTTATTTAATCCTGTGCTCTTTAGATGTGAGAGTATAAGCATTACAACCAAAAATTTTCAAGCGACTATAATCTGCCATAAGTTTATGCTCTAGTTCAAACGGTGTTGAGAGCTTGGGTTCAATTTTTGTCAAGTAAATCTGATTTGCTCAGCATACTTTGAACCTTTTCCAACACTCTAGCATCATAGACCGATTGTGTACAAATCGTTCGCCTCGGTATCAAGATGCTTTGCAACGTCATTGAAGGGGAGGCTATACTTGTCATCCGGCAAAACTTCATGATGTGACATTTCTTACCGCATGCCAACAAATAATATTCTTCCTCTCAAATGATTGAGCCATAAACTGAACTCTACTTTGCTAAGAGATCTTGATATCTGTTTACTCAATCTCGAACTTCGTGAATCGTTGATATCACTCGGTTGTGAATGACCTCGGATCATAATAAGTGTTGTACTATAAGTGAATAGAATAGAGGGGTATAACATTTCATGCTCTACTGGGTTTGTAAGAAGTGAATTTACAATCTCGTTGTAAGTTAGTGTTATGTTTTGACGATGAAGAATACTCTTTGATAACGTATGATAGATACAATTGCACATTTGATGTCAAATCCATAGTCTAGGAAGCGACTAAAAACTTTATTGAAATTGCTTTATTTGTGTGAGCTAAAGTGTTGAACGCCAATGAGATTCAAGAACTCATTCAAATGTATTCCATGAAATCAATCTCAAAATAAGTATGTCGCTTATTTGTAACATGTTTGTTTTGATTATTGTGAATATTTTCTTGGCTAGATTATAATGGTCAACTTATAGTGCATATATTTTATTTCATTCATTCAATGATTTCAAATAAGAAGAAGGTTGAAAGTGTATTCTTCGTCATCAAATGGGAGAAAGATGACTCCCACTCCAGCTTTGTGAGACTTTTCTTGACCGATATTATGCATGATAACCAATTCAAAACCATTATCGTCAAGCCATTTAACAAAAATAGTGAAATGACAATGTTAATGCCATAGATGCAAGAATTAAAATTTTCTTTTCTAGGAACTACCTTGATTTTGGCAAACCTGGCATTTGCCATGCTTTTAACGTAACACAAAGTTTTAAACTCGTATAGAATAACCTTAAGCATCGAAGCATTTAACCATAGTCAAATTAACTAGATTTGTGGAAAACCAAAGTCCGAGTTGAAGGGAGTTGGTGCTTCAAGCAAGCTTCACCAACCAACCACGTAGTGTGTACTGTGGTAGAATGCCTAGACCAACTCGGGTGGCATCTACGTAGTGCAGAAGGCGAGGACGAGCGCGACTGGAGATTGTGGAATCGTGGACCACAACGAGAGCAGGCGACACACGACACAACAACTTCCGGCTCTCGAGCGCTCTCCGGGATGGCACGGAGCACCGTTTCTCTGTCCCACAGGCGAACGAAATTAGGTCACATGCGTGTTCCTACACGACCACGTGGCAGGGCTATGCTCCCTGTGCGCGCTCTCGCGCTCGATCGCTGCGTCCTACAATCCGCAACAACGCGAGTCACGAACATTTCCGGTCCTCGCTTCGTCTCCCGTGTCTCCGGAGTTGCGCTCCTCGACCTCCTCCTCTTCCTCTGCCTCCTCCTCTGTGCTCCGTGTTCACTCGTGGTTGCCTCCTCCTTCATCCTCCTCCTCCTCTTCCCTGACGTACAACACCAATTTCGGTCGATCTGGGGGAATTTCTGGACTATCGTAAGATTCATGGTCGTCAGTGGTCGAGTTTTGGCGCCATTTTCGTAGTTTTTTTTCTCGCTCTGGTGAAACTTTCGTTGTCGACGAGGACGCGCTTGATTCAGGCACTCTGCTTGATGGAGTGAGACCTCCCTCCCCGTGTTCTTAGGTTTGTGCGTTAATGAGAAAACCTAGTCGATTCTTCCTTGGCATGCCGGACTCGTGCAGGGTTGTTGGGTGTGTGAAAAGTCCCGATTTGACACTAGGCTGATTACGCGCGCGATTTCTGTTGTCGGTGCAGCAGATGAAGATTTGCACCATTCATTAATTTGGGACTAGTAGGTGTGGTGGTTCGCGAGTGTATGGCAGAGGTGCCAACCGCGCAGAATGGGTGCGAATGGCAAATTGGACGACGAATCGCTGGGCGTCTCGAAGAAAAGCTCTCGAGAGCGGCACTTGAGAAAGAGGGAGTATTTTGAGGAGGGCGATGAGCGCGATAACGGCGGTGACAAGAAGCAGTATGGTAGAGATGCCGATCGGTTGCGGAAGGATGACGGAAAGTCCAGAGACAGAAGCGAACGAGAAAAGAGGGACGGAGATAGGGTGAAGGATAGGGAAACGGAGAAGACACGAGACAAGGACGAGAAGCGCAGCAAAGATAGAGAACTGTTATCTGAGAAGGACAGAGAGAGGCTGAAGGAGAAGGAGAAGTCTCGAGAGAAGGATCGCGACAGGGACAAAGACAGAGAGAGGGCCAAATCGAGAGAGTGGGAGCGCGAGAAGGAGAAGGAGCGCGAGAAATTGAAGAGGAAAGAGAGGAGGGATCGCGAAGCTGAGTTTGAAGAATTGTTGAGAGAAAAGGAAAAGGAGAAAAGGGAGAAGGAAAAGGCCAGGGAAGAACAACATGAGAGGCCCGATAGATCAGGTCTATACAGGGAGAGGGAAAAAGATGAGGAGAGAAGACGAGAGAGGGAAAGAGAGCTGCTGAAGGAGAGGGAGAAGAAGCGAGAGAAGGAGAGAAGAGACAAAGAGCGGGAGAAGAGAGAGCGAGAGAAACTAGAGAAAGGGGATGACGAAGACAAGGACAGAGATCGGAAGAAGAGAAGGAAAGAGGAGGAGGCAGAAGGCGGTCACAGACGTGAAAGCGAAGAGAATGATTTGGATGAGGAGCAGAGGAGACTGGACGAAGAGATGGAGAAGAGGAGGAGAAGAGTGCAGGAGTGGCAAGAATTGAGACGACGTAAGGAAGAAGAGGAACGTAAGAGGAGAGGTGATACAGATTCTTTCACAGAGAGGTTCCCTAATGGAAAGACATGGACACTGGAGGGAGACGACTCTGATGACGAGGATATTAACAAGGATGGATTTTCTGCCGCAACTAAAGTTATGGCTTTTGAGAATGGAGACGTCGTAATGGCAGAGAGCAAAGAGGACTCCCTTCGATTGAGGGATGATGATCTGGTCGGCGAAGACGAGGTGGGCTACAAGAGTGTGGCCGGTGATAAGGGTGATGGTGATGATGAAGTGGATCCACTAGATGCGTTCATGAACGCCATGGTAATTCCTGAAGTGGAGAAGCTCAGTGCCCCTACAGAATCTGGGACGGGTGTTGGGCAAAAGGATGCTGCCGTGAAGCGCCCTGTCGAGGTGAAGGTATTTAATAAGATGGGTAAACCTGTGAAGAGAGAAGCAAAACTTTCTACAGGCCGGATAATTGCTGGTGAAGATTCAGCTTCAGATAACGACTATAACGATGATGGCGAACCGGAGGAGGGTGAAGAAGATGACGACGATTTTATGAAAAGGGTGAAGAAAAGTAAGGCAGAGAAACTTGCTCTCGTCGACCATTCTAAAGTCCAGTATGCCCCTTTCAGAAAGAACTTTTACATTGAAGTGAAGGAAATATCCAGAATGCCGGCCGAGGAGGTCATAGCTTTGAGGAGAGAGTTAGAGTTGAAAGTAAGAGGTAAGGAGGTGCCGCAGCCCATAAAGACGTGGAATCAGACTGGTCTGAGCGCCAGAGTTCTGGAAGTTATCAAGAAAGCAGGGTTCGAAAAACCAATGCCAATTCAGGCCCAAGCACTTCCCATCATAATGAGCGGTAGGGACTGTATTGGTGTCGCGAAGACAGGCTCCGGGAAAACGTTGGCGTTTGTTTTGCCAATGCTTAGACACATCATGGACCAACCTCCTCTTGCACAAGGGGATGGACCAATTGGACTCATCATGGCACCTACCAGGGAGCTTGTGCAGCAGATTTACAGTGACATCAAAAAGTTCTCGAAGATTATGGGGTTGACTTGCGTTCCTGTCTATGGGGGCTCTGGTGTCGCACAGCAGATCAGTGATTTGAAAAGAGGTGCCGAGATTGTTGTCTGCACCCCGGGGAGGATGATAGACATCTTGTGTACTAGCGCAGGAAAAATTATGAATCTAAGACGGGTGACTTATCTTGTGATGGACGAAGCTGACCGAATGTTTGACATGGGGTTTGAGCCGCAGATTACGAGGATTGTCCAGAACACACGGCCTGATCGGCAAACGGTGTTGTTTTCAGCTACCTTTCCGAGACAAGTAGAGGTCCTTGCAAGAAAAGTGTTAAGCAAACCTGTTGAGATACAAGTCGGAGGCCGGAGTGTTGCCAATAAAGACATCACTCAGACAGTGGAGGTGCGCCCGGATAGTGAACGGTTTTTGCGGCTCTTGGAACTCCTTGGAGAGTGGTATGAAAAGGGGAAGATTTTGATATTTGTTCATTCTCAAGAGAAGTGTGATAGTTTGTTCAAAGATCTGCTGAAGGCAGGCTACCCATGCTTGTCTTTGCACGGAGCCAAAGACCAAACGGATCGGGAGTCCACGCTTGCGGACTTCAAATCCAATGTTTGCAATCTGATGATTGCCACCAGTGTTGCTGCGAGAGGACTCGATGTCAAGGAGTTGGAGCTCGTCGTCAATTATGATGTTCCGAATCATTATGAAGATTATGTGCATCGAGTGGGTAGAACAGGTAGGGCTGGTCGTAAAGGTGTTGCGGTGACTTTCATTTCTGTCGAAGAAGAGCGATACGCCCCGGACTTAGTCAAAGCTCTTGTGCTTTCTGAGCAACCAATCCCTGAGGATCTCAAGAAGCTTGCAGACGATTTCATGGCGAAGGTGAAGCAGGGCAGTGAACAAGTACATGGTAGCGGTTATGGCGGGAGTGGGTTCAAATTCAATGAGGAGGAGGACGAAGCACGGAAGGCTGCAAAGAAGGCTCAGGCTAAGGAGTATGGATTTGAAGAAGATGAAGAGAAGTCTGATTCTGATTCTGATGACGATGGAATACGGAAGGCTGGTGGGGATCTGGCACAAGCTGCGGCTGCAGCAGCCCATGCTGCTGCCATGGCTGCTGCCGCAAAGGTCGGAATCACGTCAATGGCAGGTCCATCTCTTGGAGTTTCGGGTTTAGGTGCTGCCAATCCACAACTTCAAGCTGCCCTCGCCATGGCTCAGGCTGCTGCCGCCAGCCAGGGTTTGCCTACACAGTTTACTGTGCCGGGTAGCCTAGGCATGAGTTTTCCGGGTCTCAATCTGGCTGGGATGCCAGGTATGGGTATGAGTATGATGAATATGGCTGGTATGGCCAATATGGCAGCTGCTGGAATGACGGGGATGCCAGGAATGGGAGCGATGAATCTCTTGGGCATGGGCCTTCCTTCCGGTGCCACACCTGGAAGTATGACCGATGGTGCGGCCAGAGCCTCAGCTTTTGCCGCTGCTCTGAACTTACAGCATAATCTAGCCAAGATTCAGGCGGAAGCAATCCCTGAGCACTATGAGGCAGAGTTGGAGATCAACGATTTTCCCCAGCATGCGCGATGGAAGGTCACTCACAAAGATGCATTGGGTCAAATTAGTGAATGGACAGGTGCCGCTATCACGACTCGCGGTCAGTTTTTCCCTCCAGGAAAAGTGCCTGCACCAGGGGAGCGGAAACTATTTTTGTTCATTGAGGGTCCTACTGAAGCTTCTGTTAAGAAAGCCAAAGCGGAGGTGAAGCGTCTCCTGGAAGAGTCCACTTCTGCAGCTACTTCACTTCCAGTGACAATACAACCTGGGAAGTATTCTGTACTATGATTATGTGGAAAGAACCACTTATGATGGTGGACAATATCTGTAGTTTCTGACCCATAGCATTGGAATAACAGTGCATAGGCATTTTTAGGTAGGCAATGTGGAGCTACTTGAACAGGACAATTCTGTAATTCTATGTCATTGTTGAGGAAAGTTCGTTCTTCCTACTCGTTCACTGTTTCTGTCTGACATCATTCATTGAGACCGATGTAATTGGTGGAGCGAATTGGGTCTTCCAAGCATTGACACAGGCCTACATTTTGGCTTTGCAGGAATTGCTTGGCAGAAGAGGCATGGGCCTTGTGGATCTTACGCTGAAGTTTTGAATCCCACCTTACATATTTTTCTGGCTGGTTTGGGAAGTTTTATGTACTGTATACATCTTCATGTTCTTGTTGCATGCTGTTTTGGTCAATTATGGAAACCTGATAGAGTAAATTTTGGATATTTATTATTATTCTGTTGGATCTGACACTGAGCTGATAAGCAGCTGAGTGTAGAACCTTGGATTTTCGGCTCAACACATGCCAGAAATACACACAGCAAGTAAGTACATGTCATCCTCTTTATCTCTATGAATTCACCTCTGATCATATACACCGAGAGGCACTGTCCGTCTTTTGGCCAACTCTAACATAGGTGGCAACAGTTGTTGTTACAGAACTCATCATGGAACACGAGATTGTGGTCGGCCGTTACTTCGAGTTGTCCCATCAGTCTTCTTCCCGTATTCAATATCTAGATCGGGAAGTCTAATATCCTTGCTGTCGCATGTAACGGTGTGCTGCAGCTTTGTAGGGTTGTCTTTTCCGCTGCCTATTTTTTGTTTGTTTGTCTTAGCCCGAGCCCAACGTATTTCCGTTAAAGGATCGACAAATAAGAGTTTTGCCTCGAGAACCCTTTCTTTGTCATTTTATTGAAGGGTTGTTACTTTTGAAAGGCTTGCTTCTGTTGATATCTTCAATTCAGACCTCTTCGTTCTGACCTTGTAAGTGGGACGATTGTAAGGCCTTCGACCCTGTCATAGTCAGGACACCAGCGAAACAGAGTGTTTGAGGCCCTAATTTGCTTGCACCTGTACACTGAATCTTCACTGACTATCAGCTGATAGTTTGTGTCATGAGTTTGCCTTGTCTGGTGACCCTTTTGAATCATTGGATTGTTTAGGAAATGACTTCATGATGACGAGGACCTTCTCATCCATCGGAACATTAGGGTTATAGGTCTGACAATAAAACTCTGCACATGATTGTATATTAGAGTTCTAATGACATTCGGTTGACTGATGCGCGTTGAGTTGTAAAGTGTCATTGTTGGGAGAAAGACAGATGTGTATTACCTGTTCATCAGCCGTTTCCACCAAGATCCCTTCGAAAGCTGTCTACCATCTAGATCAGTGTTGATCAACTCATCTTGGAGGCGCATCTTTAGGTGCACTCGATCGTGGACTGTGTGATACCATGCGACTTATGGTTCACAACCTAGGATACGCACCAAGAAGGTTTACCAGCTCTTGAGAAATAAATATTCTAGGGTTGCTTTTACATTCTACGTCTAGGTCGCTGATATGGTAATTGGGTTTTTGTTGCTTGACCGCCATGTATCTTAGATCAACATTATACCAGGAAGTGGAACATGTCTATTGGGCTAGATACACGCAGTTTGTAAGTTTGGCCCTCTTTTTTCCACCAGTGGAATCATTACTGGCTTTTTGGTCTTTACGGGGCCCCTGGTATGGTCAAATGCGAATGATGAATTTGAAGTGTAAATGTGGACATCCTGCAACAAGAGTTGAAGGGTCTCTCAAGCACTCAGTAGAGCACTTGACGGATTCTGCCATGCTATGGCATTTTAAGTTCTCACAGATCCCATATGAGCAGTATCATAGGAGCCAAAATCTTGAGACAATGAGTGTAATTTATGAGAAAGGATGAAGCCGACAATGGCTTACATCCGGTTTAATCACTAAAATGCTATGAGAGGACTGGCGTATGTTAATCTATGTCATGTTATGTTAATCTTTAGAACACTACTGATCTATACACGAAAAGCAAATTTTATGATTGGTATGTCAGCACTTTGTGTATTTGTCAGAAAAAAGTAACTAAATTGATAAATGTGTAAGTTACGAAAAAAGTTTGAAGGTCAATATGTTTGGTAAGTAAGATATTAATGTATTGGTTAATGTTTAAGTTAATACACTAACCAAACTGCAAGTGACTTTAGTCATGACACGATTAACGACGATGACATACTTTTTGTAACTTTGAAACGATATATTGAAAGGATAAATTTCAAATCTTAAATGATTTGCAATCATTTTTTGGGTGATTATACCTTCATTCATATTCATGTATATATATCAGCATAGACACAACATCAGACATCACATCTCGAAAACAAAGCAGCAAAAAAAATGATAAAAAAAATTCAGAATGGAATAATCAAACTCGAAAGATAGAAACAAAACTAAGTCACCTCAAAAACATTCTCGGAAGAAATCAGGCCCTTTCAACTCGGATTCATACGAATTTATACGAGCACTAAAGTACACTAAACATCAATTTGATATTTTGGTTAACTTTTTGATGAATTTTTGTCACAAATTTAGCTATAAACGGTTTAGTTAGTTGCAATCTTCTATTTATGTTAGATTTTTTTTCGGGTGAAATAACATGATGTGACAATTTTGCACAAAGATTAGATTCTCGTCAAAGAAATAAGTTGCATATTTTAAAAAAATTTAATATTTAAATCATCATATGATTCATAGACAACTGTCAAGTGAATTACATACATAAAATATCTTAATTTAAAAATTATAATTACAATATTTCAACAAAGCTTATTCTCTAAGAAGTATTGCAACTCTCTAAGAAGTTTAAAAATATGTTAGTGATGATTCATATAGATGATACACTTGGGAATATAAAGAAACTCACTAAAAAATGAAACGTACATTTTGAACATAAGAGATAGCCATAATAGTTATAACTTTCTTATATATATCTTTCCAACATCATTTCATCTTTATCAATTATTTCAATTCTAGTGAATTCATAACATGTTGAATATAACTAAAAAGTGCCCGTATTAGTAACATATTATTTTCAACATACACGTTATCAACATCAAAGGACATTTATTGCAACCAAAGAATACGGAGAGATCCGTGTAAAAAGCGGGTCAGAGTAGTCGGTAGGAACTGTATACAGCTGAGTATATTTAACGTAACGTAACTCTTGGGAACGAACCTGAAGAGTACTTAATTTGACATCCGTTGGTGGGACTTGGTCGTTACAGGCAGCCCCTCCCTCGTTCGTGACGTGAGTCAGGGCAGGGCAGGGCAAGGATCGAGAGGAAGAAGTATACGTTGCCAGGTTGAGAAGACCTCTAAAACCATCAGTTGCGGGTGTGTCCAGATTCATGTACTTGCTGGAATACCAAACTTAGTGATATGGAGCGACTGATGTCAAGATCTGGAAATTGCAATTGGATCCAGTGACGTGGGATTTCAAACAACACTGCATGCACCAGCAGCATGTACAGTACAGTACTCAACCCACGCCCCTAACCGAGTCTCGTCTCTCCATGCATGTGCACTGCTTTGTAGTTCAGTCGATGATCGTGGGTACTCTTGCCACATCCACAGTCCTCTGTGACTTCGACTCTCTAGAGATTTGAAGTTTGTTGTGCAGTCGAAGTCATCAACTAGAAAAAAGCTATCGTCAAGTGAATGTCCTCCTCCACCTCAGCAGCAGCAAGATTTTATCTTCTCAGAAATCGTCATAACCAGGGTCCACATTGTTGAAAAGTCCAAGTCAAGGCCAACGTGGTTGTGAGAAAGACCAGGGCAGCATTTCGTAGCTGAGTTGTGATTCCTTCACGCCTGCGTACGTCATTCATTCCAGTGGATGTTCAGGTCGATGCATCGACCTCCCCAGTCAACAAAAAACTTGCATGGAATCGTTGGATTGAAAGTCCAGCTTTGTTCCGTTATGCATGCATGCGACCATGGACTGAGGAGGAGTAGTAGCAGGAGGAGGAGGAGGAGGAGGAGGTGAGACACGATTGGCCACGAGTACCCTGAGAGCTACACATCTGCTGGGCTTATAAAGTGGAGTTGGTCGGAAATTATATTGATGGTCCGCGATGCACTGGCCTGTGACTTGAGCCATGTATAATGGACCCGATCAAGCAGTCCCTGAAGCGAAGCGAAATGAAATGAAGAGTCTCTTATCAGCTCGATCAGTGAGTGAGCCACGAATGAGTCTTGCTCTTTCGATTGATGATCGTAATGACACGATGTATCAGCCTGTGGGTTACAAAACAAGCGTCGTCTATCATTCGAATGAGAGTACAGCGACTTGTTCTCTTCTTCTCCTCATCTCTGGAATCTTGTAATTGCGAACACTATTACTCCCAGTACCACAAGTTCTAGTCGAGTACTTCTATTAATGTACAGCTGTTAATGTCTGAAGGTTTTCTCCTTTGGGTCCTGAACTACAGTACTCACAGAAGAACCTGTGCAAGCTCCTACAGGTATTCTTCATGCCATAACATCCTCGGGGGATGCCACCTGAATTCACTCTCACTCTCACAACAAGTGCAGACCAGTGAGTTGCAGGTGGCTAGTGGTTTCTGCTCACAGTCTGTACACACAAGAACGGGGGTGTTCACTTCAATACAACAGGGAATCACACATTTGTGAAGTTTATTCTCTGGAGATTTTTCGGGTTTATTCTACATATTGTTGGCGAACGAATCCACGAGACCTGTAGAACTCTCTATGGTCTGTAAACTTACAGCTGAAGATATCGGCTGCAATGTCGATCGCCGGTCGTATGTACTGTATTAGCATGCATAATCAATCATGTTGGAAGGTTATCAAGTTAGTAGAATCCAAGGTTGACATCCCTTAGTGCACAGTGCAGAACAGTCCAATCCAGTATTGCTGGCAGTTTTCAACACACGCTTTTGGGAACAACTTTTGAAGGTTTACTGACGTCGAGCATAATTTGGATCTAGCCGGATTCGTACTTGACTTCATCCCCACTTTTCTCATACCAGAGCGTCAAAAATTCTTCATTCTTAGACGGTGGTCAACGAGTTTAGGCATCTCTGGGCCTTGACCTCCACCAGACCTCATCCAAACATTTTCAAGGTGCCAAGCGATTCTTTGTGCTGTCCTTTTCACACGCTATGCCACATGTTACAAAGCTCAATATTTAAGGGTGAAGTAGGTGCAGATTATCATCGAGCCTCTCAAAGTCTTGGCTGCAATGCTTTGTACACTTTGAGTCCCATAATCTTCGTATCAAGAATTGTTACAATACCTTGTGTGGGGTAAAAAATAGATATCAACCTCCACGAAAATTTTGCTCTCAAAAAACTGTTGAACTTGAAAAGAGTAGAGAATTTTTTTTTGTCGCTCGATGAAAAGTTGTCAGGTTGAAGAACTTCCTCTATGTAAAGCTACCTTGCATGAATTTTTATACCAATCCAAAAACCATGACACAAGACGTAAAAACTCAGATATAACAACAAACGGGGCAAGTGGGATTCCATCAAGCAAAGAAGTAAAATATCGGAAAACATAAGCTAATCCCTAAAGCTAAGCTATGAAAAAAATGTCCGTCGTTAGCTATAATCCCATATGATCTAGATAAAACAGCACACAAAGATCACATGTGTCGAAGGTTGAACTGATGTAATTGTTCTCATGTGTTCAAGAAAAATCTCTCTGTATAACAATGAGAACATGTTTATTAGAATATACTAAACAATATGTGGTTAAAAGTGATAGTACCTTTATATGTAAGTTCATATACTCTTGCAAACTCACATACTCTTCATGATGTCTATATACACATACTTAATTACAAAAGTAGAAGGAGAAAAGAGAATTTTTTGGGGCATATTCATATAGGTAGAATCTTTGGTTGTTATAGCTCCACTTACCTTACATCCAAAGATATGGATAAGAACTTATTCAAAAATCTTCACTTGAAAGATTGGTAAACACCGTATAATATTGTAACTTGATACTCTCACAAGAAGATGAAGTTGTCCTAATTGTAGTTGATTGCAACTCATATCGACGCTACCTCTAAGACTGCATCCTCACGTGTAAAGGGAAAAATCTAATTATTGGAGATGTGATATAAGCCAGCATGGTTAATGTAGGCGATCACATGCCACGACGATTGAACTATATTAGGAGGGCGCTTCTACTTATTCTACCCTTCACTTATGGGTGGAAGTCGCGTTACGGTTGGTTATTGAGAGGAGTGGGAGATGTTCTATAGTTTCTAAGAGTGCAAATGACTTTTCTTTGAGTATGAAACATGTTGATGAAGTTATTTTGAAAAATAGCAGTGAAATCCTTGATAGTAACTAGTTTACACATTAAAAACTTATGGAAAACAGGAATTGTTACTCGAGTATTGTTGCGAAGATTCAATGACATGTCCTTAGTGCTACCTGAGCTGGCAGATTTAGACAAGGGTGCTGGATTTTATAGAGATAACCTGAAGGATTCGGCTATAGATAAGGTTTCTTCGGATAGCAAATTAGAGCTCCTTCGAATTGGTGGATTGCCGATAATCACAGAAATCATATTGGGCTACCGTCACTTGTGGAGAACAACATTGTAATATTGAAAGGGAAATCCAGAGAAGTATTTCAAAACAGAGTAATAATCGACCTGAATAAAGTCCTGGTACGGATTGAACGAAAGGTTTGTTGCCCATGAACTGCACATGGCTACATTTTATGCACTCTAATTTCTTAATAAAGCTCACATTTACATACTTCTAAACTAAGGTCTTTTGGTGAGACTAAATTAAACTAATTTAGGCTAAGGAGACCGGGCTGTATGCTATGATTGAAGTATTCATCATCCCGTATCATCTTAAACATCATATAAGAACATTATGGTAGCTAAATTTTTCGTTTTAAAATAAACTTCACCTCATGAGGATTCCAATTGAATCATACATTGTTTTACATTCAAATACGATCAATAGAATTCAAAATAGATGTATCAAACACAAGCACATAATCGTTATTAGGAAAAAAAGAACAGAGTCTGAACCGAAAAGTTTTAAGCATGATAAAGCCATCATCTAAGAGCAAACAACCTTGCAAATGAAAAAATATACAGAAGTTCTCAAGATATATGAGAAATATTCATATTGTATAACTATATATTGAAATCATGTTATAATTTTTAGGTGTTCTAGGTATATTATAAAATTTCAGTCCACATTTTGGGTAGAGAAAGAAAAATTTAAAACTCCGTTTTATCTATAGATGTATTTGTATAATGTTTATGTAAATGATTAGTATTTCGTATTCATATCTCTTGCATATAATCAAATAAAATCTGCATGCAATGAAATAAAAGAAGATTGCAAAGATGTAGAGATTGCATAATCAAACGTTAGTCCTAAATGTGACGTCTATTTCAACTTTTCATAGAAAAACTCTTGTTTCAAAAAGTTGGAAAAGGATGTTTTCTTCATGCTTAAAGATAAATTAAATAATTAAAAATACTTTTTTAAAAATGAGATCAATATTGATTTAAAATATGTATTTAGAAAAATTTGACACTTGATACTAAATATATGTGAAAGTGGAACCGCAAAGATTAATTGCTTTTCATCAATAAAAAGTAGTATAATATGATGTAAATTGATTTTTATTCATTTTTTAGTACAGAAGGATCATCTATGTGTGATTTATACTTGTTATAAAAATCAATGTGTTTTAAATGAATCCTATATGATATATGTTGAGGTTATCGCATCTCATTTGCACTCCTGAATAGATATAATCTTTGTGTTGGTTTTCACATTTATTTCTACCTGTGCAAGATAAAGAGGTGATGAAATACTTGACATGATGTATCATGTCACCACTCTGGTAAGCGTCATGAAACGAAGTGCAGCTTTTGGTGATACAAAGGGTATAATATTGACGCCATGCATTCCATCATAAATCTCCTTTCAAAAATACATATATTTGACTACCAACCATACTAAATTTGATATAACAGTTATCAAAGTACTAAAAAGTGAAGATGATCTGAAGATCCTAACTCTCCAACTCTGAATGAATAATACCCGATGTAGGATAAAAAAGGTTTAAAGAAAAAAAATCCAAGCAAAAGATCAAATCTGAGTGAGCTCATTCAAAATCCAATCAAATATATATGTATATATATATATATGTACAAATCTTTACTGCGTGTAATTTAATCGCCAATAGAAATTATTGTTTAACAAAGTACAGTTCTCCATTCATTCTCCACGTTAGTCAAAGTGAAATCCAAATTAAACTCATTGTCATTTATATATATATATATATACATACCATGGTAACATAAATAATATATACATTCGAAAATTGAAATTAGAATACCCGTCGAATTCGAAGAGACTTCAATGTGCCTTTCAATCATTACAGCTACAATCTCATCGCCTCCTCAATTTAATTTAAGGCAGCACGCCCTGGATCAGGTGTAGGCTACACCGTGTAGCCCATTTTCGATACCCCCGATAACATATCTGACCGGCCCTTAATCACCTACCCTCAGGCTACATGACGTGAACTAACAGTTAAGAGTTTACGTGGGCAAACTGGAGCATATTCTCGTGCTAGACAGGCACAGGGCAGCAGAACAAGTGAACGGAGAAACATATTCCATTGGACTAAGAAGACAAACTGTACGAGTGAAAAGGCGACAGGCTGCAGGAGGTTACATTCATGACACCCTCAACTTCCAAGGTGCATAAATAGAGTTGTGGAAAGTGAGTTTGACATGTTCGGATCTTCAACTGGAGTCAAGTCAGATCTGTCAGAGACGAAGTCTCCCAGGACTTTCACAGACGTGGTAACAGCTGCGAACAGATGCCGAATAGACAAAACATTATGGAGGGACACCCGGTTGATGCATCTCCTCGCAAATACGGGTAGGTGTGTCTCCTCGATGCTAGATAGAACTATTCAACTTATAAATCCACATCTTGCCTCAGCTTATTTGTAGCGGCAAACATAACCTTATTCCAGACTTCATGTTCTCCCTTTATAATAAATCTATGATAAATTTGGATCTTCAATCAGTCCATAAGATAGTCAGAGATTTACCTGACATCCGTGCGAAAGTTAGAAATATGGAGTTTCATAGTCTTGAATCCTCCGTGTATTTGTCAATTATCTATATTAAAAAATATATGGTCTATATTTAAATGTTTACTTAAGTGATGTAAAATCAATTGAGTCCGTGAGATCATTTCTTTGTTGTTAACATTGTACAACGTATAAAATCCTATACATGGTTTAGAATATTTTTTAAATTTTAAATTAACGTAAAAAATAATGATGAAAAATATGTTTTCTATTTGCTGATCATGACAAGATCATCAATTTAAAATTGATGATTGATCTATATATTTTACAAATTTGTTAGTAAAGATAGAATGGTTTTACAAAATCATTTCAAAATATTTTATCAATTTGAAATGATAAATTTGAGGATTTTTTTTTTTATTGTGAATGCCATTTTTTTTTGTTTAATTTTTTGATTTGATATCAGTTAAATCACATATGTAATTCTATATTTTCAGAAATGAAATTAATTAAAAAATATACTACAGATCAAAATCATGTAATTATAAAACTGAAACTTTTTCAAAAAATAATTTAATTCGTTAACCTGATTTTAAAATCATTTAATGTAGAATGTTTCTATTATTAAAGATAATATTTATAATCCTGATTAACTTGCATTGATTTTTTAGAAATCTCTCCAAGTATGTTTTTGAATGAGAGCGGTTAGTTATCATTCAGTTCAGGCTCATATTCCCTCACTTGCGTGGTCAGTTGGCTGTTGCATGGATCTAGCTTAGATTTAGCGGTACCTCTGAATCTGGCATGGCTGCATGAGAAAAATTCTGGCGCAGTTGAGCGGATGGTCCGGCAGAGGGAGAAAGAGACTTGGAGTACAAAGCCACAAGAGAGATGGACGAGAGTCGAAGCTCGACCTTCTGACGCGCTTGCTCGCCTTGTCGAAGGAATAGTGAGGTCTCGACTGCCGCTCGCTGCCTGCTTGAACGTGTCTTGGTTGCTTCGAAGCGCGTGCTCGCCTTGTCGAAGGAATAGTGAGGGACGCAGGGTGAAGTATAATTAATATAAACTGAAGTATAACTAACAGTTTACTTTTGAATTCATGCATTGCAGATCACATGAGATTAAACATCACTATTTTGATTGCCTATCTCAATAAGTTAATAACTAATTTTTATTTGAATTTTTTTGGTCAATTGAACTACAACAAATATTATTTTTCTGATATGTGAATTTTATTTTTTTCATTTAACATATTTTCACAAAAAAATCAAGAATTCACAAGTAAACAACCAAAAACGCTGA